AGGTAGTTATTATAAAATTAAAAGTTAGTATATTTAATAAAGCGCCGGCGGAGCACCACTAGTTAGCAGCTATTAAAGTAAAAAAAACTTATTAAATTATTACCTATAACCTTGCTATATATTTTAAAGGCGCTTATTAAATATAAGTTATACTAGTTATTGCCGCCTAAAAACTAATTAAAATTAAAGTTTTTAAAACTAATAAAAAACTAGTATAAAAAAAAAATTAGGGATGCCAAGGGCTTTTAAAATTAGTAAAAATATTATACTAAAGGGGTTTCATAATTATACCATAGTGGGAGTATAAGGGGCAAAGGTAAGGGTATTTTAAATTACTATAATTATAGCCAGGCGCTTTTTTTTTACTTACTAAAAAGCCAGGGCAGCGCCTAAAAGGGTTTTTCTTTTAGCTATAATAAAAAAGGGCAACTTTTTATTTAGTAAAAAATTTAATAAGTTTAAAAGTTTATAAAACTATAAACTATACTATAATTTATACTTTTATACTAGGTATTATTAAAGCGCCGCCTTTCCCCTTYTARTTATAAATAAATATTATATTTTATTTAAAGCGTTATAAATAATAAGGATAAGACATTAAATTTAATATATTAAACAATACTTTAATAAAGTTAGGAATAGTAATAATAAAGCTATATTTAGTGTTAATATTAATAATAATAGTGGTGTTTTATTATTATTTTTTTTTAGTTTAGCGGCGGGTCGCGGACGACCCTTTAATTAAGGGAAAAARAAATTATTAAGGCTAATATTTTTTTATTTAATATTACCAAAGCTAATTTACTATTAGTTTAAAATTAGTGCCTAAGCTTTAGCCTTAGGCCGCTAAGGCTTGGTATATTTTACTACCATGTTAGGCTATATAACTTAACTAGGTTATTAGTATTTAAGGTCTTGGCTACTAATTAGGCAAGGCTAGGGTAGGCCCTAAGTATAGGCTAGAGTAAGGACCTGTGCGTAAAGTATTTAAACTTATATTTACTTTTTAGTTAAAAATAGCTTAAGCGTAGCTTAAAGGTTTATAAAGGTGGCCTTAAGGCCAGCCTTTTTCCTAAATTTTTAAGTAACTCTTTTAGTATTATCTAACAAGGTTTAAAATACTCCATTCTTATTAGTTAGATTCCTTTATCAATATCTTCATTATTAGTAAAGATCTTCGAGACTTGTCGGTCTTACACTTTTAGATCCTTGGGTAGCCTGGTTTAAAATTAAAGGTATTTAAAATTATTAATAAACAGGCGGCCAAGGTATTATTTATAAAATTATTTATAGTAATAGTGGTTAAACCTAATAATTTAGTTATGCCTAGTATACTTATATATATAGCTAGGGTTATATTTTTTAGGAATGCTAGTTAACTTAATAAAAAGTATAATAGGGTTTCTTAAATTTTAGCTTATCTTTTTGCTTATTATCTTATAATTTAATAATGTTTCTTTAAATACTAAATTTAAAGTTAAAGATATTTAAAAAGTTTATTACCGTTGTGCGGCGCGTTAGTTTATTAATTTTTTAATATAATATATTATTTAGTTTACTTTAAGCTAGGGTTAGTTAGTTAAATATATTATTAATATTTATTAACCTTATATTTTTTAAAAACTTTTACATAAAGAAACAAGAAGTTTTACTAGCTTAAATATTTATAAAACTATAACTTATTTTTTAAAAATAAGTTATTACTTTAACTAGTTAAAGTTTAAAATATTTAATAAGTTTTATAACTTATTTTTACTTTAAAAAAAATCTTATAGTTCTTGCTTATCCGCACGGGATAGCTTTATAGTATATTATTTTAAAGTAATGCCTTTTAAATAACTATAAATATTAACTTTAATAACTGCTTTTTTTTAAGAATTACTATATTAAGAATATAGTTTATAAAAATATATATATTTTTATAAAAGGTTTTTAACCCGTGCTTTTTTATTAATAAATTTTTATTATTAACCTTATTGGGCTAGAAGTAGCTAATATTTTTTATTTTTTAATAGTATTTTTTTAGTATAGCTTTAGCGGGCTAAGGCTTTTTCTCCTAAAAAACTAGTTTTAGTTTATTAACTAGTAAAATAAATTTACCTTTTCTGTGTTCGCGCCCCTTTTTTATATTTTTTTAGTTTTAATAAAAAGAATTTAGGGGTTCTAGTTCTAGATTTTATTTTTAAGGTACTTAAGAATAAGCTTTTAGCCTTTTAAAATAAGGTTTTAGTTATTAAACCAGGCTAGGGACTTTATATATATTTTTAAGATTTTATTTATATATGTTTTTTAATTCCTGTGTTTTATTAGTTTAATTATTTTTTTAAAAATTTTTAAAGTTTTTTTTTAAAGATCTTTTAAAGGCGGCTTGCCTGTTATTAATAATTTCTAGATAGCTATTTAATTTTTATTATAAAATTAATTTAAAATCTTTATTTATTTATTAGGGACCTGGATTAAAAGGTTAGTAATTTACTAGGCTAGGATTAAGGGGTTGTTAATTTTAATTTACTTGTTATAAGCTGGGATTAAAAGGTTGTTAATTTATTTATTATAGGCTGGGATTAAAAGGTTATTAATTTGCCTGTTATAGGCCGGGATTAAGAGATTATTAAGGATTTAAATTTACGTGGGAATTTATATTATAGATTTAAGGGCTGGCACTAGTATTAATATTAATATTAATAGTACTATCCCCTTTTTTTATAATTAGTAAGACGGGGGGACGCCTAGGTTTTATAATTAGCTTTATAAAACGCCTAGGTTTAGTAATTAGCTTTGCTACTACTTGTTTTAAATAATACTAGAAATATTAGCTAGTAATTAATTAAGCTTACCGGCTAGCTAGGCTGTGTGCTGCTAACATATTTAACTATTACCTAGTTATTTTAGTAGGAAATATAAATAGGTTTATAGGGCCAGTAGCTAAAAGGGTAAATAAGCTAGGTTAAAAAGTAATAGCAGGAGGAATAAACAAGCCTGTAAGTAATTTAAAAAATAAAAAAATATTTATTATAAAAAAAAATAGGATACCCTAGTGGTTTTTAGGGATATTTACTAGCGGCTAAGTTAAATAGCTAGCTAGTATTATTAATAAATAGTTATAAGGTTATTAAATTATTATTTTTAATTATAGTGGTTTGCTCCTGCCCTGTTGGTTTTAAACTAAAAGTTAGTTTTAAAGTAATAATATTATTAATACGCGAGCCCGCACGCGTTTAACCTAAAAATTACTTTAGTTTTAGTAAGAAAGAATTTACAGGCGCGGGGTAAGTAATTTTTTAAGCTTTTTACTTATTAATTTATATATTTTCTATTTTTTAACCAAGAGATAGTAAGTTTTTTATAGCCTAGTAAAAAACTAACTAGTTAATATCCCATGCTAGGGAATAGGTGTATTATATAAAAGATAAAATAACCATGTAATATATTATAAAATTAATAAAAAATACTATTTTTTAGTTAAATTTTCTTGTGAATTACTATTTAACCTACTAAAAAATCTTTAGCTAGTGGGCTAATATTACCAAGGCGTTATCCTATTTAGTTTAAGCCCTTTTTATATTATCCGGGATTATTAACTATTATTTAAAAAATAAAGAAAACAAGTTTGTGTAAAGGTGTTTATTAAAAACTAAAAAAACTAGTTATAAAAAGAGAATTAAAAAAATAAATTTATTAAATTTATTAGTTGGTTAGAAGAAGAAAAGGTTTAAAAAAAAAGGAGAAAAACTATTAGCTAACCGCTAGATATAAATAACTTATAAAAGTCTAGGAGTTTAGTTGGTTGTTTAGTTTAATATAGGATAACTAAATAAATAAGTAAATAATAAAGTAAATTAAATAGGGGATAACTATAAAAAATAAGAGAAAGAAATCTTATAGGCTTTTTAAATACTAAGAATTTTTTAGTTAGCATTTGCTAGCCTAATTTTAATTAGCGTGCCTAATTAAGTTATTAAATTTACTTAACTAGTTATGTCCTGCGACATGCTACTATTGTTATTATAAATAATAATCTTAATAAAGTATAAAGAAACTAATTAATTAACTAAAACTAACTAAGCTTAATTTTAGGAAAGGGGTTGGTTAGTTAATGGCGGTGGCCGGTGGCAGTATATGCCGTTGGTGGCCTGGCCGACGTTGACAACCGGGGTATACTTTAGGGATTAAATAAATAAATATTTAATACTTTTTAATAAAGAATCTTATTACTAAAGACCTTATAAAGTTTAAAAAAATTAATAAAATTAAAAATTTAGTAAATAGCTTAATAAAGGCGCTGGATAAGGTAAAGTTTTAAAGTTTTATTAAAATATTAAAATTAGTGGTAATAAATTTAATATAAAAGATTAAAAATCTAGCTACCTAACTACCATGTTTTTATAATTTTTATGTTTTTATAAGTTTTATATAGCTTTAGCATGTTAATACTAGGGGGCTATATTAAAGCAGAAAACTAGTAAGCTATAAAAGCTGCTAAAAGCCTTTAGCTTAAATTAGTTTTATTTCCCGTGCTTATTTTAAAGAGGCTAGTATTATTATATATTATTTTTTTTATTAAAAATTTTATATATAAATTATTTTTTAGCTAGATTTACTTATTATTTTATAACATTATTATTTATCTTGCGATATTTTTATTTTATCTCTATAAGTAGCTCCTCTGGCCTATCCAACATTTACCCATGTTTATCCTGTAACTTAGAGCTATAGATCAGGGGCAGCGTATCCTGGATGATTCGACTCTATGAGCATTCGCGATTCTTGGATTATTCTCGCATTCATCGTGTTTATACTGCAACTAAGATATATAGGCAAATGTATTAGTGATTATATATATCTTAAGCACGCCAAAAGAGGCCGACAAGACCGCCGTCTATCAAACCAACTCCGAACTCCCAAGCCTTCTAACCCATTATCAAATAGTAAGAGATAGGCCATTAATGACCAAAGGATCCGACCACGGCCAGGAGAAAGTACCGTAGTAGACCCTATAGCTAAGCCTCCGCAAACTTACTCCTCCCCCTCAACACGCCCCCATACCTCCACAGGCCAAACAACAGCACACAACAAACAACATCCAAGAGCGCCAGCAGACTAATTCCCCAAGCAATGCCCAGGTTCAAGAACATAGGGCGCGAAAACATAATGGCGCCAGCGGCTAGACTCGAGCGCGCAAAGTCGTTTGCGGCGAATAGCGAGGCTGCGTAGCGCGGATATGTGAATGCCAGGTATTGAAGCATGCAGACTATCACCGTAAATGTCCCAACTATGTTTAGGGCTAGGCCGATTATGGGGACGATCCAGTGGATGGATGGGCGGGAGGTCCATGCTATAGGAATTAGTAGGGTTGGTGGATCTAGATAGAGGGATTGCGTACCAGTGATAAACAGCCCAATTGGAGTGAGAAGACAGACTACCAGGCCAGGGACGAGACGACGTTCTGGGGCACCGAAGGCTTCGAAGCCTCTTGCTGGGAAGTGCCGGACGACAGAGTAGTACCAGTAGAGGCTGATAAACGTTGCCGCGATGGCAAGAGCAGGAAGAACAGCAAGAAAGGGAAGCCCGGTAAGCTCGAACTTGAAGTGGTAAATAGCCTCGAAGATAAGCGGGAACGACTCGAAGAAGGAGTAGAAGATGGCGTAGATAAGACTTGTGTAGACGGTCGAAAACAGAACCGCTGGGTCGAGGATGTTTATCTGAGCAGGCTTCATGATGGCGTCGTAAACAATTGACTTGGTCGTGGTTTTGTTGGTGATTTGGTTGATCTCGTCCTTTGTTCGGTATTTGTCGTTCCCTGTGACTCTGCGAAGACGGCGAGCTCGATAGTAGAGTATTGTGGATGCTGATGTTTCAGGGACGAAGAAGAACCAGATGAGCACGACGGGAGCGCTGAGCCAGAGCATTTCCCATGATACCCAGTGCCAGTTCTTAGCTGGGGCGCTGAAGTTACCGACAACGGGGGCGAGGGCGGGTCCGAAGACGGTGGCAGCTCCCCAGAGAACGAGTGCGTATGGAACTTTGATTAGAGGGTACTTCAACGGGTTAGCATAACCCTAGAAAGTGCAGGTGGGAGGTGAGAACGAACCATGTCACCAAAAGAAGCTCCTCCAGTAGCAAGCGCAGGAGAACCTAGCAGACAGTCAGCGTTGCCCAGACCAGTTAGGGCTTCGAGACCCACCGAAGAAGCCAGTCAAGAAGCGAAGAACGAGGTAACCAGGGAAGTTCTGGACTGTTGAAGCACCAATCCATAGCATTGTATAGAGGAACAGGGTGATGATGTACGGAGGGTTCCTGCCCACTGCCGTCATTCTGCGAATTGTCAGATACGAACTTCACATGCTTGGAACCAAAACTCACTCGCTGATGGGCGAAAACAACAATGGTCCCAGTCCATCTGCAACCGTTATCAGTATAGCAATGGATCTCAGAATATGAGTCACTTACAGCCAAAGACGTAGAGTGCCAAAGCCAGCGACGAGACCTCAATGCTCACACCAAACTTTTCGACAATTTCTGGTACAGCACCGACAGTTATCGACGAGCCGAAGTAGACGACGAAAGAGTAGAAGCATATAACAAAAGAGACAAATGCTTTCTTGAGCGGGCTCCAGTTCTGAGGATTTTCAGGGTCGTCTGACAGGAGTTAGATACACTATCAAAACCATCCAGCGTTGAAGTTAAGTACCAGTCGTATACCAGTCCACCAGAATTAGTCCATCCGACGTTTGGGTAGGTTTGATCGGCCTGCTTTGGTTCTTCGCGAGCTCGTGGTAGCTCTGTTGAGTTACTAGGCGTTCAATGAGATTCTGGTCGAGTTCGTCCTTGCTGAGATTTGTATCGGCTCGTTCGAGATCTGTTGACGATGACGATCTGCTGGTGGTCTCTTCCTCCGTGTCCTTTTCGAGGTCTTGGACGTGATCGCCCGCAACTGCAGGATAATATGGATGCTGGAAGGTATCCGTCTCCTCGATATGCTGCAGTCGCTTGTTCTTGCTGAAAAAGCGAACTGTAAGCCCAAAGGGCGAATCACGGATTGCGTCCCACATGGTGGTCACAAAAATAAGCAGTTGTGTAGATAAGCTGTGCTCTGGAGCGATTGATGGCTGTGTTCGAATGCCATGTTGGAACCGTGTATGGGCAAGGTCTTATAACCGCAGGATGAGTCCTCCAAGCCATTAGGTATTGTTAATAATGCGCTGATATGTAATTGACCCGAGAAGGCAGTCGAAGTCATGATATCTTCTGGATACGTCTGCCAGCACTGCACTGAATCCATGGTCCAGGCTAATTACATGTAGCAGCAAATCAAGGGCGTTGGTTGGATTGCTAAGCATCTTCTCCGCAATCTCGATTAATGATCACGAGCTTGAGCTTATCCGATTTCTAATCATGGCAATGACGTCATTTCCAGAAAGAGGGAATGCATCGAGCCAGAATTCGATTGGTTAAGCTAGTCCCATTTAATGGCCAATCACCGGGGCCAGTGGGCCACAGAGTTGGCACAGACATCCCCTATGCCAGCCCTAGGTACAGAACGGACTAGGAATTCCGAAACCCGAGCCCGATCAGCTATGTATACCGGTATGCCCATGGCCAAAAGGTATACATTTTCATTATCTTTCCCAAGAAGATTCAGCATACTAACTAACCACTTTAACAACTAGGGCAACGCATCGGCCAAGGTCTCTATCCAGGATTAAGATCCCCGGTTTCGTCCTTACACAGGACATTTCGGTAATGTCGTCGAGCTAGGCGTGCTCAATCCTTGGCCCCAGGCTCAAACCCGCGAGCTTGTTAGCGATAGTGATTATTGCATTTCCACCAGCATATCTGACCACCGGATGGTCTAGGAAAGCAATTCTAGCGTATATTCTACATTGTACAAATGACATTATCCACACCATCCTCACCCAAGCACATTTCTTACCCCCGACGCCAAAAGCGCCCTCGCATATAGCTCATGCAGCCAGATCACTGGCTCTGGCATCGGCAGCTTTCTCGTCTCACCAAGCCCCTGAAAGAAGACAGTCTTGCACCCAAACTCAACGACATCGCGCTGGTGATCCACCGACGCCGAGAGCTCAATCAATCCGTCCAGCGGCCGTAACCCCCGATTCGAGATCTCGTCGCCGCCACGGATGAGGATTGAATCTACCGATCGCTCAACCACCTCAAAGTGGCCCGCGATGTCAGTGCCTGGTTGATATGCGGATGCGAGTAGTTCGGTGTGGGTCCATAGGGATGCAGGGCTAGTTGTGTCTTTGTGCTTATGAGCCCGTGTAAGGAGGAGGCGTTGAGGTGCGAAGCCTGTAGCATTGTTGTTAGACTCTTATACATCGCTATGAAAACCTGATAGGTATGAGGTTCGAACCTAACCCGCCCCAAACCCCACCACAATAGCGCTCTAGAAGCCTGCCATGGTCCGCACGCAACGAAGGGTCGATTCGCGACAACGGAACCCTCTGGACATGCAGGTCGTGGATGGTCGGATTGCCATTGGGATTGCACTGCTTGAAATGTTCCGAGTGGAAGATTGGATCTGACGCTGCCAGGGGAATGAACTCGATTTCTCGGGTGATGTAGATGAAGGAGAGGATCGTGCAAGCGCCCCCTGTTGTTAGTGTGCCGCCGAGGAGCCTCCATGGGATTGCGGGCGGCATCTTGACTTTTGTTCTCGATAGGAGTAATTAGTCACGTCAGAGGATAACTGAGTATAATTATAATTGAAAATTTAGGCAATGTCAACATCTTTGCAATAGCCTATAGGTTTGCTCTTAGGGCATGGGTCCCGAGCTAAGCCCCTTTTGGTCGGAAACCCGAGCAGGGCCCATCCATGATCTCTTTGTTCGGAGGCCGACAACGTGCGCATTCCGAGGTTACGGTTCTCTAGTCGGAACAGTCCCGCTCGAAGATCTGCTGGGTCTATCTACCCAACCGGTAGGTAGTGGCGTAGATGCCGGTCAATGCCGATTGGCGCCTTTGTTGGGCTGGGCTGGACGAGAGATCAGTTGGTAGGTAGGCTGGACGATAAGCAATGACTAAAAGCCCCGGATGGACAAAGAACAGCGTATGCTCGTCTCAGGAGGGCCAATGGATATTGGCCCTATTGGCCCTACTCGGTGGATCAGTGGTTCTTGTGTCACCTCCGTCTGCCGGGCACCTTATAAAAATGCCTACTCCTGTTACCGCAGCCCGATCCTACCAGGCCTTTGCATTCCTCCAACCACAATGTCGACCATCCTTATTACTGGCAGCTCGCGAGGCCTCGGCCTTGAGTTGGTGAGGCAGTTCTCCGCTCAAGCTGGTAAGCAGGGAGGCTTGGTTATTGCTACCGCTCGAAGTTGCTCGCCGGCGTTGAAGGAAGCAGTCTCGCGGTCGAATGGATTGGTGGTCTTTGTCGCCCTTGACTTGGCCGATGAGAAGAGTGTTACCAACTCCGCTTACGAGGTACGGGGGTTTTTGCAGGGTCGGAGCCTGGATATCCTCATCAACTGCGCGGGCGTTTATAGCGTGACATCTGGAAAGACTGCTGAAATGTATGCTTTGTCCAAACTTCATTTTACGGAGTTCGGAACTGACAGCAATGCGCGATATAGGCCCGATCTTGACTACCAATTATCAGTCAATGTAGTTGGTGCACATAACGTCCTTCGCCAGTACATACCTTTGATGCAAAACAGCGACGTGAAGAAGGTTATCAATATGTCAGTTCAAGCTAATCCGGTCTTCCTCGTTCACCACCTAGAATAGCACTAACAGTCCATCTCACAGCTCAAGCGGCTACGGGTCCCTAGCTCTGGCCCAGAGCTATGTATACGCTCCATGCCCAGCCTACAAAATCAGCAAGGCCGCATTGAATGCACTCACCGTTCAATATGCGCTGTCATATAAGGACGAGGGCTTCACTATGGTTGCCGTAAATCCGGGGGTAAGTCGTCCACTGCTGGGGTGCACTATCGCCGTTGCTAATCCTTCTCCAGTGGTTGCAGAGTGATATGGGCGGGGAGAATGCCGATCTGACCGTAGCCCAGGGTGCGGAGGCCGTTATGGATGTTGTGATGAGCCTCAAGTCCGAGGATAATGGATGTTTCAAGAGCATTCGCGTGCCTGGATGGGATGGTTCTAATGGGAGGGCCGTTTATGATGGGAAGGATTTGTTGTGGTGAATCTTGTCTCAAAATATGTAGTTGACTCGAATACCTAGCCAAAGGTCGTGCTGCGCTCAACCCCAGAACCGTAGAACCATTCGTGACCGACAGGTCTAGATGGCCATGCTTAGGCAAGACAAGAATAAATTCAGAAGACAGAGAGAACACACCGGAGATCGTTGAATGAGTCAACTCCAAATGTGGAAGGGCCCTGCTTAGTCATCTTGTCGCCAGAAGCTTCAAATCCTCACCTTCGCTCCTTTCTTTAGCCAACATGCGCTAATCATGTCTCAAGGCCCTTTCGTCACTAGCGACATTCTTCCCGCTGTAAGCTCCACTGGTTGCGCACTTTATGCTGAATTCTCAAGCCCAGGCCTTAGCTAACGAAGCGTTCCAGTGCGATTTGTGTTATGGCAGAAAGGTATAGACTATATCTGATTTATTCGCGTCTTTTGGGATGCCCTGATCTGATGTATTTTACCTTGACCAGGTGAAATGCGATAGGCGATTGCCTTGTGCCAATTGCGTTGATGCTGGTGCGGAATGTCAACGCTTGCGGCAGGGAAGGTCTTCTAGGAAGAGGACATTGCCAAAGTTCGTCAGCCTTTACAAGATACGGAGCTCTCTATGTGATCAAGCCTTACTGATACTAGTTGGCAGCGAATTGTTGTCCGCAGAATCGATAGTAGATCTTGGTGAACCAGTACGTCGAATACGACGGTCAGAGCAAGCATCGCAAGAGCTTCGAACAGAAGGCTGATATTAATTCAGGACGAACGATTCCCTACAAAGCCCAACTGTTGGAGACTCATCCGATAGGCAGATGGTCACAGAGCAAAGTCCCGTTGTGCTTCGACAGGTTACAAGGGGGACATCTCCGATTGCTACCCCCTCAACCGAAGGTGACAATGCCTCGAATTACCATGCTATCCAGGCCAAGAACATCATTCAGCTTGAGCTAGATGATTCTAGGTTTAGTCAGGAACGACAGGCCATATTGAGATCTGCTCTTCAGCTGGTGACCAAGATTGCTGCTAGTGAGCGTCACCAAGCTGACATGGTTGCGGAGGACCTGTCAGATGACGGACTTGATGTCCCTGAATCGCCTCCTCGAGAAATGCTCTTCATGCTTCTTCGAGGTATGTCAAGTTATTACCCAACGATCATCGTGACTAACTCGACCAGGTCCGACGGAGTCGATGGGCAGTGAATGGCCAGACCACATTTCCGACAAGGCATACGAGCGGATGGCGACAGCGTTACTCGAGGGAGAACTCGATCCTAACGAGCGGCTATTCCATCAGTACTCTATTTGCGTTTACGTAAAGGCTGTCTATCGTTCGTTTCGACTCTATCGCGCTACCGAAAACCAGGCTATAAGACGCCAGCTCTCACAATCCAAGAAGATCTATACGCGCGCGGCGATCAAAAGCATCCGCCAGTTTAACCCGCTCCAGTGGCCCGATTTGGTATCTATACAGTCGTTGGTCTCTAGCGTGAGTTCATGGATTCTTCCTATGTTATTACGGACATACTAACACTGGCCACAGGCCCTGCTTATGCAGAATCTAGGGAGATTCAACCAGTGCTGGCTCATCATCTCTTACGCTGCTCGGCAGATTACTGCCCTCAATTACCACAAGATTCATAAATCACAAACATACACGGAAACCGAAGAAGAGATCTACGGCGCCGTGTGCTGGTGCTATTATCTCGATCGAACATTGAGTTCTCTTTTAGGTCGACCCGTCTCACTTCCCGACCTCGAGGTTTCCCCTGTTGACCTAATCACACTGGACCCGTCTTCACCATATGGTGGCGTCTTTCGCATCGTGCTTGAGCTCGCCGAGATTCAAGGAGAACTACACAGGATATCCAATCCTAACATGAACGAGGCAAAGGCGGTCGTCGAGACATGCCAGGCTTTGGAGACAAAGATGCACAGCATGCTTCCGACAATACAAGCGGTATGCCTCAACTTTTAATTCATACTAAGCAGGTTGCTAAGATAGGTTATACCAGAATCGCGACGCGCTTCCCAAGTTTGTCCAATACGACTGGGCCTCCTTTGACTTTTGTTATTACGCGATATTCGTGGAAGTGCAGCGAACACGCTTGAAGAGCTTTTTTACTCCGCTGATACATAGACAATGTTTGCTAAATGCTCGAAAATGCCTCCAAGCGTTCCGATTTCTCCAGCAGCATCAGCATCCGGTCGAGCCGTCGTTTGGCGATCCGTACCCGTCATTCCTGACATGGTCTGACGCCCGCTTACATTCCTTACGTACTACCTTCTAACCTCGTATATACAGGACGCTATTTCTATATCCTCTCAGCGCGTTCTTCGTGGTCTTTTGTCATATCATTGGCACCCTAGATCGCAACGACTATAACCTCATGCGAAGCATCACCGAGAGCTTGTCTCAGTTCAAACAAGATCCCCATCTAGGAAAGCTGCTGGGTCTGCTGCAGTCTTTGGAGAGGATGTGCGAGCCCTTGTTTGTGGAGAGAGATACGGACGGTGCCTACCCAACGAGACATGTTCCGCCTGCAGATGTACACATACAGCAAGAAGCGGGGACGTCTACCACTCCTGCCACGAACGGCCATACCGCTGCCAACGTCTCAGGCCCTGTCAATGATATCCCCCAGATCAATTATATTGGTGACGGCGACGCCGGCATCAACCTTTTGGATAATGAGTCGATGCACTTCCACAATACTGAAATGGATCTTTCAGCTGAGGGGCTTATGTGGCAGCTCTTCAATAGCGAGGTCCCTGCTGGCTGGCTGACGGCGGATATGTACTCATTTCATGGCTGAGAAGGCGTCTGATATCTCTCTAAACATGGGCTTCTAGGTGAATATGACAGACGGATATACTGCTAACCCGGTTAACGCCCAGAACGGTGATCCAGCGGTAAGATGTTGAGTGGTTAAGACGGTGAACTTCTGACAATTCAATGCGAATACCTAAATCCCCACGTGAGTCACCTGGTGGTCTTATCTTATATCTTTTGGAACAAAGCACTAACAAGTGGCCGTCGAACCCCAGTCTTACCACATTCCTTTTCTTTTACTGTTATATATACTCCCATCCTGATCATATTTCAACATCGATGCGACCAGGGTCCGAGTCCTTGACATGAAACTGCTACTGCGCATTGTATCTCTCAATCTTCGTGAACAGATCTTGCGGCATTTGGGACAATTCGCCGGCACCATGCGCAGAAACGTAATGCCCTGCCTAGGAGAACGCGGGCGATAGTCTGGGACATGGCCCTGGCCCGTCTGCATTTCAACCCTGACCTGTTCAGGTTATATGTGCGTGTTTCCAAGATAATTAATACTGAGGAATACGGATGGCTTCTTGGGCTCATCCTCTGATACTCGCACTCAAGGCCATGGCCATGCTACACTGTCCCTCTCCACCAATGCATGTTTTGCGCTTCTTATTATGCGGTAACCACGCACTGCGCCACTTTCACACTCCAGAAAGCATGCCCATAAATCGACATGCACCCGTGAACGTCGCCAGCTTCCTACCAAAAGGCCCAATTAGCCTCTGCAGGAACATGGTTGGAGGCATTATCTGACTAGACAGCTCCAAATGCTCTGTTGATCCAGACTATACGGGGCTCTCAGTTAGACGGTCAGTCTTGATGCCTAGGTAGGCTCGTTTCCGTCTGATCGTTGCGCCGCGGCTGATCGCCACGTGGTAAACCCAAACCTTTGAGCTTGATGACGATGGAACTGGATGTGTGGTCCGGCAGCAAGATCCGCAGATAAGAGTCATGGGCCACCAGACCACGCAATGGCCACGCGGACGCAGTTTCCGAATCAAATAAGACTATGACGGCCTTTCGTCCCACAGCCGATCTGGAAGTTCTCCATCAACTCGTCTCATCCCAAGCAAGCTGGTTCATCGACGATGCCGCGCTCCATCAAAAAGGTCCTGGTCTTTCTTGGATTCTCCAAGCGACGAGGGGGTTACGAACGTCTAACCCCTCAAGAGGAGGCCCGCTCGTCCTTATTACTAGAGCTGCCGCTTGAAATTCTGCTTCTTATCATACCGCACTTACCACTTGTATCCCAGGCCTGCCTGGCGCTCACCTGCAAGCCTCTCTACAGACTAATACGCTCTGCCCACGATAACGAACAACTGGCCTGGCCGAGGTATCTGGCTAACCCTTTACCCTCGTGCAAACTATATGGTAATGATAGCATACGGAGTGATCTCTTGCTCAAGCTGGAAGACTCCCGCTGGAAATATTGCCGTGGCTGTCTCAAGCTTCACCCGGAAAACTGCTTTATATACGGAACGTCAGGCTTACCATCATATCGATATTGCATTGGTGACGTGGGTGTTGTCGATCTATGCGCCTGCCTTGCCCTGACCTGCTGGAGCGGCGCAAAACTCGCGGCCTGGATACAGACAGGGGCACCGAGCAGATTCCTTCACCGAGCCGTCCGTCAGGGATTCCAGTTCCAAGTGCTCAACAGCAGACGGTTCCTTGTTCACAACTGTACGGTGACAAGCCAACCTGACGCCTTCGTCGCCCTCAAGATCATGGTCACCCTCAATGCTGAAAACTGTCTAGTAGTCACGACCAGATACGACGTCTACTGGTCATCATCGCACAAGTATCTCGGCGATTATTGGGACTACCGAGACAGCTATCGAACGCCGCACAATACTGAGCCGGTATTGTTGTGCCCGCATGTGCATGCCCTAGCTTGGCTGTACAGAGCCTATCTGTTCGAGACAGGGTACAAACACAAATGCCACGCGTGTGATACAGAGATTCGCTGGCTTGGCTGCAGTGACGATGGCCTACACATTGTTATCCAAGGCGAACGTAATCTGGGAGCCATGCCACACGATCCCGCCCAACGCTTGTGGATGTTGGACAGTTCTCGGCGCTGGGAGAAGGGTCCTCGGTATCCCGGTAACGCGATGGAGCAACTATGGTATGAGCGGATTTAGAGCCCGCAGGGTAGGGCTGGTAATCCAAAGTTGCTTATCCATGGATCTATGATAGAGTAGTGAATCAAACAATTAGATTAATCTTGCATTGCACTCATCGAGAAATTAAAGAACATCAACACTCGGTAGCCGCGGTTCAAAATATGCATCCGATACTCGAACACCATCTAGAGAAACATGACATCCCATCTCTTGGTCGAAGCCCGTCAGACCATCGATATCCTTACCGTCCGGGCGAACATTGGGCATTGCTGGCGAAAGAAATGTTGATAAGAGCATCGCAATCCGCAAGGTAATCGAACATGGTCCAGCACGACAGTAAGGGGCAAGCATGACCACATCTATCTCTAAATAGCAAGGACTCAGTACTCCTAGCTTGAGAGCAAGGAAAAACGCCCGGCTGTAAGCCACAGTGCAAGCAGAGAGGTGTGATCTGGAAGAAAGAATTATCTACGTGGGTATGCGTATACCCTACGATACAGCTTCAGATGGACAAAGGGCTTCGTTGACATCCTATCGAGACGGAGCGGGGCCAAGAATGAGCCCTTGCCAATTTGCCAATTTCAACATAGGGCAGGTGCCTTTTTGTATACCGGCTCCTGATTACCTCTCGGGAGTCGAATGAGAAGTACATGTAGCAGTGGAAGCTCAATTCAGTGGTCAGACAATCTCATCTGAAGTCGGTCCCAAGCTGGAGCGTACTATGTATCATCGGCATCCTGGCCCTAAGGCGTAAGAGAAGGCAGGACGAGCGAGTCAAAGGATATTTGCGTTTTTGACAGCTCGCAGGATCTCCTCCCAGACCTCGACGGCCTGAGAGACAGTATCATGATCCGTTCCCTTGACGACAACAGACCGAAAATCAATTCCCTGCAACCCCTCGGCCCTCCAACACTCCTCGAAGTACTTCTGGCCCTTGTATCCCACCATTGCATCTTTCTCAGCAAAGTACACCCGAACAACTAGTTCCCCACCAGCAGCGTGCTCCCTTGCTCCTAATTCTCTAACGCACGTCCTGTAATCTGAACAAGCGCCCCAGTTACTACCCGCCTCTCCCTTCTTCAGACAAACCAATGCCTCATCGTTCGCCCCCACCGTCTCCCCTTTGAACAAGGCATCCACCACTAGCCGAGATAGTTCGGCCGACTCTTCTTTGGGAACGCCATAGTCACGCTCAATGCGCCGCCAGTTTGAGTCGAGGAATGTCTTGTCCTCCTCTGCTTGGGTATTATTGTTCGTCCCCGGTAACGAGACCGACGATATCCCTCGCATCACGGCACCACTGGACGCCAGCATGGGACTCGCTTGCGTCACGACGAACCGCGGGATATGGTGCCAGAGGCTGAATACCTTGGTTGGAAGATACTGTGCCATTTGCATTGATGTGACATGGGAGTGAGCGGGGTCCACCCAGGGCGCTTAGGGTTATCAGTACATAGCCCGCAGTTCATCGTATGCAAGCAAGTGAGAGTTTGGTATCGTGGAGGTACTTACCCAAGAAAAATAGCTCCCTGGTCACGACACGCCGACACCTTGCAAGCGTGTTCAACAGATACACTGTCCCCGCACTATGGCTCACCAGGCTGACCTGTTCGATACCGAGCTGCTCCAAGAACATCGGGAGCATATCGACCCAGGAATCGATTCGTTCTTCGACGCGAACCCCCGTTGACCCGCCTATACCGGGCCTATCAATAACGATCAACCGCACGCCTGTGTGCTCAGCGAGGACATGCAATGGGAGGCCAAGAAATCGTGAGGCGAACATTCCAGGAAGCAAGAGTAGGACTGGGCCGGTGGGGCAGCCGAGATCGGTATAGGACATCTGGCGGGGGCCATTGGGGACTGACGTGGGGATAGTTATGTGGTGATGGTAGGTTGGGGAAGTGAGAAGCGCCTGGGGGGTGATTGACTCGGCCATGGTCGATTTCTCAGAGTTGTGTATCCAGAAGTCTACGGGTTCGCGCAGTGCACCCTATGGATGTCGTCAAGGTTGATGAGCTGACCACAGCCTCAAAGTGGTGCTATCACGGGAGCCTGAGCTGTTCCTATTAGGGTTAGAGGCGAGAATGTATGGTGGCCGAGAATAATCATGGATGAGATGAAGCTGGAACTGAAAAGATAAGTCATATCAGGGGTCGAATGCCTATACAGAAAGCTTCATCTGTCGGAGGAAGCGATTCTTGGCTGTCGCCAGGCCATTGACGGCGAGGTTCTTTCTCTCCCAAGAGACTTGAGTCATGTACCGTAGAGGACCGCCCGGTGTATACGGACATGTCCAGTTATTGAGCAGACCATTAACAAGCAACTGACAAGACGACTCATCGCGAAGAGTCGCTCAGCGTGATATGAGTTGAAGAAGCACTACCATACGGAGAAGAAGACTGATCAATTCCGTCTCAAAACAGAAGGCGACGGATTCACGTGACTTCGCGCCGTTCCCCGCGTCTCTTCGTCGGAGGCAGACGCGAGGCAGAAACAGTCGCCTCAGAGAGCAGGACGATGCACAACGCCCCTTCTATCACTTTTCAGGCTTCTTAGGAGGCGGTAGCAGCGATATACTCACCATGTAAGTCCTCATATGATACTTGCCAGGCTGTACCCACATACTGACGAAGATAGGTGTAAGTAGCGGAGCTTCGAACTTCTCCGCAGCTTACTGACTTCTCCGATAGCGAAAGTCGACAAACTCTCGATCTTGGGGTCAGTCCATAAGTTATTCCTAGCCATCTTGGAATTCTTGCTAACCAATTTGACGCCTTTCAGTGTTCGCTCCTTCGACAACACCCGCAGCGAAACGATCCAATTCCATACGCCGCTCACCTTGATCGTCGGTTACAATGGTTCCGGGAAGACGGTAGCGATATCTTTTGCTCGATCAGAAAGGCTCACGCTAATCCGTCCTAGACCATCATCGAATGTCTTAAATATGCCACGACCGGGGACCTTCCGCCCAACAGCAAGGGTGGCGCGTTCATCCACGACCCGAAGGTACGTATAGGGAATTTAATAAAGACGGGGTCAATGCTAAGGGATACAAGCTATGCGGAGAGAAAGAGGTCCTTGCCCAAGTGAAGCTATCTTTCAAGGGCACATCGGGTGCAAAGATGGTGGCGACCAGAAGTCTACAGCTCACGGTGAAGAAGACAACGCGATCGCAAAAGACACTAGAGGGCCAACTTCTTATGATCAAGGATGGAGAGCGAACTGCGATCTCATCACGGGTGGCAGAGCTGGATCAGATCATGCCACAGTATTTGGGAGTCTCCAAAGCCATCCTCGACTCCGTTATTTTCTGCCATCAAGACGAGAGTTTATGGCCTATGAGTGAACCTTCCGTTCTGAAAAAACGGTTTGACGAGATATTCGAAGCCGTCAAGTACACGAAGGCAATTGACAACATCAAGGCGTTACGGAAGAAGCAGAACGAGGAGCTTGGCAAGTACAAGATCATGGAGCAGCATGCCAAGGAGGACAAGGAGAAGGCCGACAAAGCTGAGAAGAAGTCTATCATGCTCCAGGAAGAAATTGAGAACCTGCGAGCTGAGACACAACAACTAACTCAGGAAATGCGTCGGGTCGCGGAACTTGCGGACAAAGCGTGGAAGGAGTCCGAAAGCTACTCTCAGATTCTCGGCGCACTAGAGGGTAAAAGGATCGAAGCGAGAAGTATCCAATCCACGATCGACAATCTCAAACGCCATTTGGTGGAGCTCGACGAGCCGGATGAATGGCTGGAATCCAATTTGGAACAGTTCGAAGCGAAGCAAATTCAGTACCAGCAGCAAGAGGAATCTCAGAAAGAGAAGTATATGGAGATTCGGGAACAAATTGAAGAAACGCGCCACAAGCTCGGGCTCAAGCAGGCCGAATACGGTAAACATGAGAATGACAAGGCCAACTTTGAGCGCCAAATTGAAAGGCGTCAGCGGATGTCCAAAGATCTTGCACGAAACTACAACATTCGCGGGTTTGATAGGATTGTGGACCAGTCTGATGTGGACGAATTCATGGCACGGATACGCAAAATCTTGAAAGACCAGAATCAGTCGTTGGATCGAGCTAAGAGGGAGGCACATACCGAATTGAGGGAGGCACAGACATCAGTGAACAAGATCAGCGAGCGCAAATCTGTGTTACAGGAAAGCAAAGGTGCAGCCAAGCGTCAGATAGCTGCCAACGATCAAGAGGCCGCTGGCTATCAGGCCAAGTTGAATGGAATCACTGTGGACGAGGGCGCTCAAGCTGCTCTTGAGTCAAATGCTGAGGATATTCAGGCTCGCCTGAACCAGGCCAAGGAGCGTGAACGATCTGTTTCTAGAGACAAAGATATTCAAGATTTGAACTCGCAGATTCGAGAGCTCGAGGATGAAAGCTCCCGCTTGAATGCGGAGCTTATCCAAGCAACAAAGAAGGCTGGCGACCTGGCCCGCTTAGACCACCTAAAAAAAGAGCTGAAAGATCGGGAGCGGAGCTTGGAGACGATGAAGGGTGCACATGGGGAGCGCCTTTCCAAGCTTGTGGACCAAAACTGGAAGATCGATACGTTGGAGCGAGACTTTCAACGCACCCTTGAAGACGAATCTAAAGCAGTATCCCAGGCTGAACGCGCAAGGGATGCAATTAGCCGCGAACTGGAGCAGGTTGAGTACAAGCTGAAGAACGCTGAAAGATCCCTGAGCCAGCGGCAAAAGGAGCTTAAGGAGTGCGTTGAAGAAATTCGCGAAGCCATTGATGATGAGCCCGAGGAATATCCCGACGTTGTCAGCCAGCGGCAGAACCAGCTGGACATGGCGAAGGGTACCGCTGAGCAAAGCGCTGGTATCGAAGAGTACATGAATCGATGCTTGACAACTGCTAAGCAGGAAAAGGTTTGTCGAGTATGCGCTCGGTCGTTCAAGAACGAAAGCGATTTGAAGATTTTCTTCAACAGGCTCGAGGCATTAATAAATAGAGCGAAGCTGCAGGCACAAGCCGAGGACGTCGACCAATTAGAACAGGACCTCAGTGCTGCTCGTGCCGCCAGCACGGCCTACGATACCTGGAAGCGTCTCAAAGAGACTGAAATTCCGGAACTCCAACAGGAAGACGACAAATACACCTTAGAACGCGATGAGCTTCTGGGTCAACTGGAGGACCGTGACAAGGCTGTCAGTGAGGCGACTGAGAAGAAGCGCGACGTTGAGGCTCTGTCCAAAACAGTGAGCACTATCGTCAGGTACAATGGCGAGATCAAATCCATCCGCTCTCAGGTTCAAGAACTTTCTTCGAAGCAGCAAGATGGGGCGGCTTCCCGTACGCTCGAGGACATTCAGGATGAGATCGCCAGCATTGGCGAGAAATCCAGAGCTCTTAAGAAGTCTCTTACGAAGCTTACAAATGAGAAAGAACAGGCTCGTGCAGAGCTCAACAACCTGGAACTGCAACTCCGAGATGTGAAAAGCAATCTTGACAATGTCAAGTTCCAACTTGAGAGGAAAGCTGATCTCGTCGCTCGCATAGAGGAGTACAAGACGCTCAACAGCCAGCAACGGGAAACAATTGCAAAGGCGGACAGAGACATCGAGGATCTGAACCCCGAGCTGCTCAAGTATCAAGCCAAGTATGATGATATCAGCCAAAGGGCTGAAGCACGCGAGCGAGAAATGCAACAAGTAATCTCCCAACTGTCTGATAGCATACACCAGGTAGAGCTTGCGAACGAAGAGATCGACGCATACAATGAGCGAGGTGGCCCTCAGCAACTCGATCGCAGCAGACGTGAACTGAAGTCCATTGAGGAGGAAATCGGCCAGCTTGAAACCGAACAGGCAGATATCACCAGGTCAATCAATAAGATATCCACACAACTCAAGGACAGCGAGAACACAAAGCGCCAGTACGCCGATAACCTGACATACCGCCAGTCAGTGCGAGCTTTCGAAAAAGTCACAAGCGAGATCCAGGAACTCGAAAGCAAAAACGCCGAAGTCGACAGAAGCCGCTTCAAAGAGGAATCCGAGCGCCGGTCCCGCGAACACAACGCCCTCTCTGCGAAACAATCCAGCAAGATGGGCGAAATGAAGTCCAAAGACGACCAACTCATGCAACTCATCAAGGACTGGGATACGGACTACAAAGATGCAGCGTACAAGTACAAGGAATCGCACATCAAGGTCGAAACGACAAAGGCCGCCGTCGAGGATCTCGCCCGCTACGGCACGGCCCTTGACAAGGCAATCATGAAATACCACGGTATTAAAATGGAAGAAATCAACGCCATCATCGGCGAGCTCTGGCAAAAAACCTACCGCGGCACAGACGTCGACACGATCCTCATCCGCTCTGACAACGAAAACGCGCGTGGCAACCGCTCCTACAACTACCGCGTGTGCATGGTGAAACAGGGCGCAGAAATGGACATGCGTGGACGATGCAGTGCAGGCCAGAAGGTCCTCGCTAGTATTATCATCCGCCTCGCGCTGGCCGAGTGCTTTGGCGTCAACTGTGGCCTGATCGCGCTGGACGAGCCAACGACGAACCTCGACAGAGACAATATCCGCTCGCTTGCTGAGAGTTTGCATGACATTATCAAGGCGAGACAGCAGCAGTCGAATTTCCAGCTTATTGTTATTACCCACGACGAGGAATTCCTGCGCCATATGCAGTGCGGTGACTTTAGCGACTACTACTATCGGGTTTCGCGCAATGAGAGGCAGAAGTCGATTATTGAAAGGCAGTCTATTGCTGAGGTAAGCTTTAATCCTTCAGCAGTGCTTCCAGGACGTTTGAGCTGATGTTTGACTCCCTTTAGGTTCTGTGATTGCCCGCCATTCGGTGTCCTCTTCTGGAGTCCATCTCGGCCTTTTCTTTTCTTTTGTGCGAGATTATGAGAGATCTTTCTTAGTCTCAGGTTATTTCGACCTTTTCACGTTTTTCCATTTCATGTACGCCATTTGAGATACTCAAGTTTAGCATGTGTTATCGGCGTACGGTAGGTAGGGCATGGGTAGGGATAGGTGTCAAAAATAATAATCAGTCTCTTCGGGTAGGTCTCCTTCCACAAAGTAGTAATTCTGAACCTTGGCCTCCGATAGTGCCTAACTATGGTACGGTTCTACCTGTGTAAGTTTATAAATCGTGCACAGTCTGGGCTTCATTGGACGATGGGGACTTGTATCTACATGATGTCTTGACAACCGAGAAAGGAGCGAGAAGAGCGACACCTAGGTGGATGGATATACATTCATGGACATATACAGCTCTAACTCCGAACAGGCACCGTCTGACATCAGATGGTTTCTCCTCATTGCCGTGTCTAGCCCAAATCCTCCCTCACAGCCGCACCCCCCAGCTCATCTTCATCAAGCAGCGGGACAAACCTAAAGTCCACGAAGCTGACTGCCGACCCCGGCGCATTCACATCCAATCCCCGTACAGAGCCAGAGCGCATACTATTACTCGTACTGACAGAACCGGCCGTATCAAATTCAATCATGAACTGCAGACTCAAGACTCCTTGCCGGTCACCGCGGATGCTCACTTTGTTTGCAGTCGCCATCGCACGGGCTGCCTTTTGAATGTATCCAAACCGGAAGTCCTGACGTAGACGCGTTCCCATTGAGGAGGGCGGGCTGACGAGGAAGGTCTCTGTGACTGTGGGCGCGAGTTTTGCTCTTGTTGCTCTGGCTCTCATCCCGTCGTTTGTCAGGACTTTGCGGTGTGTATCCGTTCCGTTGGTTTGACCGTCCTGGCCATCTTGTTGTTCGATAGAGAACTCGACTGTTGATTCGCTAAATGGGCCTCCCGCGCCGGAGAGGGTAAAGTATGGTTCTTCTTTTGAGGACGCCGAAATCTTCAGGATGCTGGGATTCGTGGCGCCGAGTTCGGTGATTGCGTTGTGTAGCCAGGCGGAGCGCATGATAATCTTCATGATCACGCCGTCGCGCTGGAACGGGATTTCCAGGTCGCCTTCGTCGGGCTCGTAGGTCGTAAGTTCGCAGACGGTTTTGACGCCCGTCTCGGCTAGAGTTATGCTGAGGGGGGAGCCGTGGGTTAGGTATTGGATCGTGCAGGACCGGTTGAGAAGTAAGGCCGGGGCTGTGAATGCGTTCGATGCTGAGGCGGCAGAGGGTTGGACGCTCGCTGCTCTGCTGCTGGCGGCGGCTGAGGAGTCGCCTACGCCGAATATTTTCAGTGTTTCCAGAAGAGCCGATAATGAGACGACGAAGCAGGGGTAATCGGATCCATCTGGTTCTGTGTCCATCGTAGTGTCATCGTCGGTACCGGCAGATGCGGGTGCATTGAAAGTATAGGTGGTGAAAAGAGCTTTGTCCAGGAATGCAAGTCCCTGTACCACTCGCCCCTCTTCCACGGAGAAGCGGATCCCGTCCGGCGTTATCTGAACAGTAGCATTCTGGGCGAAGCTGATGCAGTGTAGTAAGGTGTAGAGTTGGTTCGCGTTGCTAGAAACAGCAGTGAAGATTGGTCCGGTGTCCGTCATGGTTGCGGATAGATAGGAGATATAGAGCAGTACAGAGTGGACACCGGGTATTTATTGTATGTGGTGCTTCTAGTGATACAGCTTGCGTCTTCAATTCTCCAGACAACCGTACATGAGTATGTAGGAGGAAGATGCCACTTAGACGTAGACTCCAACGGCACAAATCATAAACACAGCTCCGAAACTGGCCAAATATCAGCAACCGCCGAGCAATAGAGACAAAGGTCATGTTACCCGAAAGCCAGAGATGCCGGAGCACCAAGCGACACAATGCTTGAGAATGATCGGTCTATACAATGGATTAGAGGAGGTTCGAGTAATACTATAGTGATTGACACTAACTCAGACCGAAAAGTCCCGTGAGTATGAAAGCTGGTAAGTGGTTAGCGAATAAGAACAATTGAATATGTGCCTGGACTCACCGAGCAGCAGAAGAGAAAAGCCGACAGTAAACTGGCTATCTTTGGCAATGAGAGGAGTATAAGGGCGTGCAGAAGCTGCTTCCCAGACCTGGTTAAGCGACATTGGGTATTGTACAGCAATTCAGACCAGCAGATTTGCAAATGAGAGTTAGAGCTGCGCACAAAATACAGCTAGAGCATTGAATGAACGGGATAGTTGAAGATGACAGACATCTCCAGTCGAGACCAGCGAGTCGGAGCTGATGAAGCTCCACGGAGAGTCGATCTGGCCCGACCGGAGCCTGGAACATTGTTGGCCCGGCTCCCTCCCCCCCATCATTCGCCGCGCGGCGAACAGCAGCGCCTATGCGACAGATCGAAATCGAGAGAAAAACCAGCATCATCGCCGTTTACCGATCCATAATGACTGAAAGTGAGTTGCAGGCTGTTAGGGCAAATCTGGTTCGACTGCGAAACGCCCATATTGACAGAATCTAGGCCCGAACGTAAAGCGGAAAGCCTCGGAGGAGGCTCTTTCCCCAGATTCTCAACAACAGAGCAAGAAAGCGCGCACAAACTCCCCGGAACGGGACTTGAAGGTACCTTTCTCTCTTCTATATGAATCTATATAATTTTTTCGTCTAATCACCCTGCGCATAGACCGAAGATGATCCGTTAGAGAAGCCGGCGTTGCGAATCGTTCCTTTCCCCGAGAAGGTGAGCCGCGGGCAATGTTCGGATGAGGGCCACGCTAATCCCAGATATAGCCTGCAGTACTGGAAGAGCGCCGAGGCGAAATCGAATTCCGGGTTGTCAACAACGATGGTTCTCGCGACAGCTTCGTGGTCCTTACCGGGCTGAAATGTATCTTCCAAAAACAGCTCCCAAAAATGCCCAAGGATTATATCGCGCGATTGGTCTACGATAGGTCTCATCTTTCGATTGCTATCGTTAAGCATCCGCTGGAAGTTGTCGGGTCAGCATCAACCCTCGGACTTTGTGGCCCTCTGTTCGCTAATTTCCATGTAGAGGTATAACTTACCGGCCGTTTAATAGCCGCAGGTTTGCAGAGATAGTGTTCTGTGCCATTTCGTCAGATCAGCAGGTCAAGGGATATGGCGCGCATCTAATGTCGCACTTGAAGGTATGCACTGAAGGGGAGCCCTCTTTCGTCAAAACCTCGGTGCTGACCTGGACATCTATAGGATTACGTCAAAGCAACTTCAGACATTATGCACTTTTTGACCTATGCCGATAACTACGCCATTGGGTATTTCAAGAAACAGGGGTTCACAAAAGAGATTCAACTGGACCGGTCTATATGGATGGGATACATTAAAGATTATGAAGGGGGGACAATTATGCAGTGCACAATGCTGCCAAAGATCCGGTATCTCGAATCGGGGCGCATGCTGCTGAAACAGAAAGAGGCGGTTCACGCGAAAATTCGTGCCTTCAGCAGGTCACATATCATCCATCCGCCGCCTAAGGAGTGGAAGAATGGGGCTGTCAAGATCGACCCATTAAGCATTCCCGCCATCAAGGAGTCGGGATGGTCACCCGATATGGACGAGCTTGCCCGTCAACCACGACACGGACCCAACTACAATCAGCTCTTACATCTTCTCAACGATATGCAAAACCACAGTGCAGCATGGCCGTTTACTCAACCTGTTAATAAGGATGAGGTTGTTGACTATTATGACATTATCAAGGAGCCAATGGATCTGTCGACAATGGAGGAGAAACACGAGAAGGACATGTACCCGATGCCACAAGACTTTATCAAAGACGCCACATTGATGTTTGACAATTGTCGCCGATACAATCCTGAAAGCACGCCCTACGCTAAAAGCGCGAATAAGCTGGAGAAGTTCATGTGGCAACAGATTCGAAACATCCCCGAGTGGTCGGTAAGTACTCCTAGCCCTTTCAACCCTGTTATCGCGGTGATGTAGTGGTAACCTTTATATAGCACCTTGCCGATGGCCATTGATGATATATCAACAATTTTGACATGGAGGCGTTGGATGGGAGTTTGGCTGGCGATTCCGCCTTGTTAGGGCTTTGATTACGAATACCCGGTTTAGCATGTGGCATTGTGGAGCGTATGGTCTATATCAGGCTTTTTACTTTTTATTCTATCCCAAACTGCATCAAGGGACGAACTCGATTGGTGAGACGGTTCCTCAGGACAAATGACGTATCCAATAAGTGGCCGAAGCTTTCAATCGTGCAGATCTCGAATCCAGGGGAACCCAGCCGCTGGGGATGATCCGGATTCCGATGATGTATTACAGCTGCTGGGCCCAACCATGGCGTGCTATCCACCATAGTAACGGTCTGAACGGAGATCGGCCAGGCCAAATTGTTTCAACGAACAAATGGTACCTGAGAGGATCTCTGGATCCAGGCCACTGGTGGCTGGCAGTGGAGCCATTCATTTCGGATCAATGTTGAGGCGGGCCGTTTGAAGAAACACTCCCATGCTTCACTGCAGACCACCAGACACTGCAGGAAACCTCATTGTGCCGGCTGGCTTGGCTCATCCTTTTCACATACTTCTATCCCCCTCCATTCACCTCTGAATGGCTTGGGCTTGCTCCTCTTGAACTTGCTCCAGTCCGGTGGCTGTTCGTTTTCCCCCTTGGACAACTTCCTTACCAAAGGGAGCTCGTCAGCCTCTCGTTTCGCTTTCGCACCTTATCCAAAATCTACGCCTAATTCATCTTGTCATTCGCTACCCTTGACTGTCGTTGAGCGTTGTTTTCTGTCGTTGAAGCCATCGAATAGACATTTCGTGGATGAACAGTGTACTTGTTTACTCGTATCTACTTCGGCCCTGGTCACACTCGTTCCCCCTTTTGGCCCCTCCTTGTTTCACGTCCGAGCTGAACAACCCGAATTTACGAACAACCGCTTGAGCAAACTCTTTACTCGACCATTCGGACCAAAATGGCGACGCCGGGTATGATAGAGCTGGAGCAGCGAAATCGCTTGCCGACGCTCTTCGAGGTCCTGAGTCGTCGGACTCTAGCACCTGTCGATCTCTTCTCCTTCTACATCTATATGCGCGATCAACAACGTTCTGTCGATTATCTGGACTTCTGGTATGCGCCCCCGAATGCGGCTCTTCATGATACTTGCTGGGCCAATGCTAACGACACAACGAATTAGGCTCGATGTATCCCAACACATGTCACTGTGCCGTCACTATGTCAGAGAACTACGACGATCCGTTCTGGTTGCAACCCCCGACCTCGAAAAGGCCGAGAGCAAAGGATCCTCGACGCCTTTGGAGAACTTCGAGAGTGTGAACGATATCCCACTTGTGGAAGCTGGGCCATCTGGGCTTCGACACGTTCTGCGGAACTCGGAGGATAGGGAGGCTGATCACAGATTGTCGGCTTTCCTCCGCACAGATGGACATTCATCTGGGCACTCTCCGCAGAATAGTCTAGGTTCGCAAAACGATGCAACCCGCACGATGTCGAATGATTTGCCAAGGCCGAGCTTAACCCAACAAGAGTCCGGCTCTCCAGGTCACACGGTTGCGCGCGGGGATATTCGTTCCAGTGCAGAGAAGATTCTTTACACATATTTGCTTCCAGGGGCCGAAAGAGAGATTGTTTTACCCGAAGAAATGGTATCTGGAATCATCAATCTGGTGGAAGATGACGGCAGAGACGACCCAGAAGTATTCGATCCGGCAAAAGACTACGTTTTCCAGGCGATGGAGCGCGATGCCTTCCCAGGGTTTTTGCAGGCGAAAGCCCTGGGTAACCTCGTCCCGTTGTCGATCATGGCACGTCTAGCGTTCGCTCTAATCAGCTTTGGTGGAGGTTTCTGGGGTGCCTTCTACGTGGTCCTCCGTGATAAACCAAGGCACATTCGTTGCTGGGTACGTAATAACCATCAGGCGATCATTTGTTATACTAACTTGGGGCAGATTATTCTACCTTTCGTCATCGCGTCCTACTTCATTGTCTCTTACCAATACAAGATCGACCCGGTCATGGCATTCGCAGGGTATAGCGAATATACCTTCATGAACTGGTCACCAGTTCGTGAACCATACGTCCGAAAACTCCTAGTGAAACGAGCTGTTGCCACAGTCCTAATTGCATCTTTTGTCGCTGCAGCATTGAGTATTTTGTTCATCTTGGTTCCCGGTACGATGCTTTAATCTTGCTCTTTTGATACCATGCTTCACGGTTATACGGTCTACTTCTCAACCTTACTCGGGAAATTCGATGTTGCCGCTGGAGTTGACCTATCATACTTGCAAGGTTGCCCCCGCCAGCCATCAGGGTGGGGGCCTCTACTCCAGCGACAGCATTCAGTTCTTGCGAGCATGCATCTGTTCAGCCTGTGCCATCTCCTTTGTCTTGGTTTTGAGCTTGGTTACTTTTTCTTTTATCTTTCTATAATACCCCTTCGGTCCTGAACTTGTACGTTAGATGACTTTTGCTGAAGCCTTGGTGTTGCGGATATCTCGTTGGTACTTGGTACTTAGTTAGCTTGGTATTTGAGTAATCGTAATCGCAGAGGTCTATTTGCAGTGTTTCCGTTGCTTATGCATCACGTAGTGGTGTCCATGTCATTAATAGCTAGGGGTAGTGGAGGACCCCGCAACAGTCATGCAATATTGATCCCAGGCTATGATAGAGATCTTATGCTACGTCTTCTTCCCAAGAAAACGTTTCGAATGCCTCGTTCCAGACCTCGCCCCGGCGCCCTCATCGATATCCATCCCAGAGCCGTGGGGATCAAAGTCATTGGGCCCTTCCTCAAAGTACCCATCATCATCAAACTCGCGCTTGTTACTCCCGCCCCCAAAGAAGCCTCTTTCACGGATTGCAGCGCCCAGATCTCTCGGTTTCCAGCCCATCTTCTTAGATCCGAGCCCGCCCTGGCTGCCCTGGGAGCCGCCTTGCCCTTGCTCGCCGCTCTGGGCGATCCACTTCTCAAGCGTCTTATCGAGGGCCACGGCGCGAGCATTCTCCTTGCTGCGGCGCTGCGCGGAGTCGGCTCTGATCTTCGCAATTTCGGCTTCGATGTCGGAGATTACGGATCCGCAGCGGGATTCCCAGGCTGAGAGGGTGGAGATCATTGATGGGAGGGAGGCGGGTTTGACGTCGCGGAGCGGAGCGACGGATGTGACGTTAACAGTTGGCGGGGTCGTAGCAGGCGAAAGCCTAGCCGTGATAAGTGAAGAGTAGATAGCGGCTGTGACGAGGGATTCGAGTTCGGACGGAGCAGAGAGGGAGAGAGCTGTCATGAGGGAGTCGTAGGTGAGGGGTTTAATAGTCGATGAGAGAGATAAGAGGGTGAGGAGACGGAGCTTGCGTGTCTGCTCGTCGCTGAGGGGTGGGAGGTTAGGTGTGTTCTGATAGTCTTGCCATGTTCCCCAGGCGAAGATCTCAAGGAGGGTAAGGTAGCCTTGGAGCTCGGCGGGGGTGTCTGGGGACCGGAGGGCTTGGATTGCGGGCCGTTCGAGCAACTCGGCGAAGACGTAGGTGTGTGGGCTGGAGGTTGCGTTTGTGATGATGTTGGCGGCGTACCGAGGGGATGAGGCGCTGCCGGAATCGGCGAGGGCGATGAAAGATTGGAGGGCGTCTAGGGCCCGGTGGTGGACTTGGTCCATCTCTGTTGAGTTCACGGAGCTTGAGCTGCTCGTGAATTCGATCGTCCGGTAGAGTAGGTCGTACGGTTGATGGTAATGTCGGCCGCAAAGGAAGAATCAAGTCGGGACGATTATCATATCGAGGCGAGAAATGGTGATTGAGTCTGCTAATGAGGCCGTTGAAACTTGAATACTGTTGATGGCCAGTGTACTCCGCAGTCGAGACTCGAGAGGTCAGGTCCGCTGAGTTTGCAGGCAATGCAAACACTCCCTCCACATCGTTCCAAGTGGGGGCATCATGGAACAAACGAAGCATACAACAGCTTTCTACGAAGTACTACTATGCGGCAGATTGTGCTAGTGCAATACTATTCAATGCCAAGGGCAGTCAGTTTGATGGCACATTGTGATGACTTGAACATCACGAGTCACATCTGAGCAAGGCACCATTGGTGTGACTGCTCCAAATTGGGACAAGAATGCTGCCTCTCACGCCATCTTCGTTCAGTGTTCACCATGAGCTTCAGTTAAGGTTGGACTTAATCATGCTCCTGCGAACCCCTTCCTTGAACCTGTCCCTGAAAAGGGGTAGGTGGCTGCAGCTTGGTAGGAGCTTTTTGAGATGCCGAAGTCTTGCCAGTGTTTTGCGGTATACTCTAGGTGAAACGCCAACCACTGTCAAGGATGTTTCGGGGACAAAGGACCCCCACGAACGCTTCAGGTATATCAATCAGTAATAGACCTGGAGCACGGCGTACGGAGATTTGGACCATACTCGACATTTTGCCGAGAATAGAAAGGAAAGAGACCACGTCTCTGCAAGCTAAGCTCAGGCACCCAGCATGCATAATGGGCTAGAGCTACGAAGTAGGCTACGACACCACTTGGCCAACCGTATCCAGCGATTATTGAGCGTTCAATAGATGAATAGAAGCGATGCAAGGCTCTGATTGGAACATAGACCTGTCCTTGTTGGGACCGACCGGATTCCATTGTCTCTGCGCTCAAAGCATTAGTCAGAGACTCGCAAATGCCCATCTATTCAGGTTAAGATGAGGAAATATCGAAATGCTCCGCCCGATCGCATGGAGCCTAGCACAGCTGGAGCAACGTTGATCGGCCAATAGTTCCATTTAGACAATGGCCCAATCTCCAATCTCCCTTGCGAGCACAGTTATCTCATTCTCAGCACTCGGCATTCAAGGAATCAGGCCAGGCGCCGTCAGCTCCGCTACTTCCGCCCCGTCTGATTAATTCCATTCTTCCCCTCGCCCTTTCTCATTCCACATTTTTCTTTCCGTCTTCTCGTCCTTAAACGCGACAGTTCGCTCTTATGCGGTGACCGTGGTTTATTCTCCGGCTTGTGCCTGGCTTGTCGCTATCCGTCGATAGTCTCGATACGATGGCGGTCCCCAACACGTTAGCCGCCGAGGATGGCGCCCTTTCTCCGAGTCGGCCAACATCGCAAATGGCTACGACCACCGTGAGCGTGGAGGGAATGACATGCGGCGCATGTACCTCTGCAGTCGAGGGCGCCTTCAAAGGTGTTGAAGGTGCTGGTGAGGTTTCTGTGAGCTTGATGATGAGCAGGGCCGTCATCCACCACGATCCCAGTCTCCTGCCTCCAGAAAAAGTCGCCGAGATGATCGAAGATTGCGGGTTCGATGCGACTGTAATATCTACCGATAGTTCCTCGATTCCGACGCAGAGCTCCGGCGATTTGAAGGCACATGCGACGAATCTCGCGACGACAACACTGGCGGTTGGAGGAATGACATGCGGGGCTTGCACTTCTGCAGTAGAAGGCGGGTTGGCCGAGAACTCTGGCGTACGATCTGTCAATGTCTCGCTGCTCTCCGAGCGCGCAGTGGTCGAGCATGATCTGTCGACGGTCTCGGCCGAGCAGCTTGCGGAGATAGTGGAGGATCGTGGCTTTGATGCAAGGGTGCTGGAAACCACGACATCCCAGGCTGACCCTCGCGGATCTCAGGACTTTACAGACACCCCCTCTCAGTCGACGATCACCACTGTTGCCATTGAGGGTATGACATGCGGCGCATGTACGTCGAGTGTACAGGGTGCCTTCGACGGCGTGGAGGGTGTGATCCAGTTCAACATCAGTCTACTCGCTGAGCGAGCAATCATCACCCACAATCCTCAAATGCTCTCTTCCCAGAAAATCGTCGACATGATCGAAGATGCGGGATTTGATGCCAAGGTTGTTTCGGAAGTTCAGGCGCACGCTCAGAAAGGCAACCTGACTCGAGTGACGCTTGACCTCCACGGCTTGCGCGATGCGAGCTCTGCTGCGGGTCTGGAGGACTCTCTAATGCAGAAATCAGGCGTTGTCTCGGCTTCAGTGACTCTCGCTACCTCTCGACTGGTGGTTTCATACGACACCTCTATGGTTGGAATCCGTGCAATTGTTGCCATCATCGAAGCCGCAGGATACAATGCTTTACTCGCGGACTCTGATGATAAGAATGCGCAGTTGGAGTCTTTGGCGAAGACCAAAGAGGTCTTGGAGTGGAAACGCGCCTTTCTGGTCTCCCTCTCTTTCGCCATCCCCGTGTTCCTGATCAACATGATCCTTCCGATGTACCTACCAATGCTCGACTTTGGCGGGACTCGAATTATCCCGGGTCTTTATCTTGGCGAGCTTGCCTGTTTATTACTGACAATCCCTGTGCAATTCGGTATCGGTAAACGGTTCTACATCACAAGTTATAAGTCCCTACGGCACCGTGCCCCAACCATGGATGTTCTCGTTATGCTGGGCACTTCAGCGGCTTTCTTCTACAGTGTCTTCACAATGATTGTAGCCATTCTTCTGGAGCCTCACAAAAGGCCCAGTACCGTCTTCGACACGAGTACTATGCTTATCACTTTCATTACACTCGGCCGTTGGCTAGAGAACAGAGCCAAGGGTCAAACGTCTGCTGCTCTTTCCCGGCTTATGTCTCTTGCGCCATCGATGACAACCATCTATGATGATCCAATAGCGGCCGAGAAGTTAGCGGAGGACTGGGAAAAGTTAGGCTCGGAAGAGCAAACGCCAGCTTCTTCAAATGACAGACCCACCGTTTCCCAGAGGGTCATCCCCACGGAGCTCATTGAAGCTGGAGATATTGTCGTCCTTCATCCGGGCGACAAGGTTTCCGCCGATGGCGTTGTTATTCGGGGCGAAACTTATGTTGATGAGAGTATGATCACTGGTGAAGCATTACCCATCCGTAAGACTAAAGGAAGCATGGTTATCGCTGGTACAGTAAATGGTACCAGCGCAGTTGACGTCAAGGTCATTCGCACCGGCAAGGACACTCAGCTCAGCAAGATTGTGAAACTTGTACAGGACGCACAAACAAGCCGGGCTTCTATCCAACGCATGGCGGACATCGTTGCTGGCTATTTCGTCCCATCTATCATCAGCCTGGGGTTGGTTACCTTCTTTGGCTGGATGTTCGTGAGTCACCTGCTGCCCAACCCTCCGAAGATCTTCTCTGCGGAAGAAGGCGGAGGCAAAGTCATGGTCTGTCTGAAGCTGTGTATCTCGGTCATCGTTTTTGCTTGTCCTTGCGCACTGGGACTCAGTACTCCCACTGCGGTAATGGTTGGCACGGGAGTTGGCGCGACTCAGGGGATCCTCGTCAAGGGCGGTGCTGTGCTCGAAGCTGCCACCAAGATTACCCATGTTGTATTTGACAAGACCGGTACTCTGACAACAGGGAAGATGAGCGTCACCGAGGCCAAAATCGAGCCTCAATGGGCTTCAAATGACTGGCGGCGTAAGCTCTGGTGGTTAATTGTTGGACTCGCCGAGATGAACAGTGAACATCCTATTGGGAAAACGATCTACTCAGCAGCAAGGGACGAATCAGGAAATTCCGGCGAGGGTGGTCTGCCAGGAAGCCTCGGCGACTTTGATGCCCGCGTAGGCAAAGGCATATCTGCCTTGGTGGAGCCTGCCTCCAATGTCGAACGCGTCCGGTACCGTGTCCTAATTGGAAATGCTGCGTTTCTAGAGTCCAACGGCATTGCTGTCCCCGAATCCGCTGAGCAAACACCCGATGCACCCGGTCCCAAGAACTCTAAAGTCGGCATCACTCAGATCCACGTGGCTATTGACGGCCAATACGCCGGTACTATCCTACTGCAGGATACCGTTAAGGTAACTGCTGTAGCTGCTGTAGCCGCCTTGCACCGGATGGGGATCTCAACCTCTTTGATCACAGGCGACTCCCACGCAGCAGCCATCTCAATCGCCTCGGCCGTCGGTATCCCGCCTGAAGCCGTCCACGCCTCCGTCACCCCCTCGGCCAAGCAAGGACTCATTGAATCCCTTCAAGACAGCGGCGAGCGCGTCGCCATGGTCGGCGACGGTATCAACGACTCGCCCGCTCTAGCCACAGCGTCCGTCGGCATCGCCCTCGCCTCAGGCACAGACGTCGCTATGGAGGCAGCGGACATCGTCCTCATGCGGCCCGACGACCTCCTTTCCGTCCCGGCCAGTCTTGCTCTCTCCCGCTCCGTCTTCAACCGCATCAAGCTAAACCTTGTCTGGGCCTGCGGGTACAACGTCATCGGCCTCCCCTTTGCAATGGGCCTCTTCCTTCCCTTCGGCGGCTTCATGTTACCCCCCATGGCTGCCGGCGCCGCAATGGCCCTCTCCAGCGTCTCCGTCGTCGTAAGCAGTCTCCTGCTTAAATTCTGGAAACGCCCCTCTTGGATGGACGCTGAGCTCCTGGAGAGGGAATTCGATACGTCCTCGGACGGCGACTCACGGAAGAACTGGCTCGGAGCGACGCTCTTCACTTCTCCCAACACCACTCGTCGTGCTAGGCAGTGGGTCCAGGGCGTCGCTGCTAGGGTCTGGTCTGTTTTCACGGGACGCCCGAACCAGTCATCCGGTGTCGAGCCCAGCTATGTGCCTCTGCAGACGGTGGAGCCGGCTGTCTAGTCTAGGCTTGCCTTACACAAACTTGGGTGTTCCCGAGATACTCCGGTGACTGATTGATTTGGTTGCGTATTTTGTTATGATGTTCTATGACCTTTTTCTCGCTGCTGGATTCTGATTGTTCTGATTATTATGATTTCTTTGCATATTATGATACCTCTTTCTCGTTGTTTTGTGCTATGCTAGATACATGTACCTACACATCTTATGATGAATAAAATATGATAGATATATATTGCAAAGCTTTTCTATCTTCGCTACACTCGCATTCCTTTTTTGTAGCATTTTGGTATCTCACGCTTACTGGGGTTCTTGGTCAAGATTAGCAAGAATATATGTTTTACTGTATTTACAACCCAGCGAGGCCAACCGGTAAGGATTATATAGTGCACCAGTCTTATAATGGGTTCTAAACAATAGCCAGGGTACTACGGAAATCGATATAACAAATAGGTCATCATTCATTCATGGAAGTCAAGCAGTATCAAGTCCAACTATAAAAGGGGACGCGTGTCATCAAGCCTATCACAAATACATTCTATTATTCCGTGACCTTTAGTTCTTCTCGTCCTGATCTCCCTGCGGTATAGTAGGCTCGTCGGACAGGGTGATATCTCCATCGCTATCTGTGACGGTAGCCGCGATTGTAGCTGCGTCTTTCGCGTTCTGGTCTGCCGAGTCCGTAGCCTCGGTACCGGAGGATGAATCCTGGGCGGACTCTTGGGTGGTAGTTTCCTCAACAGAGGGAGCGCTTGTCTCTGCGTCTTTGTTGAGAAGTGTCATTTCGACGCCCTTGCCGTCTTGTAGACCCATGTCCTCGACGCCGAGGAGAGATGGACCTCGAGCGTGGGGGACTTCGTCGGTGGGTTCAGCTGGCATTTCGGTTTCGAGCATGCTGTCCCCGGCATCGACGCCCTGTTGTGTGAGTGGGTCGGCGGGTTGCGTGAGGAGTTGGTTATGGAGAGGTGAGGCTGATGTTACTATTGATACTGCAATGAACGCCATTGTTAGGGATGTTAAGGTGGCCTTGAGTTAGAGTTGCAACTCACCTTCATCGATACCCGCGCCTTCAGGCCCCGGCGAAGAAGCATTATTCAGCCAAGGTATAGGTGTGAGAAGAGCACCGCCCAGTGCTTCGTCACTTCCCAGCGCGCTGTCAGAGAAGTTAAAGGTGGTCTCCGCGCCATTCAGCGTCCCATTGGGCTGCGCTGCGGCAGCACCGCTTTGCATGGGGAACGGGAATATGTCCGCGCTGCTTGTGACCGAGACAACGCGGTCAAGGGCCCGCAGATAAGACGGCAGCGTTCGGTAGTGTGCATTAGGACGGAGTATGAGTTCTGCTAGTCGCTGGATAGTATGTGGTGGTTTGGACGCAAATAGAGATCGAAGGGTTGACTGGATAGATTGGAGGATAAGGAGGAGAGGTGCGGGGAGGCTTGCGGTTGCGGTGCCTGTCTGCGACGCAGGTAACGAGTCTGGGATGCGCTCGGTTGACGATGATGACTGTGTGATGAGTGACGGCGGAGCTTGGGGGTTTGTTTCGTAGTCTGGCGGAGCTGCATTCTCCTTGTTGCTGCTGGATGGGTGGGGGTCGTGGATGAAGGATGTCGTCGGGTTTAGGTATTGCTGCTGGTATTGGGGAGCGGAGGAAGAGTCGGAGGGCAGCTCGGGCATTGGAAAGGCATTATAGATAATCTAGGACATTGTCAGCCACCGTCAGCCACCGTAAATGAGGCTCAAGGGAGCAATTTGCGCACGTATTCCAGTCGCTCGAGCAGTGGTTCAACGATGGTTGGCCATTTATCACTAGGTAGACACGTTAGCATCAACACGAGCTGCGACCCTTTTGCCAATGCCTTGGGTAGCATACAGATCCATCTGGCCGCCATTGGCGGCTATCTCCAAGCTCTCTTCATCTGATCGGATGACGATGTTAGTCCGCGAGCTTCAAACGCGCCAGCGTCAAGAAAGGGAGGCAAGCAATGATACTGCACGAGAATACAAGATCCAAGGCAGGGTATACGGACCTAAAGACATTTCTCTGGAGCGCTCGTAGGTGCAGAGCCAGCGAGATGGTCAGAAGACAGCTTAAGCTTCAGGAACGTGATGCCTTGCTCTGCGATCATGGGGCGTATTGGTGTACCAAGACGTATTAGTTACCCGCGGGCGTTATTTATAGCGGGGAATCTGCTGCCCCCCTGTCCAATCCGAGCCTTTCATTGGTGAGGATCGACAATCTTATCGCCTTTTCACGTGATGATAGACACTTTTTTCGATTTTTCCTCATTTGGCCGATTGCGGAGCCGGAGGGGCACAAGTTCGTGTGAGCGGTGATTCATCTCCAGTCCTTTCCTCTATTCCTCCTCTCCGTCTTTCAATCAGCATAATCCCCCGCAATTAAAGATGTGGAACTCACGCAAAGTCGGCGTCCTCGGCGGCGGGCAGCTGGGCCGCATGTTCGTTGAATCCGCCAACAGACTCAACGTCCAAGTCAACGTCCTCGATGCGGAGAACTCCCCGGCCAAGCAGATCAGCGCCCACGACGGCCATGTCACCGGCTCATTCAAGGAGCGCGAGGCGGTCCGGGAATTGGCCAAAACGTGCGACGTTATCACCGCGGAAATCGAGCACGTCGACACCTATGCGCTCGAGGAGGTTGACTCCCAAGTCCAGATTGAGCCCAGCTGGCAGGCCATTCGCACCATCCAGAACAAGTTCAACCAGAAGGAGCATCTTGCAAAGCATGGGATCCCAATGGCGGAGCACCGCGAGCTCTCTGAAAACACACCGGAGCAATTGGCCAAGGCCGGTGAGGAGTTAGGATACCCGTTAATGCTGAAGTCGAAGACCATGGCCTACGATGGACGTGGTAACTACCGCGTCAACTCCAAGGACGATATCGCCGATGCCCTCGAGTTCCTGAAAGGCCGCCCATTATACGCAGAGAAGTGGGCATACTTCCAAAAGGTTGCATCCCTCAACCCACTTCAATTCCGACATCAAACCCTAACATATACTTCCAGGAACTCGCCGTGATGGTCATCAAGACCAAGGACGCCGTCCTCTCCTACCCAACCGTCGAGACCGTCCAAGAAGACTCAATCTGCAAGCTCGTCTACGCGCCCGCCCGCAACGTCCCCGAATCCATCAACCAGGCCGCCCAAAAACTCGCCCGCAAGGCCGTCGCAACCTTCGAAGGCAAGGGCGCATTCGGCGTGGAAATGTTCCTCATGAACGACAACAGCCTCCTCCTTTGCGAACTCGCCTCCCGCGTCCACAACTCCGGCCACTACACCATCGAAGGCACCGCCCTCTCCCAATTCGACACCCACCTCCGCGCCATCCTCGACCTGCCCATTCCCCCCGAGAGCCTGCAACTCCGCCAACCCTCCATCATGCTCAACATCATCGGCGGCAGCGAACCAGACACACACCTCAAGGCCGCCGAGGCCGCGCTCGCCATCCCCAACGCCGCCATCCACCTGTACTCCAAGGGCGCCGCTAAGCCCGGCCGCAAGATGGGCCACATCACAGTCACGGCACCGACAATGGCCGAGGCAGAGAAGTACATCCAGCCGCTCATCGACGTCGTCGACGAGATCCGCGCCCAGCGGCCCGACATCAAGACGAAGCCCGCTCCCTCCGGCGTCTCCAAGCCCGCGCCCCAGGTGGCCGTGATGATGGGCTCCGACAGCGATCTCAAGACCCTCGTCCCTGGTCTCAAGCTGCTACGTGATGAATTCGGCATCGAACCCGCCGTGGATATCACCTCCGCCCACCGCACACCCACCTTCATGGCGGAGTACTCCGCCTCCGCAGCAGCCCGCGGCATCAAGGTGATCATCGCTGCTGCTGGCGGTGCCGCTCACCTGCCCGGCATGGCTGCAGCGCACACGGCGCTCCCTGTCATCGGCGTCCCGGTCAAGGGGTCTTCACTGGACGGTGTGGATAGTCTTTACAGTATTGTGCAGATGCCCCGCGGAGTCCCCGTGGCGACGGTCGGAATCAACAACAGCATCAACGCCGCGCTGCTGGCGGCCAGGATCATCGGCGCTTTTGACCCGGCTGTGCAGCGCAAGGTTGAGGCGTATGCTGAGAAGGCTCGCGAGGAGAACATGGATGTGAAGAATGTCAAGATGCAGGATCTGGGTTGGGATGAGTACTTCAAGCAGATGTAAAGGAGCCTTAGCATCGCAAGGGAGGAAAAGTTGATTTAGGATACGTATAGAGGAGTCAGGATTAATGAAAGCGTTTGTTCCAGTTCAAGTTTGACATTACGTCTACCCCTAGTATCATTGCCCATAGAATCATAGGCCTTGACGGCGAAGGGTGTATTGATAGCCTTCAATAACTCGGAGTCGTGCTTCCTGAAGCTCATCGGTTCTCATTCAGACCTAGAGAGTTATAGAGGTTACATAGGATTATTCAGAACAGAAGGGGTACTCGATTGAAACTACCTAGCTAGCCAGGAACGGGGTTATAAAAAGACAAGAAACATCACTGCGTGACAGATATAATACAAAAGAAAACGAGTGGGAATCCAACGAAACGTTTGCGACGATTAGGTATTCGGTATTCTCATAGTACAAAGGAAAAATGTATGAAACAGGCGTAAGCGTTTTCTCAAATCACTTCTCAATCTCGTATTCAAGCGGTCTGAGGGTTGAATCCGGATCCAGAGAAGCTAGTGATGTCATGGGGGAGTCTGCCGTTGCTGTCGGTACCGCTGCTCAGCATGGAGTCATGGCGCTTTGCGTGACCGTTGGTCACACCGGTGCCACCGTTAGTTATGGTTGGGCCGGCAGCTGCTGGGCCGCCATCAGTGACTCGGCCGGTCGCCAAAGCACCTCCGTCAGTGATGGGACCACGAGGAGCAGCAGCGAGGCCACCAGCGGCGCTGCCGTTTTCGTAGCCGGCGGGCTGACGATCACGAAGCTTGCCCTCAGCGGTATTGTGAGGCTTCCGAGTGATCTCGGCCGGCTTTGGGATGTCCGTGGACTCGGAGGCAGAGCCAATGCCGAAGATGGGAGACTCCCAGCGCTCACCCTTCCTCGACAGCTCCTCGTACTCGGTAGCCTTGGTGGTAATGCCACCAGGAAGCTTGATGTCCGGGAACAGGGAAGCCTTCATTGTGGTAGTGGTCTGTACCTTGGAATCGCGCTGGGCAGCCTGCTGCTGAGCCTCCTGAGCCTTGCGTCTGGCCTCCTCCATCTTGGCCCGGAGAGCATTCATGTAGCGGTTGTAAATGTTGGGCGCATCCTCAGGGTTCTCCTTAACCTGGCCCTTGACACGCTGAGCCTCTTGGTGCACCTCATAAGCATACGCATCAGCCTTCTCAAAGGCATCGCGGATCTGTTTCTCCACGGCCTTCTGGAGGGCGGGGCGCACGGTCTTGAAGAGCAAAGGCTTGAATAGAGTGAAAAGAATCTTGTGCTTAGATTTCTTGAGCTTGATGTCTATGTCATCAAGCTTGACAGAAACCTTGTCGACCTTGACAAAATTCTGGCGGTCCTCATTCTGCGCAGTAGAAGCAGCAATCTTGAAGGAGATGCCGTCGCCGCCAAGGAAGATATCCATCACACCTGTGTCGGTGATGGAGGGGAAGCCCTGCTTCTTGTTGATGTAGAAGCTGACATCTCTCAGATCAGCCTGGATGCCAGACACAGATATCATGATCTTGTTGTCCCGCTTGCTGCTGATCTTCTTCCTTCCCCAGCGGTAGTAGTTGTCGCTTCCAAACTCGACAACATTGGGCATGAGGTTGTCACTTTCGACGACGAGGTTCTCGATGACTACATCGGCCATGGCATCCTGCACCTCGATGCGAGGAACAGGGACATAGCGGACGTTCTCAAATACGGCGGGAAGAATGACCTCGGTGATATCCTTCACAAGGTGCTTCTTGAATTTGGGCTTGCCACTCTCATCCTGGCCGAGGTCGGTGAACAGCTTCTGCATGGCGTCACCAAACGCGCGGTTCTGACGGTCCTGGTTGAATTGGTCACCAAGGAACTTGACCTCATCAAGCACGCGGTTGGTGTGGTCCCTGTAGCGGTCACGGAGTAGGAATCGACCGTGCTCAGCCAGGTCATCATACTGGCGGTTCCAGTCGTCCTGCAGAACGAAGCCCTGCTGCTGAAGGGTCTTGCGGAGGAAGTTGTTGGTGTTCTTGAACCATCCCTTGAGTTCGGGGTCGTTGTCTGCATCGCGGTAGATGTTCTCTAGAGAATCAAAGAAATCATCCATTGATGTGCTGTTGGCGAAGCGCTCAATCAAAGTCTGCTTCCCGTCAGTATCATGTTCTCGATGCAGTTGATGTGACTTACCCTGAGGTTCTTCTCCATGGTCTGAATCTTGCCCTGGCCGCGGGTTCCCTGAACACTGCTCGAGCCCTGTTGAGCCATGTGCCTGGAACGGGCACCGTACTTCTCGGCGAGATCAAGCAGAGTCTCGATGGCTTGCTGGTCTGTTTTTGCATTAGCATTTGCTTTCATAGTCAGGTATCAATCGACGTACAGTCACGGTGGCCCTGAATTTCAATAATCATCTTCTTCAAGCGGTAAATGGCCTGGTCACGACGTTCCGGAGGGAACTTCCTCGACAGGTAGTCCTGGGTTCTGGCCTTGTATTCTTGGCTCTTGTTGGTAGCCTTGGACTGCTGGTCTTCGGGAACCTTGGACTGGGCCTGCTCGACAGAAGCATTGACACCAGCATAAGGATCAAGGGATGAGCCACCTGGGCCAGTAGCAGCCTGAGCACCAGTGTTTGCAACGTCAGAAGCCTCCTGTTGCTTTGCGGATGTTAGTGTCCGGCAACTTGAAAACGGGCGACGGTACTTACAGCCTTGTCCTTGTTCCTGCCGAAGCGAGACTTGAACTGTTCCTTTTGGCCGGCAAGGTCAGGCTTCTCATGCCAGACGTTGTCTTCGGCGGCCTGATCGACCTGGGAGAGTTCATGTTCCCCGGGGCGAACCTTGTTGGCAGCCTTCTGCGAAGCATCACCAGCGATATCGCGGGCGATGATCATTGCGTCATTAACTTTGATGGCATGTTAGTCCAGGATTCGCGAAACCTGGGGTATCGTCGACTTACGAAGCTTCCGGAACTCGCCATTGGTAATCATGAGAGTTCCAAGAGATTTCAATCCTTCTCTTGCCTTAGCGGCATCTTGTTCAGCGGAATCACTGCCTGCAACTCCGGGCTTGTGCACATCATCCGCAGTGATCGTCTGAGCATCGTAGATGAATTCCTGGAGCAATTGGCCGTCGTTCTTGCTAAGAATAAGCTTCTTGGCCTCTTCAATGACAGTACGGAGATCCTGCACGAGCCCGCGACCTTCCTCAGAGAGTTCTTTCGAGGGGTTTGTAAGTGACCTGTGGGCCAGCGCAGAGTTCAGGGCGACATCGGCTTGCTTGTTCTGTATGCGAAAGCTAGTCAGCAGGCAGCAATGGATGGCGGCGTAGAGTGCGACATACAGATGGAAGCTTGCCGTTCTTGAAAGCATGGTACATTCCAAACAGCTGAAGCTTGGTGTTGATGTCCTTATCCCTCTGCTTGGGGTCGACAGGCTTGTTCACCGCGCGAGAAGGCATGGTGGGCGAGGTCAAGCTATGAATGGCAGAGCGAGGGAGCGATTAAGTTGATAAGAGTATCGTTGTATCGATTATCGATTATCACCTTCAAAATGTGGACCGAAGGTAGGGGTCAAGTGAGATTGGTATGAAAACAAGCGAAAAGAGTCAAGGGGTATCTGGGTATCGGGGGGTATCCTGGGTATCTGGAATGTAGGAAAGAGTAAGTCTAAAGGGCAAGAAGGAGGAGCAGGGCTGAGGTAGGGAACGCTATATGTACGCAAGCCGCTTGCGACTTTCCAGCAGTTGGCCTTGACGTCACGCTTTCGTTGATCGTTACACGCTGGGAGTCGAAGATCGCGAAGTATAACTGGGACTCCAGCATGAGATCATCCAACAGGATCAACATCTGCACTAACAGATCGAACCACTAAACTCCGTGCTCGCACTTGGCTATGACACCCGATCCTGGACTCACATGTCCGGATCCCAAACTTGTCAAAAAGATGCAATAAACCTGCTCAATTGCTCGATGCGCTGGCCCTAGCAGCAGGGCATTGAGCAAGGGAGCTCCGACAGCTTTGGGGGGGGGTCGGGACAAGGTTTCAGTGGACCCGCGCATTGGGCTGACGACTGGTCTAGGTCTTTTAACGGTGCGTCCAGACGCTGGTCCAGTGGGATGCTACGGCGGAAACTGTCCACGGCCAAGTTCCTGAGCTCGTGTCTTGAAGTTGTGGTGATGCTCGGGTGGGCCATAATGGTGACGTCATCACTCTGGCTTTATTTCTGCCTGGTCGCGAGTCAATTCAACAGGGCATGGCTTAATTATTGCAGTTACCACCATTTGAATCGTCAATTGTTGGGTAGATTTAGGAAACGTGCCATGGAAGCTTCGCAGAGGAGGGTAGGTGGAATAAAAAGTTGTGTATTATCCCTCAGGAGATTTTTGCTATACTCCGAGCCTAGTATATATTCCAAGCAGGTCTTCCCCAACAAAAGCCATAAATACTCATACATGGTCTTTTCATTCATCTTGGCGTTTCAGCTGAAGTTGAGATCGCAATCTGTTCTATAGGCTTCGCTAAGTGTGCGCAATGAAACCAACAGAACCAACAACCACAGACACAAACAAAGATAGAAGTAAACATCGTCAACATTTAGTTGAGTCGGAAGGTGGACGCCTCCGGCCACTTGCTGCTAGCTTTCTCAGCATAAGCAGTCTTTGTGTTCTGGTTGCTCCCCCAGTCACCAAGGAGGTCTAGACCAGCAAGGGCTGTTTCAAGTGACACAATGTCTGCATCCAGGGTAGCAGTAAGCTCCTTCTCGTTCTCAGCTTTGGTATCGGGCTTCAGAAGCTGCTGGCAGGTAAGGTAAGCATGTTTGTGGGGGATGCTATTCTCGTTCGCAGAGAGGAAAGATTTGTTCCACTCATCGAGGTTCTGCCCCTTGGGAAGGAGAGCCTCAAACTCAGTGTCGACAACTTCCGCGACCTGGGCCGGGAGAGGCTCAGCGAGCTTATTCAAAGCTTGGCGGAATTGGAGCAGTTGAACGTGGAGTGTGGGGTTAGACGCATCGATGGAGTGGGCCGCTGTGAGACACTTGAGCGCAAGTGCATATTTGCCTAGAGAAGTAAATCAGTCTTATGCTCACGTGAAGTCTGTGGAACCCTCAACTTACCCCTTCGAAGGTGTACCTCGAAGCCAAGGCATTGAGCCTCAATGTTCTTGGGGCAGTGCTCCAGCAAGGGCGTGAGGAATTTCAGCGCCTCCTCAAGCGGCTTTTGTGTCTCGGCAAGCCTGTTGCCGAGAGGGTCAGGGTCCTCTTTCTTGACTTCTCCGTCAGCGCTCTTAGGGTTCGCGAGAGCCTTTCGAGCCGCCTCCCGTTTCTCTTGCTCGAGCTTCTCCAGCCGCTGCTGCTCCTTCTTAGCCTTCTTCAGAGCCTTCTTACGCTCAGCATCGTCTCCATCGGTACCATTGACTTCAGGAAGGGGTCCAAGAGCCAGATCCGGTTGGTCATGGAGAAGGATATAGGTCTTGACGGCGGAAAGTGCAGCGCGAGCGTAGAAAGGGTGCTCGCGCAGACGGTCCTCCCAGCGGACCATGTCAACATAAGCTCGGATCATACCCTTCCGCAGGGAGAAGCTGTGGAAGTCAAACTGGTCCTCGTGCCACACATCGAAAATGTTGTAGACAGCGTGGAATCGCTTGAGCGCAAGACCGAGCTTCTTCTGGCGCAAGTATGCCTCACCATCTTCCGTGAGGTACCACACACACTGCATTTCGTGAAGGTCGCCGAGAGCGCCACCGAAAGTCTCGTTTCGCGTAAATTTGCTCATATTCTCGAGGCCCTTGTCGTTCTGGTTGTTGCGCAGCTGATACTTGGCGGCCTTCGAGTTGATGTGGCGGTCCTTCTCGTCCATCTGTCTAGCCTTCTCCATCTCTTCCGCTGCCTTCTCAAAGTTCCCGTAATGCTTCCATACCCTGGCCTTGGTCATCTGATACTCTACCGCCTTGGGTGACAGTTCGAGGGCCTTGTCGACATTCTGAAGAGCCTTGGAAAGATCGCGGCTAAGGTGGTAGTTGTAGTGCTGTGCGAGGAAGTAGTATGCGGAGGAGAGGAATTCGGTGTTGTCGCCGTCAGTTGAGCCGTTTGATTGAGGGTTTGAGACGTAACCCTCGACCAGCTCTTGTACTGTGTCGCGTTTGCTAGGGTTGGTGTAGAGGAGTTTGATGTTGGCGAAGAGAGAGGGCACGCCCTTCTTGATCATGCGCTGCAGGTAGACATCGGCAGCCTGCTTGAAGTCATCACCTTCTAAGAAGTCCAAGGGAATTCTGCAGGGAGCATCACCTCGAGGGTTTTTCTCCGCCCATGAATCGTACAGTTCCTTGAGAGCCTTATGGTCGTCGCTGGAGATACCCTTGGCCTTAATAAGACAGTCATAGTAGAGAGAGTTCTCGGGGTTGCGCTCCAGAAGAGCAGTGTAGGCAGCGGCGGCTTCTTCCTTCTTGTCAAGACGGAGAAGGTAGTCCGCCTTCATCTCCATCACAGCGAGCACATCTGAGCAGCGGTATCCGTTGGCCTCGAGGTGCTCCAGTGCCTTCTCAAGGTTCCCTGACTCGGCGATAATCATGTTCTTGTACAATGTCGCCTCGGAGTGTTCCATATCTGACAGAGGTGGTGGGCTCTTCAGGGTCTCCTCGTATGTTGTCAGCACCTTTTCAGCCTCCTCGAGGTCACCGGAGAGGTGGTGTGCGATAGCAAGAGCAGTCCAGTTCTGTCGGAAGGCGGGCCGAGCCTGTAGCATACTGCTTCTGCTCTGTATGTACCCCTGGTAATCCCGCATCTGCATCTGGAGGAGGGCGAGATCGCGCTGGATGGGCTGGGAATCCGGTTCGATCCGCAAGGCAAACCGGTATGCCTTGATAGCCTCTTCGTAGTTCTTCTCCGCGCGATAGAGCAAGCCGTACACGTGCCAGCAGATATGCGACTTCATATCGTTCTTCAGAGCTTCCTTGGCCAAGGCGAAGGCCTCCTGCTGTTCACCTTGATTGCTCATGATCAGAGCCTTCATCGCTAACGTATCGCCATGGGTTGGGTTTTTCCGAAGGACCTGATCAGCCGTTTTGATGCCTGCAATGATTCGAGAAAAGCAAAGTATCACAGTTAGCCTTTTACGTCTGCCCGCATGAAAATCGTGGACCAGCGTGGTCAATTCGGCAGGGCATTGGCAGGAACTCACCCTTTTTGTACTGCTTGTTCTCGTAGTGGCGGACCACCTGTCGGAACAGGGAGGCATCCTTCGAGCTCAATTGCTGCGGCATGGTGGGCGTTGCAGACCTGTCGGCGGAGTTTTGTTGGAGTTGAGCGAGGGAGAGGCTTGAAGTGCGCGGGGGAAGAAAAGCGGAAACGAGGAGCTGGCCCGGAGCAGCAATCAGGCGATAAGCTCAACGCCGCGGCCAACCTTACGTCTCTCAATGTACTCGACAGCCCTGGCCCATGCTGCTTTTTCCAGCCACCTGCTGGACGCCTAATGCGGTTATTCCTCACGCTTTCTCAGTTCACTGATACTTTCTCGAGGACAGCCCGCGAGACGATCACCTATCCGATCGAGTGCAACCACACCCCTGCCCACGCCAATAGCGACTCGACCTGGATAGTTATCGGAGGAAGTGTCCATGCCACAACTCAGCATGTTAGATGATACCTAAACATGAAACACATTGGGGAAGTCAAAATGCCCCCGGGACCACCTGGGTAGTGTTGCAACGGCTCAGCAAGGGTGGGATCTGTGCATGACAGAAGACTTGTTCGGACGAAATGCACATCACCTCATAAAATCCCTACCGGGGATTTGGTTTGGCGCGAAATAGCTTGTCTCCTGGACGCCTGGGTTACACCATTTCTCCATCTTCTGCAGAACAGTTGAACCGCCGAGTCAAACCCCAACCGCACATCTTTTATGAAGGTCAAACCGGCATAGGGACGGGTCAATCCCTTATCCATGCGGCAGCTCTGTTCATAAATCTGGCAGTGAGGATGGCACCTCTAGTTGCCCGACGAGTAAAGATGGTACGGCCATCTTTTCAACAATTGATGCTGAATTCATTGCAGGCCTCGGGGTGCACAGACAAACACGCTGGGACGGCCTGATTCTATTTACAAGAATCTACAAGCGAATAGAGTTCCTCGGAAACGACTTTAATCGCACAACGCGGCGTCGATCATCAGTTCGCTTGCTATCCCTGAGGTTTATACATAACTAACCTATTGTGCACAGACCTGAGCTGCACATAAATGGTGCCGAATATATCACTTTGAACCAAGCTTGCAGTGCTTATGCGAGGATCCGTTATGGCTTCGGAAATCAAATCCGGGCACCCTGTATTGATCTTCGGTCCACGGCCAGAATCAACCTCGAAATCCTTTCGATCGTCTCGCGGGTCAGATATCCAATCATTCAAGTTGGGCCATGGCCTGGCTCAAGAACCGTACATTGAGTGGATTTTGAGCTGAAATGGTCTTATATATACATACATTACATACAGAATTCCGAGACACGCTTTTCATAAACATGCAAACCCTAATCTAGATTCCAAGAAAAGACAATCCCTGAATCACCGCTGACTCCTCTCCCGCCACCTATTAAGTGCCTCCTCCCACCCCGAAGAAGAATCAACCCCACCCCCACACCTCTCAAGCACAAGCCCCCAAGTCCTCGCCCGAATAATCTCCTCAACACTCCTCTGATTCCGCACCAGATTCGCCAAACTCTCCGTCCTCGCCTCCCTCGGAAAGAATCTCGCACTATACGGATCCAACCGCTCATCCACCACCCGTTCCCGATCCCGCGCCGACTCCGTCTGCCTAAGCAGGAGATCCGGGTCCTCGGGATCCGGGCTCGTCGCGACGCCAGCGCAGTACGTAAGCACATCAGAGCGGGTCTGCCATGACGGGAAGAGAACCCTGTCCTTGAAGTTCTGGCAGGCGACGGGGTCTATTGTCTTGTGGGCGGGTGAGTCGGTTTGGCGGATTGAGGTTGAGGAGGGGTCGAAGCCGGCGCGGGCGGGGGTTACGAGGGCGTTGAGGTTCTGTGTTATGGAGTCGTCGATTGTGCTGCGGGAGAGGGTTAGGAAGTCTGGATTAGTTAGCCTTTGCTACCTAGCTATCACGGTAGGGGTCGGAGTATAAGGTAGGTACCTCTCAGCAGGCGCTCATTAAAGCAGAACTGCGGGCTCAGTGTTGGAGCCGGCGTTGACGACGCTCGCACCATCTTCCGGCTGTTGGGCTCCGCGCTCCCCGGTTTCTGCTCCTCTTTCGCGGCCGTGTCCCAGAACCAAGCCAGATTGAATACCGTAGCTGGGTAGTCAAGCTATGAAGAGAGCTTGAAAGGTGGTGGTTTGTTGGGGTGGAAGAAGAGCGCTCCGCTCGACTAAGTGGGAGACTTGGTGGGACGATTAGTGGTGACTATAGAGCTCAAGCAGCTATTCCGAATCCGATTGAATGGTAAAATACAAGAATCTAGTTGTCCAGAGAAGCACCGGATGTCATCAAGCCACCGGCTTATCACTATCTCAGTAGCACGTGACTACGTGACCCGTCAACGCGTGAAAGCTCCAGCTCGCGTTTGAAAGCTGACAACAACCAATTCATCCCGATAAAGCTCTATCATCTTCGATATACATACTTACTTACCTTCAGCTCCATATACAACGAAGCAATGCCTGAGCTAGCTGAAATACACCGCATCGTGCACTTCATCCGACAGCACCTAGTCGGGAAGACACTAAGCAAGGTATCAACACAACACGACGACATAATCTACGGCAAAGTGGGCACAAGTGCAGCCGAGTTTCAAAAGGCCATGGAGGGCAAAAAAGTGACTGGCGCGGGGCAGCAGGGGAAATACTTCTGGATCACGATGTCCTCGCCACCACATGCTGTCATGCATTTCGGCATGGCCGGCTGGCTGAAGATCCGCGATGCAGACACGTACTATTACCGCACGGACAAGCCGGAGGATAAGCAGTGGCCGCCGAAGTATTGGAAGTTCCTGCTGGAGACGGATGGGGATCCGAAGACTGAGGCGGCGTTTGTGGATTTCCGCAGACTGGCTCGAATTCGGTTGGTTGATTGTCCGGCCGATGAGATTCGGAAGCACACTCCTCTGAAAGAGAATGGGCCGGACCCTGTTGTTGATACGGACGTTGTCACGGAAGAGTGGCTGGGTGGGAAGTTGAAGAGCAAAAAGGTGCCTGTCAAGGCGCTTCTTCTCGACCAGGCGGTTATTAGTGGAATTGGGAATTGGATGGGGTTGGTTCGCAACGAATACATATAGTTTGATGACTGACGCTTTTAGGGACGAAATTTTGTACCACGCAAAAATACACCCGGAACAATACAGCAACACATTGACCGACGATCAGATCAAAGAGCTTCACTCATCTCTTCATTACATTTGTTCCACCTCCACAGAAGTATTGGCAGATTCTGACCAGTTCCCGGAACACTGGTTGTTCAAACATCGATGGAGCAAGGGGAAGAAGAACAAAGCCTCGGTTCTACCAAACGGAGAGGCCATCACTTTCCTCACTGTCGGTGGCAGGACCAGTGCGGTGGTTCCTAGCGTGCAAAAGAAGACTGGCCCCGTGGCAGGTGATGTAAAAGAGGAGGATGAGAGCAGTAATGAGCGCGAAACCAAGCGAAAACGGACGGCAATTAAGAAAGAGGCAACCAGCACGAAGAAAGCAGACTCGAAAAAACAGAGCAAACAGACGGTCAAGGTTGAGGAAGATGAGGATGCGGGCAAAGACAAGACGACAACCCAGACAAAACGGCGCTCAACACGGTTAAGGAAGTGATGCCGTTTCGTTGAAGATTGTTGAGAACTTGAAACATACTCTCCAACCCGACAACTCAGACAAAACGACGCTCAGCACGGTTAAGGAAGTGATGCCGTTTCGTTGAAGATTGTTGAGAACTTGAAACATTTTCTCCAACCCGAAAATCTTGAACAGTCGAGGTGCCTAAACTTGGACCCCGTCCAACTCTTTGTGGAACACATCGTAGCACTTGCGTCTATCCTGCATCACAGCGAATACAATGTTGTCGAACCGTGCCCTGAACTCTGGCTCCTGTAAAACTTCACGAAAAGCAATTGCGACTGCTTGATTTGGGTTTCCATAAGCGCCAGCTCCTAGAGCCCCGAGCACAATGCTACGGTGACCATTGTGCACGCAAATGCGAAGGGTGATCCGCATTTTCTCATACATAAGATCCCGATCACTCTGTTTTGCCCATGTGGGTGGGTTTGCCTTATTGTCGACCTGTGGGTGATAAATGGCCGCCACGCTGACGACGCTGACGACAGGGAAGTCCTGAGGTTTACTGAAGTCCATCAGAGGATACTCGCAGTTGTAGTCCTTATTGCCTCGGGTACGGAAGATGACCACGGTCGGAGAATAGATGGCTTGATGGTCTTTCACCGGATAGAGTTCCTTTTTGAGAGTTGCAATAAGGGTGCTACGATAGCAAAGGTCTTCCTCCTGGGCCAACGATCCATGACGGTAGCCCCCGCCTGGTATGCCGGCGTTGGCATTGTTCAGCACACAGACCGGTTTGTTGTCTCCAGCTTTGATGGCTTCCTTGGTGAGTTCGATGGCAGCCTCGTAGGCGTCGCCATCAATTACCTTCACTCTCGCAAGTTGCGGGCGTAGGGGTGGGTAATTGTCTGGCAAGCATAGATATCCATCGGCTGGAGCTTCTGGTCTCAATTTGACGACTTCCGGGATTTGCTTCTCTACCTCCTTGACAACTTGTCGTCTCTTTTCCTTAGCCTTATCGGTTGACAGAGGCTGCGGTGCGCGCGACATCGTATAGGTTGGAGAGGATTTGGCGGATTCAGTGGCTTCTGTATGAACGACAACAGGGGTGGGAGATGTTCCTAAGAAATATTCTCAAGAAATGCAGATATGAGCGCGAGTAACCCGAGTAACACTGCCTCTGAGCTCGGGCACGGTCTTTGTTGTGGGCAGTCTTTGTCCAGAGCAGACTTGGGAAGGTGGCACTGGGCGAGACATGGTCCACCGTTCTGGAAGGCATTACTCTCTTGGTTATGACCAACTCTCGCTAAGCAACTCCAAGCAGAAGTAAAAATGGATTTGGCCTTGATCAGCCCAACACTGCTGAAGCGAGTCACCATAAACCCATCTTGATAGGACTTGCTGCCTAAGGCTGCCAATGTGCCCTAACACTCTGCTGGGTCGAGGCCATGACGTAGCGATACCTACCGTACCTACAGTAGCCGGGGAAGATCTTCCTCGACAGACACTCGAGCTCTTGACTCAAGCACCGAACAACCACGCACACTCATTCAATTGAATTCATTTGAATTCTAAATAACAAAATCAAGATATACACTGCGCAACGAAGACATGCTCCCCCTCCTCCGCCCCAGATCCTCCTACAGACGTCTCCTCACCATCCGCCCCCAACTTCAACCTCACAGCGCGCCGAGAGCACAGTCAGCTTCCCATTCACTCTCTTTGTGCAAACCAATCTCAACCCCAATTGCGTCTTCAACCGCGGGCACAAGGGCAGTGCACACCGGACCGCTACCACAAAGTGCTCCAAAGGTGTCCAATGAGCCAAAAGTCGACCTAGGCAAGTTCTTTGGACCGTCCTTACCAGGCCGCGTCTACAGCTTCTGGTTCCAGCATGTCGCGAACGACCAGAATCTGACGCTGCCGACGCCCGAGGTGTACAAGCCGTGGTTTACGCAGGATGCGGTGTTTGATTTGGAGTGCGCGTGAGTTTTGGGCCCTTGATCCTTCAATCCTCAGTTCCTGGATCCCTTCAATCGCTCAATCCTTCAGTCCCCATCTTCTCAACCTCAATCATTCGCCCCTTGGTCTTCCATTGGTGCTTCAATCCCTCATTCCCTCATTCTCAAACTCCCAATCTATACCTCCACAAAGTAACAAAAACTAACACCCCCAGAACCCAATTCAAACCTATCCTCGCAGCCCTCCACCAATCCCACCAATCCCACCCAGAACCCCAAAGCCCAAGCGAGACCCAACCCCCGCCGCCATCCCAAGTCACCTCGCAAGCCTCAGCAATCCTGTCGCTTGTCAACCCCACAACACCCCAAGACTGGCTCGGGCTCATCCTCCTCCTCGACCAGCTCCCCCGAAACTGCTACAGAGGCACAGAGGCCGCGCTGGTCTATACATTCTTCGACCCCATTGCGCGAGCCATTGCCTCTGCGGCGTTAGAAGAGGGAGTCCCATCAGCACCAGAGATCCGGTATAGACTTGCCCTAAGGCATTGGTTTTATCTACCGTTCATGCACTCCGAGGACCTGAGTCACCAGGAACTCGTGTTGAAAAGTTACCGCGAGATGGATGCAGATATCCGTCAGCTCTTAGATGAGCAGCCGGCGAAGGGGCTAGGTAAGAGTGAGCTAACTTGTCGCGAGATACTTGCGAGTAACAGGGAAGCTGTCGAGGCGAATCTATCGCTGAATTTCAAGTTCCAGGAGGAACATCATGATATCATTGCGCGGTTTGGGCGGTATCCATACCGGAATGCAGTGCTTGGGCGGACAACGACGCCGGACGAGGAGAAGTTCCTCAAAGAGGCCAATATCTCCTTTGCTTGATGCTCGTTATCTGCCCTGCACATACTCGTCACTCCGCTGAGTCTTCGGCAAACCCACTAGGCCGCCCGTGGGTTTGCCGAAGGCTCAGCGGAGTGACGAGTATACTTGACCTGCACCTCCACATTATAGATGTACACATACAATCAATGAACAAATGATATACCTCACTCCAACCCATAAACAGCCGCGAGCCAATCCTCCATAGAACCCCATCATCTGTTGATGTTGTTTCGAGGAGAAAGGGTGAACTACGTGAAGAGCACAGCAGTTACATTAAAGATGTATTTCATTAGATGTTGTGGAAATAAAAATACGTTGCTTCGGCTATTAGGTACAACCCCTGTTCTTGACCAACAATGGCTGTCTGGGTGCGCATGGACCTATCACCAGCCTATACAAGACGTTGGCGAAGGCTGTACAACAGAAGCTCTTCTTCATGGGAGAATAAAGATACAGACGGAAAGGTTCCTTCCCACTTCCACCAACACGCCATGCCCTAAATCACATAATCCATGACGCGAGCAATCCAAGAACCCCTAAGCCAGCACTGAGTCGCAGCGAGCCTGCGCCATTGACTGCTGGGATTGGGGAAACAAAGACTGATGAAGAGCCGAGCAGGGTAGTCGAGCCAACTACCACGTTAACAGAGCTGGTTGTCGGAGGGGCTAAAGAACGAGTTGGCAGCAATGAACCCGAAGAGGATGTGGTCAGTGAGCTCGAAGTGATCTTCGTACTTTCACCAACCACCACAACCGTAGAGCTGGCTGTTGGCAGCAATGTGGTCGGGGAAGAGCTGACCACAGTCGAACTGCGTGCATTCTCACTCGCCACTGCAATCGCCGAGCTGGTTGTAGGCTGCAGCGCAACTGGGGAAGAGCTGATCCAAGTCGAGCTAGGCGCATTCTCACTAGCAACTGCCATCACCGAGCTCGTTGTAGGCCGCAACGTAACTGGGGAGCTGATTGCAGCGCTCGAACTGCGTGCACTCTCACTAGCAACTACCACCACTGAGCTGGTTGTAGGCCGCAACGTAACTGGGGAGCTGATTGCAGCGCTCGAACTGCGTGCACTCTCACTAGCAACTGCCACCACTGAGCTGGTTGTAGGCAGCAACGTAACTGGGGAACTGATTGCAGCGCTCGAACTTCGTGCATCTTCGCTAGCCATGATGGCTCTTGAGCTGGTTGTTGGCCGCAAGGTAACCGGTGAAGAAGAGACCAGGGGAGTTGAACTGCGTGCAGTCTCACTGGCTACCACAGCCACCGGGGTGGTTGTGGGTGTAGGGCTCAGCGGCGGTGTCGGCAGCAGCGAAACCGCAGAAGAACTTATCAGGGGAATTGAACTGCGTGCACTTTCACTGGCCAGCACAGCTTCGGAACTGGTTGTTGGAGATGGCCTCAGGGCCGTGGAAGAACCAAACAAAGGCGTCGAACTGCGCGCACTTTCGCTACCCAATACTGCTGCCGAGCTAGATGGCGATGGCCTGGGCGACGCCTTCGACGTGAACGTGGAGGAAGTAATTAGGGGAGTCGATGTGGTCCTTGTCCTTTCAGTAGAGCTAGTCACGGCCGTGCTCGTGGTAGGGGCGGGTGTAATCGACGTAGTCTCGTAATCGTCCTCTTCGTCCGGAACCACCTCGTCAGGTTCCTCATCTTCAGCTTCCTCAGACCAGTCCGGGAGGGTAGTTGGCTCTGCGCCTGCCACAGGTTCCGCCGTCACAGGCACACGAGGCTCGTAGTCCTCCAGGTAGCTTGGCTCGTATGGGGCCGTGCCGGTATATTCTGGGCAAGCAGGGTTGTCGTAATTGTAGGGATCAAGGCCGCCGCCGCAAGCAGGGACGTCGCAGATCTCGCCGGTTTCGGGGACGTACCAGACAATGGAATACTCGTCATATTCGTTGGCAATCTCGGTGAAGGTGCAGCCTTCCAGCGTGCTTCGAGCATGAACGCTTCCCAAGAGAGACATGGTGGAAATGAGAGGGACGGAGAGGACGGGGAACGAGGGCATCATGTTGGCGGGAGTTGATGTAAGGTATATGATTAGGATATGTAGTGGGATCAAAGAACGAGAACCCTAATAAACATGCACAGTAGAGCGAGTGACTGGGGTAGATTGATGAACGAATGGCTGGGTGATCAAATGAGTGAGATGGATAAGAAGGGGGATAAATATCAAGAGGAGAAGAGAAGAGTGGTGGTGGGTGGAAGGAACATTCACTCCCAGGGAAGGAACGGCCTCCGTGAAGAGCTTCCAGACGGACCTTCTGTTTCTGGCCCAGACTTAACCTGCAGGGAATGACTACGGATACCAAGTAGATGGTATAAAGCAGTCCTGTCTAGTTCTCGCGATGATGGGGTAAGAGTCAAATAGATTTCTGGTATCACTCTATATCTATGCCCACGCAGCCCATGCAATAATATACCAAAATGGGAAACGTAGTACAAAAGGGTATATATCAATCATAAAGCATAACAACCAACTTCTACCAACCACCACCAATCTTCCCGGCCAACTCCACAACCCGCGTAGTATCGTTCGGTGCAGTCGGCTTGCCAACATCACTCTCCACCTCGCGGTACGTTGTGTAGGCCAGATTTGCGAGCGGAATGTCCGTCATAGCGGACCAATGCTGTAGAGTCTTGTGGACTCTGTCCTCATTTGCCGTGACTGGTGACGCCTGTACATCCTCCATCACCTCATCCGTATCTGATTCTGCCGAATAGTAGGCCTCGTCCACGCGCGCAAGCCATGAGCGCTGCTCATGCGGTGAAGGCTTTGAGGCCTCAGATACCTCTGCAGCATCATGTTGTGCGTTGAATTGTCTCGCATCTTCGATACGTATCTGGCCTCCGCCATTGGTACAGCCGCCAGGGCATGCCATAACTTCCACGTAGGCGTAGTCCATGCTTGACCCGGCAGCAGCTCCATTGCGTGACATTGGCTGCCGCCGACCTCCAGCTGTTGCGGTCGGTGCTTTGGCTCCTGGAAGTCTAGAAACCCGCGCAGGCTTGAGCTTTCGGACTAGGTTTTGGATATTCCTGAACCCGTAGTAACGGGCTGCTTTCAGGATTGGTTCCCCTCCAGGCGACATCAGCGTGTATTCCACAACATCCGCGTTTCGACCCCGCTGAGTGACGATTTTGCTACCTGGGTTCCGAGCTTGGAAGGTGAGGAGCACATTATGAAGGTAGCCCCCTGAGGTCCCAGCGGCAATTGTCTGTCTTGACAAAGAGATTTTGGAGAAAAGAAAAGCGTCGAGTTCCGGATCTGGGAAGGATAGACGAAGAGAGTCGGGAAGAGATTCCAAGGGCAGGTTGGGCAATGAAATTCCTCGGGCTGAAGCTAGGCTGAGAAGCTCGCGAGAGGTGATGACACAGTCAACGTCACGAACAGGAGTGTGTGACTCGCCCGATGAGAGCCTATTCCAAGCAGCATCGGTCAATTCCTCTCGACTAGCTTCGAGCTTCTTATCAAAGCAGGGCATGATTGACAGATGCCAGATCCGAGAAGCAGGCACACCAAGCTTCTTACTGATAGCCGTCTTCAAGAGAGTACCCGCCAAAGCCTGTGGTGATTTCAGTCGAGATAAATGCGGGAGGATAAATGGATGTGTCTTTTCAGCATAGCAGATCCAGCCTGGGCATGCTGATGAGAGAATGGGTCGTTTAGGCGCCGTCAAACCGTCGGCAGTCACACCCGTCAATGACTCGCTGACTTCATCTGCCGTCAAAACCAATACGGCTTCCCGCAGGGTATTTGTGTCGACGACCCAGTTAAAGCCGCTGCCATGCTTGCCTCCTGCTCTTAACCCATTGGGTCCGCTAAGAAACTGTTGGATCATATGATTCGCCTCCTTCTCCGAGATCCCGTATGTAGCCGCCAGACTTGCGCGCACCTGGGGACTGACACTCGCGACGAATACCCGGCCATCATCTGTTGTTTGCGCATCTACATCCACAGCTGTCCCGTGCTCGCCACTCGTTAATCGGATCTCAGGGTGCGCGTCGAGGGTGTTGAGAACCTCATTGTGAGACTGTAGGGAGATGAGCACCGCCTCAGCGGAAGTGACGCAGCCGGAGCATGCGAGGCAATCGGTGAGGGAGATCTGCGCGGTAGGTGGGTTCTCGGGTTGGACTTTGTCTTCTGTCGTAACTTCGTAGGCGTTCTAATAGCATTCAAATGAGTACTCATTCCTTGGATGTGGTGAATTGGCAGCTTACCTCTGAAGACTGCTTCTGCGGAAGCGACTCAACGGGTTTTATACAGGCAACTCCCGGAGAAATAAAGTCGTTCAAGTCGTCTGCGGAGAGAATGGCGCTCATTGTAGCAGCGGGGAAGACCCCTCCGGATGATGACTAGGATATACACGTGCGGGGTCGAGTCTGTCTGTCGGGATGGTTGCGGCTCGGTATAAACGATCAACGTAGAGAGAGGTGATAGGAAGTATTAGAGCCGAGAGACAAGTTGAAGAGGCGACGGGGTAAGCGAGATATGGGGAGAATATATGCTTTGTAATCTGCGTGGCGACGGGCTCATTTTTTGAAGCTCCGCGGGGAGACGATAAGAAGCAGTCCGATGGATCCAAGATTGCAAATCCCCGGCATCGGAGTGGGCTTGCAGCACTTGTGCACGTGACCTACAGCCATAATCGTTGATCAAAGAGACACCATTCGTTCTTTCTTCTATAGTTCATCCAACGTTACTTTTGCTGTTCTAGAAGTGGCCGTCAAACTGCTTGAAAGTTGAGTATTCTGATATAGGAACAGGTGCCTTCTATTTGCCGGTTGGGAGATGTCGAAGATCCGGCTTATCTAGCCCTAACAACTCAATATATATCGGCCAAGAAACCAGATCAAGACACCATTGCAAATACTTAACGGCCTCTATAGTCGCTCTCTTGAGTTCCTCGCCGTTACTGCATGCAGCAAATAATTAACGGCCTCTATAATTGCTTGTTTGAGTTCCTCGCCGTTACTGCACGCAGCATATATAAAACGATCCGGACGGACAATTACAAACTTGCTCCCTCCGAGCGTCTTGCCAAGGTAGTGCATATCATAGTACTGAGGTTCAGGGCGCCCTTCGCACAATGGAGACTTTGCAAACTCCTCAGCGCTTGCGAGCTGATACACCGAGTCTGCGCCATGGAGGTTCGAGGAGTCGAAACTCTGCTCGGTCTCATTGATAACATAGGTAGCCTCGTCAAGATGGATTTCACCCTTCGCAAATCCCTCGATGGAAGAGACCGACTCCCTGGCGGACTCAAGCTCACTCGGGTTCTCGAGGTAGATAAGCAGTTGGAACAAACCCCTTTTGGATGGGTGGAAAATGACATCGTCCGTGAAGAATACTTCCCCAGTTCTAGACTTGCAGTACACCTGAGGAAGGCAAAGTCCTCCATTTAGGTCGGGAATGAAGGGCATACCGGCTGCAAACTGATAGCGAATCATACCCTTTCTGTGGCCGAGTCGCAGCTCTCGTCGCCAGCTGGGGACTAGGTTCATGATAAACAAGTAACAAGAGCGGAGGAATATCTTCAACGGATTTCCTTCTGTGACGAATTCTCCGTTTCGTATCGTTACTGCGAGGGATCTCTCTAGCTGCTGCTTGCGCTCCAGGTACCAGCTCTTGAGGACAATTTCGTGACGGGGCGGGTCGAGTGTGCCCTGACGGCAAAGTAAAGCAAGACGCCAGGCCAGAGATACGGCGTCGCGAAAGCCAGATGAGATGCCTTGGCCGCCGACTATGTAGAAGGTTAGTTTAGTTACTCCAGCGATTTGGATCCATAAATTTACATGGAGGGAAAACGTGTGCCGCATCGCCGCATAGAGCGACGCGACCGAGGGACCACTTGTTGCAACTGCGTGCAGAGAACCGGAATGGTCTCGACCTCAGGACGCGAATGCAGTCCTCCGGATACTGCACATCATGTAAGAGCCTGGGATTTCGGGTTCAGCTTCACCTCCCATAGTCAAGGAGGCCAAGGCCAGCTTACCCGTACCGCTTCCCAGAATGCGTCAAATAGGGAAAGATGACCGCTCGAGTCTTTTCAGGCGAGGCCATCAGATCACCATCCTCGTCATCTAGGACAACAAACTCGAATCTCCAGAGCCGGTCTGAAGGGAGACCGAATCGAGTGCAGATAGCCGGGCGCTCAGGATTGCACAAGAAGCGGAAGTTCTTGGGAAAGAAAAGATCGTACACCTGCTCTGGCGAATATCCTAGCTTCCATAGCGGAAAATCAGGGTGCGTATCCATTGCAGGCAGGGTTATTTCCCAGTTCAGCGCTACCCAAGTTACGTCGTAGAAGGCACTGTGATATCGGTAAGTGCCCTGTGACAGCAAGCTTGTCCGCTTCATTGACTTACTCGTGTGCTTGCAACATTTGTATCCCCAAAGGCTCGAGGTAGTTTTTTCTAGTAAAACCGGTCTTGCCATCAGCCCCGACGAGAAAGCGGGACCGTATAGAACGGATCTCTCCGGCTTCATCACGGTATCGACAGTATGTCCATTGGTCATCTTGCTGGATCTCAACGACACTGCATCCAGACCTGAGTTGACAAAAGTCTGATGAGGCCATAGCGCACCGAAGGTGTTTCTCTAACACCGGCTGTTTATGGCTGATGAAGCCAACATGGCCTGTGCCTCCCTCTGTCTTGTCAACAGCGTTAGAGATAGATGTCAGGCATCGAAGCCAAGGAGGAACAAACCGTAGCATAATCCATCTCCAAAAATGCATCCCGACTAAGGTCTTTCTGTGTACCTCCAATGAACTTGAATATCTGCATACCTATACTTGTGTCAGTATCCTGCAATACATGGACTTATATAGAGAAGCAACGTACAGCTCCCAATGTCTTGATGGACTTGGTCGTATATCCCAAGGCCTTGAATTAAACGGATGCCATCCTCATCCAGTGCAATTCCTCGGGGATCCGTAGTAATCCCGCTCTCCTTCTCGAGGACGACATTGCTTATAGACATCCGTCCCAGATAGCCTGAGAGCATGGCGCCCGTTGGCCCACATCCGCAGATGACCACTTCTGTGGTTTCACATTCCCCGAAAGGGTCCATTATTCGTAGCAGCACAGGCGAGATATTTGTTATATCAAATGTCGTGTTCGGGCTCCAAATAACATATTTATGTAAGGAAGCATTAGGCTAATGGCAACGCGAATCCGGTCCCAACTAATCTATCCGGGTATGGTGTCGTGCTGGAAGCCTAGAAGTGTTGGGATAGCGCTTACTGTGGGACGTAAGCTTGAATCAGGTTGCTTAGTGCCCATGACCCATGCAGGTGCGGGATCCTCTGGCGGCCGACTCGGCGCTTCAGACTGAACAAAACAAGGGGCGGGATCTGTCTATCATTTCATTCCGGCGAGTGGGTTTCTGTTGTGGTTGGGGGCCAAGGATGATGTTGTCAAGGAGGCTGACAGGAGGTCCGAGGGATAGAGGGGATAGAGCTATGATTCCCCTCAACCACAAATCGAAGCAATTATGCCAATAAACAGATCTATAGAGCTGGGACCATTGGCATCGTGATGATCGCCTACAGCCCTCAAGTGATGGGGTTAGGCTATATGCTGCGAAATACTCCGCAAAGCACAGGACACCAAAAATGATCATCTTTCTGCTGCTTTCTACATGGTCATGTTTGAGAACCATGCTTTGAATGAATAGTAGTGCTCAGGAATTATGAGCTGAAAGGAGCTGGAATAACTACTGGTGCCATACGGAGTACACATCCATACAAAGAGCACCCCAGGGTGGCTGACTAATCTCCCGAAAAAGGTTCAGGGCGGGCCGCAGAAATCGATCTCACCAAAGCCCTCAGATCCTCCCTCAGAATCCCAAGAACCTCACTTTTACGCCCCCACACCATCCCTTTGACCTGCGAGCGAACCTCACAAATCAAATCCAAATCTGACACCCATCATGTCCCGCGAAGCCTACCAAGTCCCCTCCCTCGGCGGCGGCAACGCCTTCAGCAACGACAACATGGGCGCCGGCTCCCTCGACGGCCCCATCGTCGCCTACCTGTGCGGTGACTGCAACGCCCGTGTATCTCTCAAGCGCGGCGACCAGATCCGGTGCAAGGAGTGCGGACACCGTGTTCTGTACAAGGAGCGGACGAAGCGGTGAGCTTTTCTCTTTCCCTACTGGGTTTCTGGGGAGTGTGCTGATTTGGCCGTACAGTATGGTTCAGTTCGAGGCGCGATAGAGTGGTGGATTAGGTTGCGATGGCGGATGGAGGAGTGAGAAGCCTAATACTGCGACCTGCGACGCCATCCGTTTTTACGATTGTTATGTGCATTTTGTGGCGCTTTGGGAGTTGGGATTCAGAACAGCGAAGCACAGTGTCGCCGCTTCGTGGAGGCATTTACGCGCAAGGGTATTGCTACAGATGGATGAAAGAAAATATGCACTGCATCTTGATGTCCATGGGCGGAACTTGTCTGGGTAAAATCCATTGAAATGATGTGACATGATACTCAATATACCCAATTACTTTTCCTGGGGTTCAAAAAAAGGTCAAGCACCCAGGCTTGATTCTCCAATAATTCACAGCAAGAATGAGACAAATAAGATAACCCGAAATATGTTCACATCAAAGCCTATTGGAGCTTGTTTGTCACTTCAATGAAATCCTCGAAGCATTTCAGAGCAGCACCGCTCTCAATCGCCCAGCGCGCTCGGCGGACACCCTCCTTCCAGCGACCACCTCCTGGACCGCGTTCGGTAATGACCTTGCCATCATCGCCAGGGCCCATGTTGGAGCTGTCTGCTTCACAAATTCCCGAGGTAACCAGAAGCGCGGCCACGTTCATGAGTACGAAGCTCAAGATCGGGTCATCCCGAGGTAAATCATTCCGTAGGATCTCCATCAGTTTCGCCGCATTGTCCTTGGGCATCTTCCTCCCGTATACTGCAGTGAGCGGATAAACAGGCAGACCAAAGTCGGCGGGCTCTAGCTGGAATTCGTCCAACTTGGCTATCGTACGAGGTGTCCTGTATTCATCATCATCGTCCTCATCCTTTGACTCATCATAATCCGGGTTAGGGATCTCGGACAATTGCCAGCAGTTCGTCTTTCCCGCACAACTGATCTCATCCAGGTCTTCTTCACCACAGATAACAAGACCTTTCGTTACCCCGTTCTGCCGCAGAGCTTCCACGAACACGGGCCCGAGCGCCTTATACGCGACACCCACCACGCGCGCTTCAATGGCCCAGTCGACAGGGTTTGCGAGAGGACCCATGAGGTTGAAGATCGTTCGCAGTCCAAGACTTCGGCGCACATTATCCGCGTACATCATACCATAGTGGAAGTTCGGGGCGAAAAGGAAAGCGTAGTTGGACGCGGCGTATACCTCGCTCAGGTTCTCGGCGTTGACGGCACTAATCTTGGGAGGTACGGGGGAGACAGCGTTGAGTACATCGGCGGATCCGGAGAAGGAGGTTTGCGCGCGGTTTCCGTGCTTGGCCATGACGAGGAGGGGAGAAGCGAGGATAGAGGAGGTCGTTGAGATGTTGAAGGTGGAATGCGAATCACCGCCGGTTCCGACTATGTCGCACTGCAAAAAGAACGTCAATCAGAATGGCGCACTGCAGCCTGAGCTCTGAAATTAAGACTTACTAGGCCACCTTTGTAGTTGCCTTCACTCTTGCCGCGCGATTGGATCGCCTTCTTCAACGCGACCTTGTCGGTTTGACGAGCGGCGTCCCTCATGCGATGTGAGCATTTTGCAATGACTTCTGCGTCTTTGTCCAATTGGGTCGAATGCAGCAGCGTAAGAAGAGCCGCGGTCTGGATATCGGAGAGACGGTCCTCGAAGATCAATGCGAACGCTGACGCAATTTCTGAGGCTTCGACGGCCACCTCGGACGCGGGGTACGCGAGCTTCTTGAGGAGGGGGCTGATGGAGATGCTCTCCGGTTTCTGGCGAGGTGTGACAGACATGGCGGCTCGATGTTGAACAAGGAGGGATCCGGATAGCTTGGCGAACAATGACTCAAGATCGTAGGTCTTCACCTGCCGGGGTTGGTCGGCTTTATAAGTTCTTTGATCCAATAATTGAGAATCGCCCTGTGACACATAGTTGCGATTTCCGGTTTGGTTCCGGTGTAAGGGACTTGGCAGAATCTTACCGCCATTGTGATGCGCTAGTCTACTTTGGGATCTTAGATTTCATCGCCGGCTCCAGGGCTGTTTTTTTGCCTGGTTCGATCGGAGACGCTGAATACTGGCATTTCGCCATTTCTTTCTTCAAAAGAGGGTTTACTCGCTGCCTGGTGCATCTACCTGGGAAAGCCTTCTTTCGAAAAGTCTTCTCTCCGGATCTCTGCACATTATCTAGCCACAATGCCTCCCCGGATACGTCTTGCAAATGCCCGGGTGCCCGTCCGGTGTCAAAGGCTCCTGTGCCAATCCGATATTCCTACATTAGTTCGATATGCTAGCACAGTCACGACTCCTGCTCCCTCAATTGAGCAGATGACCACTTCTCCCGTTCCAATCGCCAGATTCCCCCCCTCACAACCCCCATCGCACCGCAGGCCCGAGTACCGACGCTCTCAACTTCTCCGCCAATACACCTCTATCATTCGTACCACGCCTCTTATGGTGTTCCTTCAACATGACAACCTCAAATCAGTGGAGTGGACGGCTATCCGACGAGAACTTAGCAAGGCCATGCAGAAGGTTGACGCGAAAATTGCCGCGGAGGGCCGCTCCGCTCCAGCTTTGGCCCCCCATATCAAGGTCCAAATCATTCAGCCCGGCATCTTCGACGTCGCGTTGCGTATCGTGGATTATTTCCGACCTAGCCAGGAGACGCTGGAAATGGGCAAGCCCCCCAGCGCAAACGACCCAGCTACACAGACCTCCGCGGAGATCTCGCTCGCAGGCTCGAAGGACGACCCAACATTGACGCACGATCTCTCGCGCGCGGCTCAGGCTGCTGTGCGCCACAAGAAGGGGAAGCATGAACTCTCCACCCTTCTTGCTGGGCCCATTGCCGCCCTCACTATCCCACACATGTCCCCAGAGCACTTGAAGGCCGCCTTGACCGTTCTGGCGCCCAAGGCTTTCGGTTACCCTGCGCCCACCCGAAAAGCCAACCCTGACTGGCACGAGCTTTCTGTTCAGAACGGTCTGAACAAACTGAGCGTTCTCGCTGCGCGCTTGGACAACCAGTTGTTCGATGTCGACCAGACGAAGTGGGTCGGAAGCATCGAAGGTGGTATGGATGGTTTGCGGTCTCAACTCGTCATGGCCTTGCAGAGCATGGGATCTAGCATTACAAGCACTTTGGAGGGGGCTGGAAAGAGTCTGTACGTCACTCTTGAGAGCAGGAGGAGTGTGCTAGAAGATGAGCAGAAGGGCACTAGTGGCGAGGCGAAGGGTGAGGATAAGGCAGAGTAGTCATTACGCTGCCGTCTTGAATTTTGGGTTCCATCTGTATAATAAGGACTGTATTTGATCGATTGTAAAGATTATGATTACCTAGAGGGGTTTCTTTTATAGCCCTCAATATCAAACTTCTTCTTCATGACAATTCTTTCAACAGCGTATACTTAGTATCCCATAACCATTAAACGTAAACATAGCTGGGTATTAATTCGCACGTTATACCAGACCGTCAAACCAGCATCTGGTTTCATATAACGCCGTTTCCCTATTTCTTATCATGCTCCTCCTTGTGCTCATTCTCCTGCTTCCTCTGCCTAACCATGAGCTTAGCATTCAAGCCCACAATAGCCCTAACAAGATCCCAGTCTCCATCGAGCCCAACCCAATCCGTAACCAGGATCCCAGTTGACCAGTCGGCCCCCTCTTTCTCCCCATGCCTGCGACAGAGATGATCAACTGTCGCGGGGTTCAACTTCTCCGCAATCCTCTCCGGCCACGTGCCCAGCTTGAAGAAGTTGCTTGCGCTCAGGAAGTTGATGTAGAATGGATGGGCTCTTGTTGCTTTGGGTCCGGGAAGGACACCGAAGGGGTAGCATGTTTCACCGGCGCGCTTGCAGTGGTCTTTTACATACTGGATTTTCTTGTCGATGTTTTGTGTCTCTAGGACCTCGTAGAAATCCTGGATGATGAGTTGCCCGCTGGGGCAGGTTGCGTTGGCGCAGTTGTCCGCCCAGCCTGTCGCGTTGATACCCCAGCCGCGGCCGCCGTGGATGTCCTTGAGTTCCTCGAGCATGTTGAAGCGGCGGACGAGAACGATCTTGCCGCGGGCCTCGCCGAGGGTTGGGATCTTAGGGTCGGTGTACCACCTGCTCCCTGGACGGGCGTAGTGGTCGCGAATGATGCGGCTGAGTTGTTCGTCTGTGTGGGTTCCGGGTCCTTCGCGTTTCAGCGAGATCATGAGCGTTTCGGATGGGTTGTGCTCGAGGAAGTCGTTGACTTCGCGCTCCAGGTCGCGGAAGTACTTCTCGCCTGTCAGGGAGACAGGAAAGTTGCTGTGCACGAGGGCGAGTTCGTCCTTGGCCGCGTCATTGGGGAACTTGGGCTGCACGCGGATGTCGAAGAAGCGCACGCCGTTCTTTAGCTGCTCTCGTGGGCTGACGGCCTGGCAGCGAACTGAGGGTGGTGCGACGTGGCACGTTGGGGAGTTGTGAGTTCCTGGTATGGAAAGGGAGGAGAGCAAGGTGTCATCTTTGAGCTCCTTCATCCACGCATGCAGGTTCGCAGATGAGAAGACGGCAAGATGAGATTCAGCTGGCGAGAAGATACCCGTGAATCGGAGCTTCGCGTCCTTGCTCAGCGGCTTCATGCTGGCTGTTTCGGTCGTTGGCACTGGAGTCTGGACTTGGTGTCGCTCGCCCTTGGACTCGAATACCCAGCGGATTCGCTCCTTGTCCGAGTCGATGTATGAGCGCAGCTCTGTGCGCATTGTCTTGAATGGCTCAACATGGATGTCGAGGTCCTTGTGCTGGAAAGGTTTGGAATCATCCGTGATTGTTGCGACAGGGGCGTCAGCGCGGGTGACATTGGTCACTAGTCTGGTGAAGTTCTTCGCTAGAGCACCGATATCGATATCGCGAGTTTTCTCCGGCGCGCGAAAGCGTTCAATGCGCTTCAGTGTGATTGGCGTGGAGGTGAGATTCCGGATGGTCAAGTGTTCAGCCACCATGGTGTCCGTTATCTGCAAGGCAATCTGTTTTCGACAAGATAAAATGAACCCGCCGAAGACCGAAGAGTCAATCGTTGGAAATAAATAGGAATTAAAGTAAGTCCAGACGCTGCTCAGCTTTTTAGGCTCCAAAGATCTGTGGTTACTGTCGCACTAACACCCTCGATGGGCGGGGCGCCAATTAGGAGTTCCAGTCAGTCTCAGGCTCTCAGCCCGAGATCGAGGCTAGCTGAAGTTCAGTTCAATTCCACGCAGATCAGACTGAGATTGATGGCTGAGAATCACCCCAGAAGTTGGACCACCTTTTGCTGATGGCGGGGGAGGGGTAAGAAGCCGAGCCATGATGCTTGCATTCGGGCAGTGGCCTATCTTACGTGCAGGCGTATATTTTGACACTGGGTATAGAGTACACCACAGTACTCAGAGTACTGTGAGAAAATTTCCACACAATTCATTTCGAGGACAAGCACCAATAATGAGTACTTCTTCCGCAATTGTATGCGTGCTGTAGAACGATGACTAATCATATTTAGGCCAGTCACATGACTCTTCTATACTGCAACGACATGATCCTCCATCTCCACTTTTATCCTCAATATCCGATGCTGTCTCTGTATAGTCCCAGTATGGAACTTGACCATGTTCCGGTGCTCCCAGTGTGATAAGTCTTACCAGAGGAAAGCTCATTTACAGCGCCATGAGGTGACCCGTAAGCAATACCGTACGGACTCCTGTTTTCTCACCCATTGACCACGAATTAGATACCGGCCAGGCGGCCTCTGCGTGCCCAGTCTGCGGGAAATCTTTCTTGAAACCGTATGCTGTCTTTTGGCTCTAGATAATTGACTGTTTCTAATTGGCCTCCCTACAGAGAAGTCGCCCGGAGACACAGCAAAGCATGTGCGATAAAACACAATCAACAGCCTGCTCCCGCAGCTAAACCGGGGAGGAAGAGGCAGTCCTGTCGGCAATGCTTTTCGACGAAAAGGTCTTGTGACAGAGGATCCCCATGTTCTCGATGCCGACTGCTAGGATTAGATTGCACGTTCGAGTCGCAACAAGGACTTTCCCCGACGGAATCCGACTTGACGGACATCCCATCACTGTCCTCGATACAACCCTCTAGGTCATCAAAAGACAGCTCTCTGTTCTCATTTCTTCGGCACTTCACCGACCCTAAACTGGAAAAGGACAGACTTGCCATTGGGACGACAGCAGAATGCTCTGTCCGAAGAAATTTGGAAACACTCTATTCCCATATTCAAGATGCTCTCATACCACTTGATTCCATGGCCGCTTGGTTTGGTGACTTTTCAGCTGCTGGCTCCTTCTTTCCATCATCATTGTCAATGGAAGATTACATACCTATGGACTTTCTGTCCTCTGGAACAGGGCCTACGAAACTCTCAAAGCAATTAAACGAGCTCCTGATGGAGCTGGTCGAAACCTCCAAGTCTATGGGACTGGAGGACTCTGAGACCACGCTGCTGCCTCTTGATGCTACCCAGCTCGCTCCACTCTTCACCGTCTCTAATGTTGGCATTTTTGTTTCAGTCTTCTTTCACTCACTCCACTGGCATCTCCCGGTTGTGCACTTTCCTACATTCGATCCTGGCAATGTTTCCAACCCACTCCTACTCTCCACATTCTTGACAGGTGCAACGTACAGCAATTCTCTCGACGAAGCAGTCCTGTTACTGAGACTTCTTGATGTTGCCGAGGAGTATATCTTTCGAAGAGTTACTGCTCTTTCAACCCAATCTGCTCAGTCAACCCAAGATCCTACGAGCCAATTGAATACGATTCAGCTCATTCAAGCTGCCCTTATTATTGAGATGCTTCAATTCGGTCAAGAGAGAGTGGAAACTAGGCGTCGCATTCGAATTATCCGCCATCCAAGCTTAGTATCTCTGATGCGTTGCTTGGGAATCTTCAACTTGAAGCGGTCAAAGGCCCCCACAGCCAGTGAGGGCGATGATTCTTTGTGGAGGTCATTACTTGCAGAGGAAGTCTGTATACGGCTTGCTTCATGGGTCTTTCTTGCAGATGGCTTTCTCACGCTGTGTTTCAAGAATCGCCCAACGATATCGATCTTCGAGCTCGACTGTTCGTTTCCTTGGAAGACAGAGCTATGGGAGGCGGAGAATGCGTCCACGTTTAGCCGCATGGCTAAGGGCTATGAAACAGAGCTACCTCTACCCTCCGTCAGGGAAGCGGTCCGGTTACTACTAGAAAGCCCGGACTCGGGACCGGTACCATCCAGAATATCACTGTCAGCGGAGCATTTACTTATCATGATCTACGGTATGTTACCCAGTCATTATTCCCATTGATAACTATGCTAATAAAGGATCTCCAGCGCTGAATTCCCTCGCTTTCATGGCCAGAGTTGATTTCTTCGGGTCCGTACCGTTGGAGAAGATAAGTCATGCTGCCAAGAATTGGAAACAGATATGGGATTGGACATCCTCAAACAACAAGCAAAAGCTCCTTTTGGGCTACCCGAAGCACGCAGAAGAACTATGGTTATTGCTGACTGCGACCCTTGACATTGTCAGCCAGCGCAAGAGCCTTCCGTACCTGGACACCAACAGCGCTGCAACGGATGATCTGGGGAAGTTGAAAGAGTTCATCGAATGGTGCACTCTGTATATGAAGACACCAAAAGCTTCAGGCAAGGGATGAACACCTGTCCTTTGTCTAACATTTATTATTACTATACAAAGCATGTTTAGTCATGCTTGATGCTCTGGGCCTTGAGATTCTCCTTCTCCAAGAAGCCGTCCTCCTTGGGCGTGCGGTATGTCCCTCCCAACCTATCCCAGAGGGTCATGAATTGTCCATAATTATAGTTGAAGTACAAATGGTGCATTGTGTGGCAGGCCGGTCCGTTGACAATTACAGATTTGGTGAGGTATTCGGCGTCATCTGTTTCTTGTTAGCATTTTTACCTCCGTATGGGTGCCCATGGAACCCGTCAAAGGTACAGATGGACTTACGGATCCACAATGTCCACGAGGTGACAAAGACGAAAAGCCCAATATACGCACTCTTCTGCAGCGGAAACAGGAATGGGAAGATGTGGTACGGAAGACTCTGCGACCAGCCATCTACTGGGTGGAAAGCATAGCTAGCGAACGGCGACGGCACGATCCATTTGTGGTGCGGCTTGTGAAGCCAGCGGTATACGGATGGGATATGCAACCACCGATGAATCCAATAGATGCCGAAGTCCGTGAAGCACACAAACAGCGGATATTGCAGCCATGTGTACGCAGGGAATGGAGCCTCGCTTGCAAAGTCGTATAGCTTGGACCAGCCGCGAACCTCTGCCAGGAAAAAAGGTGCTGTCAAAATGGCTATCACCGGGATCGAGGTCACGCCCTGTTTGATCTCAAGACGGATTTGGTTCGGGAGGAAATGAGGGTGTCGCAGGAGCCGCTTGTCGAACATCGTGTGGTAGACTATCACGCTTCCGATGAGATACATGGCCGATCCAAAAATCCTATACATCATTAAATGCCTTGGTCAGCACATCCTCACAGCGGGGATAAGGATGCATACCATGCAATCAGGAACAGTGAGATCGATTGCCGCACTATATCGTCTCGTTTCCACATACTTCCGTCCACGTATGGAGACGGCAGCAAAGGAACATAACGACCGATGTTTTGATTATAGATCTTCTGCGATCTTGATGCTGCATCATCGACTGTGCTCGAAGCCGGCAAGATCGAAGCGTACACCCGGTCGAAGAGAAATGTATCTAGAACGTCGAGGATCACGTCCATGGTGCAAGAGAAACTTTATCAGACGAAATTAGAACTTTCCGGAGAGTTGACAAGGTTAATTGCGATGGTTCAGGAACCCCTTTCTTATATTGGAGATTACCTACATGTTGGTAAACACCGACGTGGACCCATATTAGGGCTGGGGAATACCTACAGCGGGATTTACCTACAACGGAGTTTACCTACCTACCATTTAACTATGTTGTTACCTACCGGAGAATACCCACACGGTAGATACCTACATAAGCTCAGGGGCTCCCTTATTATGGAGCCACTCCGCTCAGCCACCGGTGATTTCTAGACCCGGGTGGTTTGACTCGAACCTAAGGATCTCCTGATGCTTAAATCGAGACCACGATCTACCGAGCCCTAACAAAAACGAACCGTTCCTGAACACGTGACGTCTCCAACGGATCGCCGACAATGCGGAGAGACCCACACGTGACATGACGCTAGGCGGCGGCTATCGTCGGCCCTTCGAAGGCAGAATGCGGGGAGATAAGTAGGGGTGTTGTTGATGATTCCTCCCAGCGGAAGGTCTTTCGTTCCTATTCTCATTTGATTACTATTCTGCGTGACAATGAGTCTCCTGCACTTCAGTCGAGGCCTCTCGAGCCTCAGGACGCGTTCTCAATCCCTTACGGCGCTGAGCAGTGCTCGATCACCGCGGCCTTCGATATATTTTCCCCGGCGGAGTTTCCATGCTGCTTTGGCTCTTGGAGGGATCAGGTCTCAGGTTCTGAAGGATGTTGGAGAAGGTGAGCTTGAACTTTAGCTCCGTCTCTTCCCAATACTTCCCATTTTTTGCAATGTCCCGTTGCTCATTCGATTCGTCTTCGCAGGGATAACGGAAGTTCAGATCATTCAGTGGTACGTTGAGGAAGGGGCGAGAGTGGAAGAGTGGAAGCCGCTTTGCCAGTACCAGTCTGATAAAGCAGTGGATGATGTTTGTTCTCCATTCTGTAAGATCATGCGGAGCAGGCGCTGATATATATAGATCACCTCGCGGTATGAGGGCGTGGTGAAGAAGCTACATTTTCAGGCAGATGATACTGTTCCTACCGGGAGGGTAAGAAGCTATACACCTTGTTCGTTTTACTTGCTAACAATGGTTTGACTAGGCGCTCTGTGACATTGAAGTCAACGACGCTCAATATCCCGAAGACCCTCCTGAAGCAAACGCAGAGACCTCTCCACCAGCGCGGACCACGATAGACTCGCAAACAGTACCCCAACCGAGTGTCCCATTACCAGATACCTCAGCCCCGCCACCCCCAAACAGTGCTCCAAAGTCACGCCATGCTACACTTGCAACCCCCGCTGTCCGCGGGCTCCTCAAGCAGTTCAAGGTGAACATCGAGGATGTGAATGGAACTGGCAGGGATGGCCGAGTGCTCAAGGAGGATATCCACCGTTTTATTGCAGCGCGAGACGCGCCGAGCACAGCTCCATCACCATCGCCCTCAACATCCCCGCAGGCTGAAACAGCTGTTAGCCTAACGCCTATCCAGACGCAGATGTTCAAGAGCATGACCCGGTCCCTGACAATCCCGCATCTCGGATTCGGTGACGAGCTTAGCATCAACAACATTACAGCTCTACGCAAGAGAATAGCCAACTCCAAGGACGATCCAAGAAAAATCACATTCCTCTCATTCGTCGTCAAAGCCGTCTCGCTCGCTCTAACCGAGTACCCCATCCTCAACGCCAAACTAGATACCTCCAACTCCGACAAGCCCCAACTCATCCTACGCCCAAGACACAACATCGGAATCGCAATGGACACCCCGCAGGGCCTGATAGTCCCCAACATCAAGGACGTGGGCAACCTAACCATCCTAGACATTGCGCAGGAGATTTCCCGTCTCAGCGCACTAGGGCAAGAAGGCAAACTTACACCAGCCGACCTCAGCGGTGGCACAATCACAGTCTCGAACATCGGGAATATCGGAGGCACATATGTTAGCCCGGTGATCGTGACCAACGAGCTCGCGATTCTCGGCGTCGGAAGGGCAAGGACGATACCTGTTTTCAACGAGGCTGGTCAAGTTAGCAAAGGCGAGGTGGTAAACTTCAGCTGGAGCGCGGATCATCGCGTTATCGATGGTGCTACGATGGCAAGGATGGCGGGTAAAGTGAAGGAGCTCATTGAGGCGCCGGAGCGGATGCTCGTGAGTCTGCGATAGCCTGCTTTTATGAAGTCTATGGAATACCCAGATGCAGTGATTAGACCTAGCTTGATAGACCTAATATAAGAAGGTAATCATACTTTTCAATCCGCCCTTGGTTTGTATGAAACATGATAAATCTAGCCCGAACATGCAGGGAGGGTATAACAAACTTCAAAGCTATGTAGATAGGCTTCCATGTTGATGACTTGATTATTCCGCAATCGCAGCTTTTATAGATAGTTTGACTTGTTCTCTTAAAGTTGCTCATGACTTCGAAGTGTGCTTTAGACCATGGTTGATAGTAGTGTTGGTGGAATGTGCTCTGCGGGCAGCTATGTGTAGCTGTATGAATCATAAATAATCCTGCTTTAGAGAATATTAAAACCAGACCGTGTCCATAATAACTAGAGAAAGCCACTTCTAACAAGAGAAGGTTGACTTAGACCATGTTCAATAGGCCTGCAGGCGGGTACTGCCTTGGTTAGGCTCCCACTGCCGCCCCGGCACCTGCACCTGCAGCAGAACTCCCTACCAACCGTAACACTTCTCCCACATTCACCCACCTTGTCCCTCTCCTTTTCCCACCCCTTGAGAGGTGCCCATTCAGGCTCGAGTCTTCCAACCACACAATATTCTACATTAATTGAACATTCGACCACGGTCCGTACTCCCGTCAACATGGGCACCAGAGGCCTGGTGATCTACCGCTGCAATGGCAGATACTATGTCTATTACAACCATTGGGACAGCTACCCCGAAGGCTTGGGCGAGGCAATCGTTCGCCAGATCCCTGCCGACCCTGAGGAATATCGAGGTAGGCCATGGCTTAATTGCAGATCATGCTGCTTAAATATACACTAATGCTGGCACAGCATGGCTGGAAAAGATGAGACAGACCTACAGCCGTCTCGGCCAGGAGTTTGAAGACGAAATACTCTGTGTTTCACCCAAGTTCGGCCAGCCTGGAGGCATGTCCTCGCCCATCGAGCGGTTTGCCAAAAGCTACCGCGCTTTGGATGATAGGCTCCAAGCCCCTCCAACCTACGCACTGCTGGACGCTGGTGATGGTAGCTTTTCCATTGAATGGACGTACACCATCGACCTTGATCGTGAACTGCTTACTGTTGACAAATCCGTGTCCTTCAACCTTTCCCGACTACCACACCACCCTAGCTGGCACGATTACTTGACCGAAGACCGCCGTAGGCGCAGGACTTTGGCCAGTAACACACCGCTGGATCTTATTGCAAATACGGTCACCATGCTCGACGTGGACGTCAAAATGAAGCAAAGATACAACTCTCTCAACGTGGAGGTTGATTTATTTTCGGCCTGGGGAAATTTCGATCCAGTCAATAACTCCAGACAAGACCTGCTCGTCAAAGCTAGCTTAGCCGTCTGCCGTGAGTATCGGCCTTTTATAGACAGGTCTTACACCGAGTGGACTTCTACCTCCTCTCCTTTCAGAGAGATTGCGTTTGGCATTTTGTCCATTGCCGCTGGCGACGTAACTTTTGTATGCCCCGAGCATGTCAACAAAACATATTCGCGTGAGGGATTCTTCCTAATCCCTGACAATGAGCACCCGGAAGAAGAGCAGACTTTGCTTCCTCTACTCCTTCACGAGTGCCACCGTCCCGGTACTGCTTCTGGATCCGCCCCTCAAAGCAATCCCTTTTGGCTCGGAAACGTCCTTGTTTATTTAACGCCCAGAACGGAACTTGTCGAGGTTGAAGAAGCTGCGGTGGCTAAAGTCGTGGACAGTGGCCTTCATCAAGGCTTAACATCCTTTCAAGCCTTGGTATTCTCCATCTTGGACGCCATTTTTATTCAGGTCGAGAAAGGTAAAGATGGTGAAATCAAGGTCACACGGTCGCCATTGATGAACCTGCTTTACTTCGATGAGGATAAGTCGAACTACCCCAATGGACCGCGGTCGAGAAGGACAGAGCTTCCACTGGGGGAAGAATCGACAGATGGGAACCAATCAGAAGAGGCTGAAGAAGGGAACAACGATAAAAATGATGCCGAAGAAGCCATCGTCGCCGCAGGCAGTGCCGATGATGATGACGGTGATGGCGGCATTGGCAGACCTGGAGACACTCAAGACGCTCAAGGCGTTGATGATGCCGATGACGGCGGCGATCATGGCAATACTGACGACGATGACAGCGATGATAGTGATGATAGCGATGATAGCGATGATAGCGATGATGAAGCTGGTGAGGACGATGATGACGACCATGGCCGTGATAGCGACGATGAAGATGTTTCCGACATCGTGATTCCTCTCATCACTGGCAGCATGTTGACACAATTCTTCGACTCAGCGATGAATCAGAAACTGGCAGGCACAAAGTCGCGCGTGTTTCCCAACGAGATTCTGATAAGAATCATGGAGTTCTCGGACCATCAAACATACCTCTCCCTTGCTCAAGTATCGAACTGCTGCAGAGACTTTTATTATCGCAAGTTTCGTCTCAACGATGATTACGCTCTAGTCCCAAACTGCGAAGAACAGCCCACTGCTTCCTGGACTTTCGAGGAATTGGACTCTGGTCGCAAGTTACTCTCATCTGTCGATTCCAAGAAGGAAAACAAGAACGCTCTGTGGCGCCAACCAAAGAAGACAGACGAGCTTACGGTAAGCCCCATCATAGGGATAGGGAAGCGGAGCAGTGTTATAAATGGAGTGAGCTTCGAATTTCCTGGTATACCGCTGAAGCGGCCTCCATATCCCGGGAAAGATCAAAAGGACATGATTAACGAGTAAGTTCCACCTTGTTTCTTCTTTTAGGCCAATGTCGAATTCTCACATCATTCAAGGGAGGCAGCAGAACTTGGTCGTTACTGGCCGGACGACAGAGACCCAGAGCGACTGTTTACCCTGCCGGATTACCTCTATTTGGAATATCTCGAGGCTGCTTTTGAGCGTTACGTTCTGAGTCTATTGCAAGCATCGGACATGTCCAGATTTAGATTTATCCGCATCGTTGCTGCGCATTATCCGTGCCTCCTACCAACTGGTTATAGGCTTTTGAAAACAGAGCTGTTTTCCTGCAGCGGCCTGGTCATGATTCTCAGACATAAGCGGCACGAAAGCCCCGAGGAATGGGCAAATACGTTGGAGTACGTCGTTCAAAAATTGCAGGACACGGACGAATACAGATCCAGCCTCGCCCCCAGAGGAAAACCGGTAGTCGTGGCATTCCACCGGAAAGTGAAACTATTTTACTATGTCAGTAAACATGCATGTGCACCTCCAGTCACAGCTTCACTCCCCCAGTGCAAGGTAATTGCAGAGAGATGCACGGAGTCAGACCCCCGGCGCCGGTTAGTTGACTTGATTCCTGGCGAACCGATTAGCCTAGACGACCGAGAGTGCCGTGAGCAATTTGAGGGCTGGCTTCGCGCATTTAGCAGCCCTGATGAAAAGCTGGAGGAATGGGATCCTTTCACAGGGCAGATGAAGGAATACAAGAAACTTAAGGACGTGGCCGAGGACGCAGTTCGAGAGGAAGATCCCCAGGTAGACCCTGCGGAGTAGGACTGTTCTACGGGGCTTCCCTGCCCATTGGACACGGTCTGAATCTCAACCTTCTCCTGTCAGAAAACAATCTAAGCGGCTTTCCCCGGTTGTTGTGGACATGGTCTGGTTCCAATGTTCTCTGAAGCGGGATTATTCAACTCGGATTGCAAATACGGTAGGGCTGGTCATGGAAAGCAACGGAGAGACGACATTCGTAAAACTTTGCGGTACGGGCTGCGTTTCAACTTCCTTTAAGCTAAGCATAGTTATTGAGGTGTATGACGGGCAAGAAGCGAAGAGAGCGAAGCATGTTATTGTTCAGCATCTAATAGCATAGTTCATTTGTCTCTCTAGACAGCCGCAAATCATTGAAGCAGTCCAAGTAGCACAAGTGCCGCCTCACTTCATCCTCTCCCGGGTCCGCATGGCTGATTCAACCATGAGTGTAAGACTCGCTCAGACCAGAATTCCCAAAGACAAACGCAAAATCTTAGCTAAACGCCAAAGAACGCCACCCATGCATATTCGTTTCATGCACCTAGCCCTCTAGTCCAGACCCAAATTTAAATTCAGAGTCCAAATCGTAGCCAGAGCCAGAGCTAGATCCCGAGGAGGAAAGCCCCTATGAAGCCTTCTCATACTCCTCCACAACTCCCCGTACAGCAAGCATAACCTCCCTCTGCACATCCCCCATCCCCATCTCCACCTTAACCGGCACCGTCAGCGCATCCCACTCGTCCCCCCTCGGCTCCTCCAGATCCCTCAGCTGACTCTCAACCATACTCTGCTTCATATAGTGCGCCTGGCGCGCCGAGACCCGCGCATACAGCGTCTCCGCCTCAAGCTTCAGGTACACGAAGTGGATGTGCACATTGGGGGACCCGTAGGCCGCGACGCGCATGACGTCCCGGTATTTCTTCTTCAGCGCGGAGCAGGCGACGACCACGCCGCGCGGTGCTGCTGTGGCCGTGGGGTTTGTGGGCGTTGGGATGGGCACGGGCGTGCTCAGTAGTGTTGTTGCGGCGCTGCGCAGCGAGATCAGCCAGTCCCAGCGGTCTGCGTCTGTGAGCGGGGTGCCTGTAGACATTTTGGCTTTGTTGGCGGGGGGGTGGAACTATGATTGTGAAGTTAGTTCGTGTTTTCTGTAAAAAGAGGGGGGGAAAGTGCTGGTGTGGTGTTGGAATATATAGTTCTCCCCTCCCAGGAACGACGGCGGTACGGTACGGTACTTACATCATCGCCCTCCAAGAAGGGCACGCCCAATTCCTGCTCGAGATAGCGGCCGACGGTGCTTTTGCCGCTGCCGGCGGGGCCGGTGACGACCCAGATGTGCTGGATGAATTGCGGGGGCATTGAGGAGTTGGCGAGTTGTTGTTGTGCTGAGGCAGAGGGGACTGTGTGGTGGTGGGTGTGGTTATGGTTCAGCGCTGAGACTTTGGTGCGCGATGGGTCCATGACCGGAGTCGGATTGCGTTCACTGGCGGAGAGCATTTTGAAGATCTCTTTATGTATGTGTAGGAAGGGTAGAGAGTGAAAGTAAGAGAGTTTTGAGGAAGGATAGCTGCAGTCCCGTCGCAAAGTTGGGTTGTGGTGTAGGTTTGATTGCGTTGCGCCTGTAATACCTCGAGACAAAGGATAGCTTTTAGTCAAATTACCGTGATTTAGAATGGACGAGTCACGTTTGCGCAAGGCAGGGTCGAGAAAAGGAGTAAAGAGCTGGAGTAAAGACAGGAGGAGATTACGGCGTATAAGTACCTGTGTCAAGGGTGAATCAGGGCTGTCTCAGGAGTCGGCACCGGGCCTGCGCAGTGGGTCATGACGGTATTTGTAGAGATTCCAGGGCCACATCCCGATTCTTTATCCGGGGATTAATTGCTGGTGAAAGAAGAATACAATACCGGTGGGGGGGAGTGGGGGAGACAAAGAGATGGAAGCATCGAGGAAGAGTCCAGCGGTTTGGTTCTGTTTGTTAGCGGCTGATCTTAGGCGTCTATACCTCTGTCCCACGTCCATTCTGCTGCGACACGCTGCCAGGCTTGCCAGCGCACGGCATTGGCTTGGCCGGAGAGACTTGCGACACTCGAGGTACAAGGATAATACTCCGTCACTTTGATATCAGAACACTGTCGTCCCTGAGTGGTGGCCGTGGAACGCCCCTATCATCTATGTATGATGTCACACTGTTTAGCCGGGGAACCGGGGCGAAGCACTTAGCAGTCACTGTCATGGCAGATACATACCTCATCCTTACGGCGCACACAAGCAAAATTACTACTCCGATGTCCATCTCCAAGGCACGGACAACCATTGGCTGCAATTTGAAGATTCTGACCCAGAGCCCAATCACATTCTGTGCAAAGCTTCCATATCTCGCCGTTGTGTACCCCCACGCTATCCCGAACTAGGCAAGTATGTACTATTGCGTGGGATATCTTCGGAATTCAATAGAACGCCGTACGGAGCACCTTGGCTGTTTCATCTCTCTGATTCTCTCACGGGCCTAAAATGGGCCGACGGCACCGAACCTGATAACAAGTTAACAACGGCCAGAAGGCAGTGGCACGGACAGGCCCTTGCGAAAGCATGGAGATTCGTGCCTAAGGCACTTTGTGACCTGTCTAATGCGCCTCTACCTGCAGTGTTACCTGCTTTCATCGTATTCCAACCTGGGCCCAGTGATTCTTCCAGCTATCACTGGCCATGAAATGGTCATGCCGCCCAACCTGCAAGCACCCCGTTCTTCGTGTTGCTGCGTGGACAAGTAACAATCGGCCAAAACATCCGTACTTTCGCACCCTGGTCAAATATCACTTTCAGCCCTGGATGGTGTGACGCGAGCTATCAAAGGCATGTCCTTCTGACCTGCTCCAGAATCCCGCCCTGTCAGGCCGCTCGATGATGACGGAACCTCATCTTGAACGCCCATCGAGGACAGAACACCGGGGCATTGTGATTGGCCGGAAAGTCACAGTTGGGTGTGGCTGAGATCCGGGGAAGCCCGCTAAGCGGCTCATGGGGTGCCAACCATGCATCATGATGCATGTCGTCCTGCAGGAAGCGACAATTCCCTGATGATCTTGCCGCTCTCCGCGAATGACGCGACATCATTTTCCCGAGCATGTTGGGCTCGCGGCACAGTTCTGCCTAATTGAGCAACTACATTTCAGTTCCTTGCTTGAGGTGCAGCGGAAATGGGTTTCCCTTGAGTAGGTATGGGGCTGCACAGCCACACTTGTTATGTGGCATCCCTTCCGAAATCGCCGGTTCAGTTGTTATACGTATCGTTGGGTCTTCAGGCACCTGTTCTGTAACGTCCTAGAGAGCTCTTAAATGTAATCCATAGAGGCGAGGTCATTAGCGAGCTAGTCAAATTGCTGGACTGGTGATACGCATCCGTTGACCGTTTAGTTGTCTTCTCAGCAGCGATCGTAAGCCATCAGCCAATGTGCAGCTTAGCAACACTAAGCCACTTGCCATGCGGAGGAATAACGTTGTGATACCAGACATAGCTCAAGAGAATACGAATCTCAAGTCATCGCCGGTGTTCAAGCAGAGGGAAACATTGTTGCTCCCAGACCCGCGGCAGGGTCCTTACGTAATCGGCGTCCTACGCATCACCGCCAGTGGCAGGCAGTGATGTGATGCGGCTCCAGCCTCAACCCAGCAAGAAGCTCGACGGAGCTCACATCTCGCCTTAACCGCCACCATTGTCCTTACTCAATCAGCCTAGCCGATTACCATTATATCGGTACATCCGCGATGACCTCCCTCTTCTTCTCAACCCCGCTCGACATCGATGTTGTTCTCGAGGATGGCGACGAGCGCCAAATGATAGACACCAAGCTGGAGAAAGGCCATCGGGAGAAAGTTCCATTGTACATGGACGGAGAATCGGTCAAGGGTGCTGTGACTGTCAGACCGAAGGATGGGAAACGGCTGGAGCACACGGGTATTAAAGTGCAATTCATTGGAACGATAGGTATGGGCGCTGCCTAAGCCGCTGGCTTCGTTTGATGCGAAACGAGCCATCGCGTGATGATTCCGTGTCCATATGCTAATACAACTCTCCTGCGGAACAGAAATCTTCTATGACAGAGGCAACCATCACGAATTCCTATCCCTGGTTCAGGAACTCGCGGCTCCCGGCGAGCTGCAACACCCGCAGACCTTCCCCTTCAACTTCAAGAACGTCGAGAAGCAATACGAATCATACAATGGCATCAACGTGAAACTACGATACTTTGTCCGGGTGACGGTATCCCGGCGCATGGCGGACGTGATCCGGGAGAAGGACTTGTGGGTTTACTCTTACCGCATGCCGCCGGAGACCAACAGCCCGATCAAGATGGATGTCGGTATCGAGGATTGTCTGCATATTGAGTTTGAGTACTCGAAATCAAAGTATCATCTCAAGGATGTGATCGTGGGACGCATCTATTTCCTGCTCGTGCGGCTGAAGATCAAGCACATGGAGCTGTCGATCATTCGACGAGAGACGACTGGGACGCGGCCGAATGAATATAATGAAAGTGAGACGTTGGTTCGGTTCGAGGTTAGTATTAGGACGCTATTCCTAGAGGATTGTTTGCTGATGGATGCATCACAGATCATGGACGGGTCACCTTCTAGAGGTAAGCTCATTGCGTTGCTGAAGTGCGCTCAAATTGGGGAAGCTGTCTTCTAGACTTCCTCGGCAAAGAGCTTATCGAGCGAAAACTTGGGAGAAATGACCCTTGCTTACCGTCAACAGGTGAAACCATACCTATCCGTCTGTTCCTTGGTGGGTTTGACTTGACACCAACATTCCGCGACGTCAACATGAAGTTTTCAACCCGTTATTATCTGAGTCTGGTACTCATCGACGAAGGTACGTTGGCTGGTTACACACGTTTGTGATGTGTCTCCCCTTATGACCTTGCACCTACTCTTGAAACTCTTCTTCAGCCATATGTGGTGGCACCTGGTCTGAGTACAGTTTATTACACCGCCAATCCTGCATCTCCAACCCCTCAATAACCGTCGGCAATTGACCACGGTTTCGGACCACTCAACATTGCGCGGCGTTCGGCCCGGGCTGTCGCAGGCACCAAGCTATCGGCCTCTCCCCGGCTGGAAACCCCCACGCTAAACCAAACCCCTCACGTGGTTGACTCCACTGCATCGTCCCCAGTTTTCCTGCCCTTTTTGTCTTTTTTTTTTTACACTTTACACCGTCATCACGTTACGTCGCTGTATTTCAGGTTCTCACTGCTTGCTCTTATATTTTATGCTAACTTCCTCGGATCTATAGACGCCCGCCGCTACTTTAAGCAATCCGAAATCATCCTCCACCGTCTGGCACCTGAGATCCCTCCAACACCCGAGGTTGCCAGGCAGCAGCAGATTCAGATGCAGCAGGCCGCGGAGCAAAACCACCACCAGCTGCCACCCGGCTCTGCGACTCCAGGCCCAGGACGAGAGCACATGAGCAATCAACACCAAGCTGTCTCTGCTCCTGCAGCTTAGATCAGAATTATTCCTTAGTATACAGATACCTACTTCTGATATGGTTAGATATCAGCCAAGATCGACATATACCCCTTCTGCCCCTCCCCTACTAGTCCTCCTACAATGTATATTTCTGTAAACGTAACCCGTGTCTTTATCAAGATTGTGACTACATCTTAGCCTGCCATGTGTGGAATACACTTCTACCTTTTACTTTCCACTTCCCTAGACCCGCGGAAATCCTATCCTGACTTGAGGATTCGTGGCGGTTACCCACCCTGCATACAGACCATGGAGCCAATTTCTATGCAAATTTCCCAGTGTTAAATTCTATAGCCTACGGTCTATTGCATCAACTGTCGTTCTCTCGCCCAAGGCAGATCCTAGAGCTCGCCCCATTGAACGCGGCTACGATATACGTCTAGCGATAATACCGAGCACAACATGAATTCGACACTGGAAACAGAGAACTGTACATAATGGATGCCATAATCTACCGATATAGTACTACACAGCCCCAACAACGCTTAACACCTCCCCAAGAGCACGCAGAACCTCCCCACCGCCTCGCTCCTTGCCGGCCACTTGCACCGCCTGTACAGCAAGCGGATAAATCCACTCGAGGTGCTTCTTGCGGCTTTGATCCCCGCCCGATAAGGAACTCGCCATAGGGGGCGGCGGGATAGCGGAGGGTTCGCTTTGCAGCTCGACCATTCCTCGGAGGAGATGCAGGAGGGCCTTGCGCGCTGGTGTTGGCTGCGGCATAAGGCCACGCAGGGGCTGGTCTGCGATGTAGCCTTTTAGGGAGACGGCGCAGCGGAGGATGAGGTATGGTGATATTGAGCGCGCGATGGAGGATCGTTTAGTTATCGCTTCGTTGGGGGGCTGGGGTTGGGTTTGATCGGGTGATGACGATAGTTCGAAGAGAGTGTCAAGCGCCACGTATGCCATCTTGCTTCGTGTGGTTGGTGGTGGTTCAAAGGTTCGCCCTGGCCGCACGTTATATATACCTTCCAAAAGTCCGTCCTCGCGGTACTTCGCGGGCAAGTCGTGCCTTTGTGGGAGGTAGATGAAGGAAGAGTGGAGCAGGGCGCAGGCGAAATCCCGTCGGATACCGTCGGGGATAGCTGATGCACCGAGGGAAGGAATAATCAGGAGCTTCAGTGTGGAAAACGCTTCGACGTCGAAAGCCTCGTCAGACAGCAGAGTAGGTGCCGGAATGACTGCTGTCCGATAGCCCTTGGCGGCCATAATGCCATTGGCAATCTCAACCGCCCCATTCCAGAATCTGGATACTTCAGTTTCGCCTGCAGTGTCATACTGCTTCTCGACGTACGGAATCGCTACGCGTAAAATGCTCAGCGATGCTGTAGTAGACTTTCGCCAAAGGCTAGGCTCTTTATCCTTCCCAGGCCATTCATACCTCTGAATAACCGGCACTGCGATGTGTTCCAATGCTGTTGATAGAGAGCCGTCCGCGAATATGTCTTGTTTGATGCCGTACTCCGCAACATACCATGTGAGAAGATCTATTGCGCTCTTGGAGAACGCAACGTAGGTCGGCTTTCTCGAGTCGTTTTCCGGAGACCATTTCGTTAAAGCAGAGTCCGTAAACTCCGATAGACATTGGATAACCTGTCCTTGAGAATCGTCCTTCTCTAGGCACATCATTCTCACGCAGTCAATTACTAGCACCTGCAAGGCCGACGGCCGGTCGATGTCAGGCGAGTATTTCGGACTTATCGAGTTCCACACGATCAGCTTCATATGTTGTAGGATTGTGCCAATGTCCTTCTTCGTCAATTTATCCTTGTACAGACGATATACCTGCTGGAAAGTATTTAAGTAAGAAATGGAAGCATCTTGATTGGGTTGGTCCAAGTCGAGTATTTCTTCCGTTTCCAAGGGGTGGCCATTGGACCAAACTGCCCAGGCTGACCGCAACGACTGTGTGCTCAGTTCGCTGGGCGGCTGGATCCGTGAGAGGATGTCTGACAAACTCGAAAAGACAGCTTGACTAAATTCCAAGAGGCGCCATTTTGCCAGCTTTCGAAAGTGATCAAGTAATCGTTCCCAAGAATGGTCAAACTTATCGTCTCTGACGATAGTCTCAAAGAAGTTGGTAACAAGGTCAGATATTCCTCTTATCACAAGAACTGTCGTCTCTGTCCATGCCTTTGCCTCGGACGCCCCTCCATCCCTGCTCATTATGCTAGAGGAAGTGGCTTCGATCTGCTCAAGCATCCGGAACAAGACACGGTTCAAACATAAACACCAAGCATTAGGTGAGAGCTGTTCGCCGTAGGCATCGAAGATCCTCAGTACAGTATGGATTGCGCAATTCCTGACTTCTGATCTGCTATCCGTCGTAATGTCTACAATTCGTAAAAGGAGGAGTAGCCAAAGCGCATTGCTCGAAGCAGATGGATCATCCGTCTTGGCTAATGCAGCGAGTTTCTCTTCGCTGACAGACAGATCAACATGTGTCTCGATGGAAAATCGGCCGGTTTGTTCGTGAAGGAAGTCAGAAACGTTCCAAAAGGATGATGTTGTAGTAAGCGAGATGTTGAAGATTTGCTGTTGTAGGGCAAATTTGGAGAAGGATTCCACAAGGTCAAGACGACAGGGCGGCGGGAGCTGCGATAGAAAGTCAGACGCAATGAGCTGCAGACTTTTGTATGCCACTTGGATTAGTCGGGGTGAGTTGGCTATGAGCATCCGTTTGCCCCTTCCAACGTCTGTCGTGCTATCTTGACTCTCCTCCTGGGCCGGCTCGCCGAATACACTGGAGATGAGACCAAATACAGCTGTCCAGCACTGAACAAAGGCCTCAGCATATTGCTCTAAGATGCTTTTCAACGTTTCCAAACTTTGCTCATGAACCTCGAGTACCGAAGCTGATGGTGAGCCTAACGTGCATTCGCTGCACTCATAGAGCAGTTTGACTTGAGATTGGAGTGTTTCCAAATTTCTCAGTTGTCGAGCATCCCTTTCTCCATCAGTTTCATCACCACTTTGTTTCATGGTTTCAAAAACCAGACCATTGAGTACTTCATTTGCGAGCAGACGGAGGTCTTGGCTGACTTCTCCGTTAGCTGCGGTTGCCATCAACTTGTCTGTAAGAAGCTGCCAGGCACTTTGGTCGTCGTCTGCCAACGACGACAGCCTTTCAAGATTCGCTTTAGCTAAGACTTGAGCCTTCTCCAAAACAAATCTCAGCTCCTCATCCTGGATTCTTGATTTACCCAACGCATGTGAAGCACGACGGGACGAACGCCGCATGCGGCCGGAGCTCGATTGCAAGTGCTTTTGTCCGGCTGCCATTTCTGTTGCCTTGGACACCGCGGGTTCCTCTGTTGTTGCAGAGAGATCCAATAGTGCAACCAGAAAGTCTTGAAAAGTGCCAATTGGGTAATCATTACTGCTCTCAAACAACTTGAAAGATGCGGACTGTACAGCCATAATTTCTGTTCCCAGGTTTCCCTGAGGCATGTCTCCTTTGGTCCCGACTGCCGCTTCTCCAGAGCTACTAACTGAGCCTTGCGTCCTTGTCGGGGATTTGTTGACCAACAAGTCTGTATCTTGAAGCGTACCGAGGACTATCGACCAAGCAGGCTGGTCAAGTGTGGGACCGAGGGCAATGCCCAGGTTGAGCAGAGCACGTAGACAAAGGAGGTTCCTTGTACTGAGAGACAGGGCCTGGTCACTCACAGGCGCTGCCGGACCCTCCATGGGTGTCTGAGGAGTGAGATAGGAGGCTTCGTTGCCTTTTTGCTTCTTTTCTAAAGGATCATTATGTTGAGAGCTCGGTGTTGCTACCGAACTAACGGGCTTAGCGATGCTCGTATCAGCTGGCATAGAAGCTTTCCCAAGCGTAGTTAAGAAAGCATCACGAGGCGTAGAGAGCCTAAGGAGACCGGCGACGTGGGTGAGTTTCTGGAAGGAACGGACAAGATTGTGATAGAAATCATCGTCCAATGACGCGTATAGAAAGGTGGAACACGTCGCAAGTACAGCGGGCCAACAATCTTCGACAATCCCGGCGCAGGCCTTGATTGCCGAGAGCTGAGGATGAGACTCTAGATCGAGAGGATTGATTGGTATAGGGAATCTCTTGGTCGACTTCGATCGCTTAAGAGAATCTTCCCTGTGTAGATCAGGTGATGACGCCGTTGAGCCGCCATTTCGCTCGCTAGCAACACGACTTTTGCGCTTCGGTTTTAGGTCAGGCACTGTAAGTGGAAGTATAAACTTGGCAAGTCCTTCAGAAAAGGCGCTTACGCAGTTCAACACCAAACTGTAGATATATGTGTCAGGCGGCAGTGGAGGATCGGGTTTATCGAGCAATTCTAGGTATGGTGAGCGGACTACACTCCACTGGCTGCTGATGCCCGGAACGTTAGTATCATTGGACGGAACGGTTGTTCCAATGACTCCAGCCACTCCTCCGACTTCGAGAGTTATTTGCTCTTCAGTGATTGAACTAGAATGCTCCGCACTCGACGGTACCGTTGAGCGGCTGCTCACGCCAATCAAAGAAGGCTTCTCGGCTGCCAGGCGGACTAATGAAGCCATATGGTCTCGAAGAATGTTTTTTCGGCCTTCCACTCCATCATATAATGAGTAGATGATCCTGACGAGCCCTGGCTCGGCGTATAGACCTCGAAACATCTCCATACATAGCACTCGCTTCCATGATGCCGTTCCATCGGGCTCAAGGAGATGTGTCAGGAGCACAAGGGCCATTTCGCATTCCGCGGTGATCAGGGACAGATATCGCTTGAGAAGAATGAGAAGGATCCTCGCAATTCGCACTGTTTGAGAGAAAGGGTGCCTTTCCGATAAGTACCTAACGGTCATGGGGATGAGACGAGCCCGTAGCACTTGCGTGAGTTCGGGGTGGTCGACAAATAGTTGGCCACTATTGAGAAAAACACTTTCGATGAGTTCCAGGGTAAATGTTGGAGACAACGACTTGATTCTCAAGAAGTGCAACTGTTCACCATCGACAAGGCGGCAAAGGTCATCCAAAACCTTGAACAGTCAGTTGGATTAGTTTTAGTCAAGAATCTTTGTCAACTCACTCGCAGAGCATCAAGGGCAAAGTACCCTATTCTTACAGAACCACTATCAAGTTTCACCGTGGTCGTTGGCCGTGAATCTTCCTGCATCTCTAAATAATATAAGTACACACCACAGATGGGGCGTCCAGATTATGAGACTTACTGTCTTCTATTGATACCCGCTCAAATGTGGAAACAACAAGCTGCTGCAGTGTAGCTGCTGCCGTGCTTGAGACCGCAAGGGTCTTGCTTGATTGTAGGGTGGCGCATATTTCAAGTGTCGTGACAAGGAGCTCACCACCCAATTCCTTGGAATAGTGCTGCAACAGAGATGGCAGGGTCTGCAGGATCTTGAGCTGGATGTCCAGGGCTTCACCACATTAGTCTCACTCCGTACGGTAGTGGAGGCTGAAACCAACTCAGATTCGTGATCTCCTTCAGTCCGCCGAGGACATCTTTCAGTCGCTCTGACGGCAGGGATTTAGAAGCAACAAGTCTTTGCAGGCAAACAACACCTATGCCGGCGATCTTGGCATGGCGTGTATGACATGCCAAGATAAAGGGATTGACAAACCGAGGCTTTCGCGCCAGATCTTTGGTTTCTTAGTGTTCTGTTTAGGAGTTATCTAGGATTCCAAGCTCACCAGCGGAGATTTGCGCCTCAGATGTGGAAGGAAGCGCCTTCAGGTCATTGAGGGACTCCTCGGCGGCCTACATCTAGTCAGCTGGAGGCTCTGACATGCATACTCCACAGGGGAAGAGGCAGACATTTCGCAAGTCGGAGTACTTTCTCTTTGATTCTTGTATAAGATTCAGGAGTTCTCCCTGCAATAATTGAGAGGACATTTCCAGTTATTGTTGCGGACTACGCATGGCCGAGGCCCGTCCAGCAACAGGGTGACAATCAAGCGGACAAATACGCGAGCTTCATGGATTGCAAGGAAACCGAGAACAGCCCAGTAAAAACTAACAGCAGCCCAGTTTCATCTCCACACAGATGTAACAGAAATGGCCAGCATCCCATAGGAACAAAAGACAACCAGGTATAAACAACGGCGAGCCATCCGCCGTGGCATCAAGACAGACAATCTTCACGTGATAGCACTTATCTCCACGTGCCTGTTACTTTACCGTATCACATTACCTGCGAATCTACCTTTTAGCTAGATGCCGTAATGGAATTACAGCAGCGTGTCTATCAGCGATAAGGACCGTGACGACAGCCCCTCATTTTACTTGTGACGGAATTCCATGTTTCTCTTCCGCCCAACGCCCCCCTCACTGTGGCTAGGCTCGCGCTTGTTGACTTTCTGTTCCCTCTACTTTCTCTCTTCTAGATTCTAGAGCTCTTCATTAGCAATGGCTTCAAACGCAAAGGTTCCCCGAAACTTCAGGCTCCTAGAAGAGCTAGAGAAAGGCGAGAAGGGTTTAGGAGCAGGTAAGCATGCTGCTCCGGCCAATTTCTATAGATCTACGAGCTGATCTATTACTTCGTTTCCAAACAGAGGCCTGCTCTTACGGTCTTGCCGATGGCGAGGACATGATGATGAGCAACTGGAATGGCACCGTCCTTGGTCCCCCTCACGTACGGCGCACACTATCTCGTCTCCGATGCTTGAGGATCAAGTTAGTTAACATCGGCGTCACGCGACAATAGAGCGTCCACGAGAACAGGATATACAGCCTCAACATTCATTGCGGTCCCGAATACCCCGATAGCCCTCCGACTCTGCAGTTCATCTCGCGCGTCAACCTCCCATGCGTTGATGCCCACTCGGGCAAGGTTCGATTTACTCAATACCGAGCAGACAGTAGCTGGGAAAGCTAATGGTTCTCAGGTCGACCCCGCCAAGTTGCCTTGTCTGGCCCAGTGGAAGCGCGACTACACTATGGAGACTGTCTTGATTGAACTTCGGAGGTAAGTCCGGGTAGTCCTAGTCGTTGGGCGCGTTACTTAGGGTTTCAGGTACATGGCTTTGCCACAACATAAGAAGCTTCCTCAACCTCCCGAGGGCTCGACGTTCTAGGTTCTTGCATCATGAATAAATCACGAGTCGAAAACGGAGTATTCGGTCAGTTCCCGTCGAGTTCATTAGCTTGTGCTCTTTGACTTTCTAGAGCATATTTTAGTCTACGCATTGCAGCAGATCTCGACTCACAACGTCGAAATTTAACTTCATTTAAACAACTTCCCAGGCTTCTTTGTGTGGTAAAACCCAAGCTCATAGACTGATGTCCTTCGAATGGCGTTATAACCCTGAGGGCTGACAGCCGCACCATATAATGCTATCGAATTTAATACTCATCTTGACCATATAATCAGCCTTCTGGTATCAATTTCATATACGGATCGTTGAATCCTGTTATTGTCTAGCCATTTGGTTTATAGATTGTACGTGGCACGTGATATGACCATCACCTTTTAGCTTTTGCGATTATCTGCCCGTCACCTCCGACCGAACTCCGAATGTACGAGAAAAAGAATGCGTCGCGTGGTTGTTCCAAAGAAATCCCATGCTCATCGGGTTGCATGTAAGTATAGAAAGTTCTATTTACTCTTCTTACAGTTCTCACACGACACGCCTTGTCAGGCTTAGCACTCTATCGGGCACTTCTTCGACAATGTAACAGCCTACAGCAATCGAGGCCGGACCTCGTCTCTCCGGAGTCCCATGTTCGAGAGCGATTTCGCAGATACAAAAACCTTCAGAGTCCATCGCAAACTGCAAACGCTCTCCGAGCTGGGTACGAAGTATGCAGCCATCATTCCACTCCCAATGACCGCTGGCTAAATCCGTCAGGCTCTGGACCTAGTATACTCGGCCGCGCAAGGGGATAAAGAAGATATTGGTCGATTAACGAAACTACTCTCCGAGGTTCAATTGGCTAAGGAGCGAAAACGGCAGCATCAAAACGCGCTAGCCGCAATTCGTCCCGTCAAGGAGCTGAACAAAAAGCAAGTTAAGGCAGAAGAGAACCGACGGTTCCAGACGGCGACAGCTCAACGACATCCGGAGGCAAGACCTATACTAGAGCGCCCTCGGGCTGTGGTGAGCGGCAAGCGTCGTATCCCCACCCTTGTCAATGCCTCCGGTATTCCGTTCCTGCGAATCAGCAAGCCGCAACCACAATCGCTCAGCCGCTTGATACGGGGTAAGATTGTCCAACGACAGAAATGGATAGACCGCCGCGACAGGCTAGAGCTGGAGGTGCTTTTTTGCAAAGATGAAGATCAATGGGACGATTTGACGACTGGATGTGAGGATGGAGAGCAGTGGTCTAGCGCGCTCAGAACCGCAATTCACGATATCCGTGTTCAAATACGTGAAGATAACGAAAAGAGGGCAGCGCTTGCAAAATCTATGTGGAACATCGTTCTTGCAGAGCGAGAGTTGGCTGAAAAGGAGAAGCAGGCCGAAGAGAAGCTGGCCGAAGAGAAGCTGGCCGAAGAGAAGCTGGCCGAACAGAAGCAGACCGAACAGAAGCTGGCCGAACAGAAGCTGGCCGAACAGAAGCTGGCCGAACAGAAGCCAAAGAGAGGGAGGCCGAAGAGAAGGCAGTCTGAAGAGAAACAGGACGAAGAGAAGCCGAAGAGAGGCAGGCCGAAGAAAAGGCAGGCAAAGAACGGATGAGACATGAGACAAGTCTTTGCACAACATTGCACTATGCCACCATACTTATCAGTCCAGATATCATGACTACTGGCTTCGACAGCTGTCTCCGGGTTTATATACGCGTGAGCACCGCCCAGTTTCGCTGATCGGCGGTCTGTAGGACATGCTGGCGCTAATGGCTCGGGTCTGGTTCACGATATCTGCTTCTTATCCAGCAGCTTTGACTTTACACTCGTCGGGCCAAGTTGCTGTGTCGGCTTGTCACTCAGACAACTCCTGGAAGCGGGCGTTCAATCAAGCAGAGTGGCCGACCTGGCAATCTACGAGCGTTGGCCAAGGCCATATCGCCGTTAGTCTGCGAAACATCATCCTGGGGCATTCAAGACGCCAGACACGCCTCGCTCTCCTTATATACAAGTTTACTTTCATGTACCATAGATTTATTTTTGGAAGAAGATACCCTACGCTGCAATCTTCATCTTCTCCACAGCAGCCGGCATCCCATCCTCATCCTCCTCATCAAAGTCTGCTTTGCCAGCCAACCCCCGCTCCCACAATTGCTTCCCCGTAAGCTTCTTTTCCTCTTTCGCGGGACCCTTCTTATTAGCCTTCTTCTCCTCGGCCTCCTTCTCTTCCCTGAGCTTCCTCTCCTCCTCCTCCATCTCCTTCTTAAACTTATCCAACCACTCCAAGAATGTCTCCCGGTTCACAATCGTCCCCTGAAACTTCTTGTTTTCCTCCTCCTCAGCCTTCGCAGCCTCCGCCTGCTGCACCGCATGAACAGCATTCACGCGCTCGGCCATAAGCAACTCCGCGCTCTCTTTCAGCGCGCTGACAAGAGTGAATACCATCGCCATACCCATGTTCTCTTCAATGGTCGGCTGCAGGGCTTCGAGGAGTCGGTCCCGGTCTTCGGCGATGTCTAGGCGGGGGTGTTTGGGGGCGTTGGGGGGTGCGGATAGCTCGAGCTCTGGCGCAACATCGGGGTAGTCTTCAGGATAGGAGACTTGGAGGATGAGAACGGGAGGTTCGGCTTCGGCGCTTTGCTCGTCGTTGTCTGGGGCCTCGAGCGTGATTGATATCCGGTAGGATGTGTCCGATACATCTGCGTTGAATTAGCTTCTGGTTTGGTCTTTGAGTCATATATGGCATCTATGATCTTACCTGTGATTTCATCTGGGAAAATAGAGTCGAGCACCTCGCGCTCTTCGATCTGCTCCTCGCGACCCATCTTAGCTTCTGTTGTAGAGGAGGGGTATTTTGAGGCTATTCGGAGAGAAGGAAATTGCCGCTACTGCAACATTCACAAAACAGGTATATGGTTAGAAGACCGTAATGGGGTGTTTTGCATAACAGTGCAAATAGCGGATTTCTTAACGTAGTTTTCTGAGCTTGAGAGCGCCGACGCAATTCTCTTGACTGATTCAATTCATCGCCGGACCCTCATGCAAACCAAGCAAACAGATAAGAAAAGCGACCAAAAATGTTCCACCCAAATCAGGAAATAGACTTGATCTTTCATACAAATTTTCGAGAACTTTTTGAATATATAGCTATCCTTCAGGCAAGGTCATTATCTACCGTGACATCGCAGACAGTACGTTCTTTTATATTGCGACAACTATACCATGGGGAAGCCCAGACCTCACAAGAAGAAAGCTTCCAAAACCCGCGAAAAGTCCGTCTTGAGCGCCGGCGGCTCGATCTCAAAACGAAAGATGAACGAGGATCCTACCAAGCTCCTTGAGCAGGCGACAATACTTCTTCAGACCGGACAGGCTGATGCTGCGCTTTCGCTAGCCCAACAAGCTCTCGACGCTGTGCCCGCCAATTCCCCCGCACAGCTTTCGAGTCTGAATGCGGTTGCGGAAATTTACGTCGAGCTAGGTGAGGTCGACCTCGCGAGGCAACATTTCTTGAAAGCGGTTGAGCTCGATCCGACGGGTTCTATCTCAGAGGCTGAGGGAGGCGGCGCTGAAAAGTTTCTATGGTTGGCTCAGTTGAGTGAACTCGGCGGGAAGGATAGTGTCCAGTGGTTCGAGAAGGGCGTTGTGGCTCTTAGGAACGTCATTCAACAATTAGAGGCGAACAATGGTGCTGCACAAGTAATGGAACTCGAAGAGAAGAAGGGAAAGATGGCCAACGCTCTTTGCGGTGTTGCGGAGATCTATATGACCGATCTTTCGTAGGTCCCCTCATCTTTTAGTCTTTCCTTCTCGAGCTGATCGTTTCTAGATGGGAAGAAGACGCGGAAGCCCGCTGTGAGAATCTGATCACCGAAGCCCTGTTGGTCCAGCCCAACTCTCCCGAAGTACTACAGACGCTGGCGTCGATTCGCATTTCGCAATTACGAGAAGATGATGCGCGGGCAGCGCTCTCAAGGAGTTTGGAATTATGGAAGGATCTGCCCCCAGAGGATGCGCGTGTTCCTGACTTCCCAACAAGAATCAGTCTTTCGCGTCTTCTCATGGAGGTCTCGATGTTGTTGGAGGCGCTGGAAGTGCTCGAGCGCCTGATCCTGGAAGATGATCAGAGTGTGGAGGCATGGTATCTAGGAGGCTGGTGTCTTCAGCTTTTGGCTGAGAAGGGAGAAGCACCCAAGGATCCAGAAGAGGAAGAGTCAAAGGAGACGCCCGAGTCCAAGAGACATGCCTCACTTGTTGCCAGTCGAGGGTGGCTCAAGCAAAGTCTGACACTGTACGACCTTGTCCAATATGAGGATGAAAGGCTCAAAGAGCACGCTCTCGAGCTAGTCGAGGCTATGAACAAGGAGCTCGGAGAAGATATGGAAGACGAAAGCGGCCCTGAGGACGCCGAAGGTGAAGAGGAGTGGGAAGGAATTGAGTCAGATAGTGACCACGAGATGGCCGACTCGTAATGTCTATAGAACGAATGCTCATGATGATACCAATAGAAAAGTTGTCTTTCACATTTCACATTCTCCAACCTCATGCAAGAAGATCCGCTATCAGTTGGAGATAAAGACTCGAAATCCTTATCGGAATCCTCCGGATTAATGTAAATCCGAACACGCTCCCGTACAATGGTGCAGAGCCAATCGTCCTATAATGGCGTGGCGAAAAGCTCAATGTGAGTGATTCAGTCGACATATTCAGAGGCTGCTGAGGGTTTCTCATTCTCGTTATCAGGATGGACCTCGCTTCAGCGCCCCGTGGGGAGAGCCCGCCGTTGAAGACCCCGCTGGTGGAGATCGAGTCCGCGGAGGTGGAAAGAAGCCTCCCGCAAGAGAACACTGCCGAGGCTGGGGAGGAGAAGGGAGCAAACACCCACTCCGAGTACGAGACTGACAGCGATGGCTTGGAAGATGAATGGGAGAGTCAATCTCTCTACGAGGACTCCATCCAAACGATCCGCGACGACCAGCTTCGCGACGGTTGTAAGTATCTAGATCTAAGCCCTAGCCCAAGTCCAGAACGGTGGCTGACCGTGTCTCGGGTGTCAGCAATCCCCGATGCTTGTACCTTCGAGGAGGCTGTTGAGTTTCGGAAAAGACTGCATGAAGTCGGCAAGGCGCAATTTGTGGAGGAGACGATCGCTCGCGACACAGTGACCGCGAAGAAACTGTGCACTGCTTTTGGGATTCTTCCGCCCTCTTTCCTCGAGGGCGCACCCGATGAGGCGTATCATCCATTGTTGGCGATCGCTATATCCCGAGAATTTACGAGGCGTCGGAAGTTACCCCAGTACAATTCGGTTGATGATGCTGTGGAACTTCTTAAGCAGTCCAAGAATATCATTGTCTTGACTGGAGCCGGTGTAAGTGGCGCATTGTTTCTCAGACATGCAGCGGGTATTGATAACTATCAGATCTCTACGAGTCTCGGAATTCCGGATTTCAGATCCAAAGACACTGGTCTCTACTCCAAGCTGGAGCACCTTGGTCTAAGTGATCCTCAGGAAGTCTTCGATATTCACATTTTTCGCGAAGACCCTAGTATCTTCTATTCGATTGCGAAGGATATTCTCCCAACCGAGAAGAAGCACTCGCCGACTCATGGGTTCATCCGACTGCTTCAGGATAAGGGGAAGCTGCTTACCAACTACACTCAGAATATCGACAACATAGAGGCCAACGCTGGTGTGCTTCCTGAGAACATCGTGCAGTGCCACGGCTCCTTTGCGAAGGCCACTTGTGTCAAGTGTCAGTATAAGGTCCCTGGGGATGAAATCCATGACGATATTAAGAAAGGTGTGGTCCCTGAATGCGCACAGTGCCGCAAGCGCATCGCCGAAGAGGCGCAGAAGCCCCAAGGACAGAAGCGGAAGCGCAACAGCACTGGCGCTCACAAGGATAGAAGTAAGAGTGGAGAGGACAGCTCTGATGAGGAAGACTACGAAATACCCACGCCAGGGGTGATGAAGGTTAGTAGGCGAGACTGGCTTTGCTTCTTGTTCGATCACTGACCCACTTGCTCAGCCGGACATCACATTCTTTGGAGAAGATCTTCCTGATGAATTTGGGCACCGTCTCCTTCACCATGATCGGGACAAGGTTGACTTGGTCATTGTCATTGGAACGTCGCTGAAAGTCGCGCCCGTCGCGGAAGTTCCAGGCGTACTGCCACCTCACATACCTCAGATCTACATATCCCGAACCGTATGTCTTTGACTTGTTCCAAGCGCTGAGGTTTGGTGCTAACGCTCTATAGCCTGTAACACATACGAACTTTGATATTGATCTATTAGGCGACTGTGATGTGGTGGTGTCCGAGCTCTGCCGTCGAGCTGGATGGGACTTCAACCATGACATGATACCCCCCGACGAGAACGTCGACGTTACTCCAGTTTTCGGATATGGCTCACGACATGTATTCAAGGTTAGCGGGTAGCATAGCGGTGGAGTTTCTGGTCGGATGGTTATTGCGTTTCTCTGTCTTTACCGACAATTCATTTCATGATATTTATCATTCAAAGCATGCTTGGGGTTGTTATTCCTGTTCTTTCTTATGGTTTTTTTCTGCTATTGAGAGATTCCCAGGCAGTTGCTGATATCCCGAGGGACGATACCTAGGGCATCAAGTGTATGTTATAGACCGTTTATTGATTCCGCGTAGAAGATGCCAATTTTTACTTCGAGAACAAGCTTTCCAATCGTTCCATGTTCACTCTATTCTTTTAAGTACTTGTAGTTGAATATTCTTTATAGATAGGTAAAATCGCGACCCTTCTGTCGTACCAGCTTTATCTCGACAAGAAAAAAACTCATCACAACCGCCATCACAACCCACATCACCGCAACTCCATTGATAATCCGAAAATACAATCACCCATACTGCGGCATTGTCTAAGTTATTCCCACAGGAAGATTATCCAAGCATCAATTTGGCACATTGAGCACCACGCGAAGGATGGAATACCTCATCCGCTTCGCCCAAACCCACGAGCCCTTCCGGAAACCGGAACTTCAGGCGCTTGCGAGTTTGCACAATATCGATCTCGAGATCATTTCCTATGACCAAATAGTAAGTGCTAATTCTTCTCAATTTCTCCGGTGAACTTGAGATCTGCCTCTAGCATGGTGCGGGGCATACTGAGCTGCCCCTCGTTCAGCAAAGAAAAATAGAATCACCCAGCTAACAACTTCCAGTCTCCATACTGCGTCGTCCGTCTCCCAAGTGAAGAAGCAGCGCGAACCCTCATCTCTCGCAGCATCCTAGCAAGAGATGTCTTCGAGCTCTGGGGCCACGGCACCACCTATGAGGACCTGCACGCCGACGTCCGCAGGCGGACGCAGCACCTCTGGGAGCAGTACGAGCAAGTCTCGTTCAAGTTCAACGTGGACAGTTTCGCGGGCAAGCGCAGCTCGACTCAAAAGACAGAGATCATCCAGTCCTTTTCTTACATGGCTTTTAAGGGTCCAATCAGGCTGAAGAACCCCGATGAGGACTTCTGGGTCATGGAGCAGTTTTATGATCGCACGCATAATCCTTTCCTTGCTGCTGGTGCCTCGCACCCCCCGCCGCTGACAGGGCCGGATGCGCTTCCGGTGAATATATACCTGGCGCGTAAGCTTGGAGAGAGCAGTCGTGAGGTCGTGAACAAGTATGACCTGAAGAAGCGGCGGTACATCAGCACTACGTCTATGGATGCGGAGTTGACTCTGATCACTGCTAATATGGCTCATGCGGCGCCTGGGAAGTTGATTTATGATCCCTTCGTCGGAACTGGTAGTTTCAGTGTTGCGGCAGCTCATTTCGGTGCCATCACGCTGGGTTCTGACATTGATGGGCGAAGCTTCCGTGGGAAAGAAATGGACAAGTGGAAGATGACGGGTGTGCAGCTTAACTTCCAGCAGTACGGAATTAGCAGCCAGTTTGGGGATTGCTTTACTTCGGATTTGACAAATACGCCACTGCTGGACCGGCAATTCTTGGACGGCATTGTCTGTGATCCCCCATACGGCGTCCGTGAAGGTCTTCGAGTACTGGGGATGCGAGATACCCACCGTCGCAAGGAGGAGCTCATTATTGACGGTCTCCCTGCGCATCTGTATGTCTTATTTTTGTGTCTATGCTATGAGTTGCCTGCTGATATTTTCCAGTCGACCCGGCTACATAGCGCCCAAGAAGCCCTATGGCTTTGAAGCAATGATGAACGACATCCTCGCCTTTGCCGCACGTACGCTCGTCACTGATGGTCGCTTATGCATGTGGATGCCTACATCCATTGAAGAAGGAACAGAGGTTTCTATCCCCATGCACGAGAATCTTGAGGTCCTCAGCGTTTCCGTCCAGCCGTTCAATAACTGTAAGCACCGCTCGAGCGACCTTTGCCTCTACATAAGCTAAAAGTACAACTTTACTAGGGTCACGACGTTTGATTACGTACCGGAGACTCCCAGAGGGCGTGCTGTCGGACGTATCAACGGGACGTCGAAAGGAAGATGAAGCTGGCGTCAATGCTGATGACTTGAACGCCTTCAGGAGAAATGTATGTCCAACTTTTCCCACTTGCTTCTAACTGATTATCGGGGCACATTCTGACTATCTTGAAGTATTTCTCAAAAAAGCCACCGCAGAAGAAAAGCCCTATCCCGGCTCCCCAATGATAAGCGGATCGTATGATCTTCGAACTTTTCAATGCATAAGCTCATGCCCTATACCATCTTATATATGCTGAAGGAAGCCAAAGTCAAGCAAAATACCAATGAACCAAAATCGTCAACTTCTACAAATTCAACCACCGATTTATAACCTCCCTTTCTCACTCTGACTCTCAACCCTAAACTCCTCCTCAAGATCTACCCCCTCTGTTTCCCTTACCCTCTTAACTTCCATCGCAATCTCCTCCCTCAACTCACCAACCAACTTCTCCGCCCCCTCATCATCCAGATCCTCCCTCTGCCCGCGCCCAAACATCACAAAGCTCATTTTGGCCGCTGTCCCCGCCGCGCCTAGAGGTGGCCGAGGCACAATGTGGAAATGTACGTGCGGGACAACTTGGGCAGCCCCGGCTCCTTTACGTCTCATTAGTCTTCCCTTGTTAAAGTATAAGTACCAGAGGAGGGCGCGGGGTACCATTGTTCTGCACGATGTTCCAATTCCAGCTTGGCTCCGTAGCTGAGCTCTCATGCTCGCTTTCGCCAAACACGGTCCTCATAATGGCACGCGAGAGGACTGGGAGCCATGTGCCGAGCTATGTACAGAGATCAGTATACCGTGATATGCGTACAGGCGCCCGGTACTGTAATTAGAAAGACGCAACTGGAAGATGCCGAAACATACCTCCCGACTAACCCCGACCCCCACCTCAGTGATCTTCTCATAATGTCGGCGCGGAACAACGAGCACATGGCCGCGCGTTAGGGGCATGATATCAAGAAATGCTAGGACATGGTTTGTGGACAGGATAAGAAAGGCGTGGCCATCTTCGCCTACGCTAGGCCTTGGCGTTGATGCTGAGGATTCACACTCTATGGGACTTGTTCGGAGACATGCCGAAGGGGCGACTGGAGGGTGGGCGGCGGCGATCTTACAGAAGGGGCATGACTGGGACATTTTTCGGCAATGATATCGGAGAATTAACTTTGGCAGGGAAGAATGATCAATAATCCATTGTATAGAAGAAGAATGTTGGTAAGGATGATATGGATACCTATGTGTTCGAGGTTCTCCGGGCCTCGGCTGTTGCCGAGCACCCACTCGCTTCAAAATATACATCAATCATGACTTTGACCAATGTAAACAGTGTCGCCGCCACTGCTCAAATCATCATGACTTTCACCAGGTTGAATAGAATAGTATGAATTGAAGAATCGCTGAGTGTCGGGAAAGTTCATTAAGCAAAGGTGAAGCATCCCGAAGACACCAAGAAGTTATAGAGAAGTGAAAATAGCAAGCATCAAAACATAGCGCCAGACACCCCCCTCGAAACCGAAGAATGCCAATATCCGCAACTGAACCAGGATGCCGTCGTAAACATATGCAAGAGTGCCTAAACCCATCAAAAACAAAATGCCAACATAAATCAACCAACTCCTAGCCACAGGGAACGAATATGCAGACTGTCGAAATACCACTTTTCTCTATTCGCTGTCTCGGATGGAAGTGTATGGCTCTGTGAGCGAGCTCTCGATGTACAAGTGGTGGTATTTCTTGGCCCACGCTCGTGTCATGATGGAAGCTGCTTGGACGTTAGCGTAAAGAAGAGAATGTTCGATCAGAGGAGACCTTACCCTTGAGGAACTTCTTGCTTGCATATTTCTTGAAGAACGCTTCGTGGCAGACGGGGCGGTGGAGATAATCCACCATTAAGCGGAAGACCTCGTCAATCTCCTCCTCGGTGTAGCCAGCGTAGTGAGCGAGAGTGGCATCCTATGACTTGATTAGCGCGTGAATTAACGCTATTAAGCGTGGTGAAGCTTACCCAAGGCCCGCGGTCGAGGATCAGGCGAGCCAGATACATGGATGCTGCACCAACCTGGCTCTGGGGGTAACCCAGGAACCTATGATCCAGAAGACTAATCTCCATCAAATACTTTCCAAGGGTACGAGTCTGGATGTCGTAGTTGTCGGCCTTGGAGATACGGCGCAAGAAGTTCATCGGGTTAGGATAGCTCATGTTGTACTCGAGGGTGGCCAGGATGTGGCGTTCGGCATCCAAGATCTCCTTGTCAGTGAAGGTCTCGTCGGCGACGTGGCTGAAGTTGGCGACGTGAGGTGAGAGGACCTCTTCGTACTTGGAAGCAATAAACATGGCAGCAACACCAACCAACTGGAGACGGTCCAGGGCAACGACTTCGGCAGAGAGGAAACGATCGATGATGTTGACAGCGAGGAAAAGGGTCTCAGGAAGAAGGCGAAAGCGAGTGTGGACTTCGATGAGCCAGTCGACGAGAATGCCGCGCATCTTCCACTCCAGATCGGGCTGATGATCGATGTAGTCGGGGTTCGGCAAAGTTTCCATTTCCAGCTCACGAAGGTAATCAAAGATCTCCACCACATATTCAGCGGCCATCAAGGGATCATCCAAGTCCTCAGTATCCAGGTCTGCAACGAAATCTTGAGGGGCTCTTTCGAGTTCTCCTGTTTGTGTGCGTGACTTGACATTTTCCTTTTCCTTGACTGAAACTTCAGGTTGCTTTTCCACGGCCTTCTCGACGTCGACCTTCTTGCGGGGAGGTTCTTCTTGTTGGGCCGTCTTTTCCTGTAGAGACTTCTGGCTAGATGTGCGTTTCATGGCACTTCCCATACCGGATCCACTCCCAGGGCGCTTCGCCTCTGGGGCAGGCTTTTTCACGTTGTTGTCCTTGGCTCCGAGGGCGGTGCGTGACAGGTTGCTACGGCTGAGCTTTTGGACACCTCCAGATTGCGAAGTAGCTTTTGACGTCAGACCAGTCTTAGATGTGACCTTTTTCGCGTCCTTGGTCTCGGCATTGTCCACATTTCCAACATTGCTCTTATCACCAAGGGCAGCACGTTTTCGTTGTGTCCCAGCTGCACCAGTGGCGGCTTTCTTCGTCTGGAGAGGCTTCTTGAGGGCGCCGTTGGTAGCGGGAGCGTCTGTTGTAAGGGCGGCGGCTTTGGCGCGAGTAAGACGCGTTGACGGACCATTTTCATCGTTTTCGTTCATGGCGCCTCGCGTGCGAAGGTTGCGGGCCTGCATAGAAGCGAAGATATTAGCCACAGCACGCGTCGACCAGGTTAAGTCACAACTGGTTGGCGACGCGTCTAGATCTGGAGAACCCTTACCGGAGGCATAGCTAGAAGAGGGCGAGGTGCAAGAAAAGCCCTCGACGGATAGAAGAAAGTTCAAGGTCGTCTGTTCTGTAAATGCACGTCGCTAACGTTCAGTCAGCATTCCCCTTCGGTGGAACCAAGTAACCAGGGGTACAGCATTGGTGCACGTACCAGACGCAAGTATGTCAACCTCGAGCAATCGGTCGAGATAATGCAAGAACGACAAGATAAATCAAGAAGAATGTGGAACAAGTCCCTCGAATCGTGGTCTTTACGGGGTCTGTTGGTGTCGATTGGGGTCAACACGTAAGTTCAGGACGCGCAGCTCGCTTCAGCACGGGAGCAAGGTTGTGAAATAGGGTATAGAGCAATGTGCAAGGATAAATTATGAACAGTGACGCGAGAAGATACAAGGAAGCGTCAATGAAGCGTGTAGTAGAGGCAGCGGTTGTAGGTATGTTGATGAGGTGGATGCTGGAGGAAAAGACGGGTAGGCCACTTGACAGGGCAAAGAGGATGTTTGGCCCTCTTTTAGCGTGGGAAGGGAAAGACGCTGCCCCACCCACAGGCACAGCACAGCAGCACAACCTGTTCGGCCGCGGGCAATTACGTCGCTGGCAGGAGTATGTACCGAGTACTTGTTTGCACTTTTGTATAGTGTCCCCTATGTACGGTTGGGATTGACTGGGAAGGCTTTTAGGAAGAGAGAAACGAGGAGTTTGGTGACGGTGAAGAGGAAAGGGAGGGAAGACGGAGGGAACTGTGAATTAAAGAAGAGGCCTGCTGTTGGATACCGTATCCAAGTCGTAAAATTGACCTTATAATACGGACCACGGTCGGGGAGCGAAACAGCAGCGTGGAGCGGAAGTTGGCCAGGCGATGAGGTTGAACAACGCGATCCTCGCGATTAAGGCGCGTGTCCTGAAAGATCAGGCAGTCAATAAACAGCTGTTACCCGGGCAATAGGATGGACTCGAGTGGTTCGGACAACACGCGCCTGTGACTCTCCGTTCAGCCACACGTTCCTTGGCAGTGGCGGTGCAGTCACGTGCCAATCCGCACCGCCGCATCCGCAAATCGTCCGGAGACATTTTTGCTCAATCGGGGTCGGAGTGCTATTGGCAATTGAAGTCACGGTTCCCTGACGACACTTCTGCAGGACTGGCATATTTTCGGGCTAGTATGATCCAGCAATAATCCGCTGCCCTCCGACTCTTACGACTTGCCACGCCTGGGGCGATTGAATCTCCCACAGGAGCATATCGTACAATATGCTTCAGCATCGGATTGCCCTTAAGGGTGTCCGACTTCCCTTCCGATGCGTCTCATCTCTTCTCCCTCGCTCATACTCGACGGGCATTGAGGCACACACAGAGACTGTTCCCGCTCAGTCTTCGAGCTCGAGCATCGATCCCAGCCTTTCATTCGCTCCTCCTCCTATCCGATCGGACTCTGCCATTAACATCCGAAAATACACACCGCGCACTCCCGGTGTTCGACATTTGCGAAGGCCCGTGAACGATCATCTGTGGAAGGGTCGTCCGGTACACAAATTGACATTTCCCAAGAGGGGTCACGCCAAAGGAGGCCGGAATAACAGCGGTCGAGTTACCGTCCGACACCATGGTGGTGGACACAAGCGTCGAATCCGAATGGTAGACTTTACGCGGGCTGATCCCGGCCCTCAACTTGTTGAGCGCATCGAACACGATCCCGGACGCAGTGCTCACATCGCCCTTCTTCGCAGCAAAGAAACCGGAAAGCTGAGCTACATTGTGGCTGCGGACGGTATGAGGGCTGGAGATGTCGTGCAGAGTTACATGGCTGGTATTCCTGAAGACCTGTGGCGAAGCATGGGAGGAACGGTTGATCCTGGTGTTATGGCTGCTAGGACTGCCTGGAGAGGAAACTGCTTGCCTTTACACATGGTTCCTGTTGGGTCACTTATTTACAACGTCGGTCTGCGCCCTGGCGGAGGCGGACAGCTCTGCCGCAGCGCCGGTACGTTCGCGACTGTTATCTCTAAAGGTGTCAACCAGGTGGCTGCAGCCGACCAAGAGAGCAGGGAAAGCTTGGCAGGCTCGGAAGAGAAGAAGAAGCCCATGCGGCAGCGAGAGATTCAAGCTCGGGAGCGCACTCTCCAACACATCACCATCCGTCTCTCCTCTGGTGAGGTTCGCCTTATCCACAAGGACTGCTGTGCTACCATTGGTGTCGCTAGCAACCCGAACAAGAAGTACGCCCAGCTCGGAAAGGCTGGACGATCACGCTGGCTCAACGTTCGACCGACTGTGCGCGGTCTTGCCATGAACGCCCAAGACCACCCTCACGGTGGTGGACGAGGAAAGTCGAAGGGTAACATCGATCCGAAGAGTCCCTGGGGTCTACCGGTACGTAATCCGCTTTCTGCATATTGTTTCAACCTGCTAACTGTTGTCATAGGCCAAATCCGGTTATAAGACACGTCCTAAGTGGAAGGTCAACAAGGCAGTTGTTGTTGCAAGAGTCCGCAACCAGGGCAAGCGTCGCAGAGGATACCACTAGACGTACTTCTGTTCGCCTGACTGGGGATCGCGAAACGTCTGCTTTCTCATATCTGTTGTACCTATTGTATTATACGAATGTTGATCTCTCAATTGCAGGGCGGGCCTGGATATCTCTCTGTTCTACTGTATTAAGTTCGCTCATGGTTGTTTCTTCGGGGCGGCGTTAAATTTAAAATTATGGGCTGCGATAGAAACACACAAGCCTGCTTATGATGTTGTTTCCGGGTAGCTTATGGCTTATGACGATGCTGTGGTGATTCAACGTCTCGAAGGTCTCATTGTATCCCGTAGACGTGATTTGTGCACGGAGTATTTATCTGAGCCTCGGGAAACTCGAGAAAAGACTCTGCATCTTGCATGTGCAGTGTCAATAAAGTCAAATCAAATAAGCGCATCGTTCCAGACCCGAGGAAAGACTTAAGAGTCATCGACTTGTGAGTCGTGACTCTGTAGATACGAGACGTGGCGCCCGTATCCGTCCACCATGGGACCCAAAAGAAGCTCCAGACTTCGTGGCGCAGTGCTGCCTATCGATAATCCTGCGAGGCTCCGACATTTACATTATTCATCAAGCTATCCAGTCCCAGCTGTGGCCTCACTTCATTTCCCCTGATGCGGGGTCCCCAGGCCGGCTCACACTTTCTTTGTGACTGAGGCCTTGATTGACTCCCATCCCGCATTTCCTTTGAAATCTCCGTATCGAGACCGGAGCGCCACGACATCGACACGCCATGGCGGGCTATCTCGACGATCAAACACAGCCGCAAATCAACTTCGATATACCTCCTTCACACACCGGACAAGATTCCACAAGCCAGTACCACTCTCAAGCCGCCGCCCCGGGCCTCAGTAATGGCGACAGCGGCTACGTCCCGCGCCCCAAGCGCATTGCGTGCGCTGTCTGTCGGCGGAGGAAGCTTAGATGCGATGGGAGAAAGCCGAGCTGCGGGACTTGCTCGCGTCTAGGGCATGAATGCACATACGATGAGGCGCGGAAGAAGAGCGGTCCAAAGAGGGGATACGTGAAGCAGTTGGAAGCCCGGTTGGGTGCGTTGAAGTCGCAAACTCATGGAATCGATGCTAATGCTGTTTTCGAATTTCAGCGCAGGTTGAGACGTTACTCAAAACCCAGGAACCGGGCACTGCCAGCGTATCACAACCTCAAGAGCATACATTCCCTGTAAACCTGCCAAATGAGCCTTCCGGCGCCTCGATGCATGTCATGGGGAGCAGCATGAACAACTCAATATCCCCGACGGAAGCCCCAGCGGCTAGCGGACCGACCTCATCATTCACACCGGAGAGAATGGATGCCGCGAATACATTTGGATGGGATATGATTAGTTTGGGTTTGGAGGAGCCTTTTCCGGCTCGGGAGGTCATCCATGAGTTGTATGTACTGTTTCCGCACCTCTCAGGCGCACTCCTCTCACACCCTTGCCAGGAACCTCATCTACTTCGACAAGGTGCACCCTTTCTTGCCTATTATACACCGTCCTCGGTACATGGCTGCGATGGACTTTGCGCCTAGCTCGCGACCGCCAGCATGCCTACAGTACATCGTTTGGGCACATGCAGCAGCCGTCAGTGAAAAGTACTCCAATCTACATGCACTCTTCTACCAACGTGCCCGAAAATACATCGAGTTGGATCAAATGAAGGGTCTCGGAGAGGGTATCCTCACATTGACTCACTGTCAAGCATGGCTTCTCATTGGCTGCTACGAGTACAAAATGATGTTCTTCCCTAGGGCATGGCTTAGTGCTGGTTCTGCTGCTAGGCTAGCCGTTATGCTCGGGTTGCATCGCCTGGATGGTGAGGGCCTCGAGGTGAAACAGTGCCTACCAATGCCGAGAGACTGGACGGAGAAAGAGGAACGACGAAGGGTTTTCTGGATGGCATTCGCCGTTGACAGATATGCAAGCATCGGGACTGGGTGGCCCACTTGTATTGACGAGCGGGATGTGAGTTATCTTCTCACACTGGACTGTAGAGTCGGAAGGGACTAACAAGCGCCAATAGATCATGACAAATCTCCCAGCGACCGAAGAAGCATTCATCAACGGCAAATCAGAGAAAACCGCCCGTCTCAGCGACGTGCTGCAGGGCACCGACCTGGCGGAACTATCAGCATTTGGAAGCGTTGCATTCGTCTCATGTCTGCTAGGCCGAAACCTGACTCATCTCCATCGCCCTGAACCTCAAGACAATGACAACGATCTTAATGGCGTTTTCTGGCAGCGCCATAGGTCTCATGACAACATCTTACTTCATTTTGCGCTATCGATGCCGAGTCATCTGCGGCTTCCAGCTGGAATTGCCGATCCGAATGTCCTCTTCTGCAATCTAGCAGTTCACACCTCCACGATATGTCTCCACCAGGCGGCTATCTTCAAAGCTGAGAGAAACAGCATGCCGAATCAGATCATATTGGAAAGCAAGCGGAGGTGCATCGTTGCCGCCGACCAGATCTCTAGCATCATGAAAATGGTCAGCTCAATGGATATGAGCAAGGTAAGATGGCGATGTTGCGACTTATCACAACACGTGCTAATGTCCTCTAGATGAACCCCTTTGTATCATTTTGTGTGTATGTTGCAGCTCGCGTCTTTGTACAGTATCTCAAGTTCCGCCCCGATGACACGGCCGCCCGTTCTTCGCTGCAATTCGTCTTTGCTGTCCTTGATGCTCTGAAGAATCAAAATCCTCTTACCGAATCCTTTCTCGTCCAACTGGAGGTTGATATCGAAGGAACGCCGTTCCAAGATGTCCGACTGCCTTCAGCTAGCCCGTCGACCAGGAATTTCTTTGCGGATCATGCATATGGGGAGGTACGTGCACTTCAAACCTGGTTGCCCACGAGAATTTGTCTCTAATTTTATCCATTACTCCATGCACAGACCGCTCCATACTCGCAGGTACGCAATCGTTCACCTCAGGTGGACAAGCAAGGCAAATGTACCGTATGGGATCCATCCACCAATACCAATAACCCTAACCGAGCCAACCTGCCCGTTTGTCTTCCAAATCGCCAACGCCAGACCACGCGAGAGCAACCTTCCTCTATCGGTGCTTCCGCAGTGCCGCCCTTATCCGTGATGAATAACCTGCCGGGCTTCAGTAAAGCCCCAGCAATACCCACAGCCACCGCCACTACAGGCGGCGTCCTCTTTGACCTCGAAATCCCCTCCCGCTTCCACGACGTAACGAACTCACACTCCGCCACCGAAAGCTCTGCTTCATCCACTATGAACTCCTCATCCACACCGTCATTCATGAGAGGAGACAAACCTTCGTCTCCAAAACAGCCACAATCCCAGTCCCAGACTTCGACAGGCGCACTGAATACCCCCGTTCAAGACCAGGCTACAGCAACACGGGGATTTGACGGCACAAACCTAGACCAGTTTATTGACTCCTCCAATCCTAATAATAACAACAATAGTGCGCCTAATTCGTTGTTCAATATGGGCTCCATGAATACACCTGGTGGCCCAAACCAACCTCAACAGGGTACCGGCATGCCATCTCCCTGGGACTTTCCAATTAATGTTAGCGGGGACCCGAATGATCCGAATTCGGTGGCTATCGATCTAATGAACACAGATATGGATGGATTCAACAGTGCCCAATGGGCTCATATCCTGGGTTCTGGAGGGTGGAATCCTTGATTGATAGTACCATTTCTCCCTTGACGACATCTACATACGTAAATACGCTTGGAGTATATAATGACATACTAATGACTGGCTGGACTTCATCACGGTCTGGGCGTGGAGCTTGGAGTTCTGCTTTTGGTGTATGGCTTGTAAGATGGGACTGGTTGTGTTTGGATTTGGGCGGTGGTCATCTAAAGGTTACAACATTATTGTATAATACATTGGAATCTCGTCTCTAGACGCATATCGTTAACTTGGCTAGCGAGTTATAACATAGACATCGGGTTCACATAGAATACATCTATATATTGAGATAATATGACTGGCGCCGCCATTTACCTTCGACAACAATGCATAACGAGACACGAAACATGAACAAAGATGTATGAGATAGGTATCATCTGCAACAATTTTTATAACCCTCCACCCCCAGCAGCGCCAACAATCCTCAACCCGCCAGGCGTCGAATAATCCGCCGTAATCGCATACGCCAACCAATACCGCGACGGATGCCACGCAACCGCCGAAATGCCCGTATTCGAGCTGCCGCCCGTAGCAACAGTATGCACGCTCTCGCCCGTCTCCGCATGGAAGATCTCAATCCCATTCCCGCCACACCCCTGCTCATCGCATGCGCCGACGATAAACCGTCCATCAAAAGAGAAGCTCACCCCACGCACCGCGCCGCCATTGCTGCTCGACACCGTGCGGCGGCAGATCCAGTCCGTTGTGTCCCAGAGGGAGATCAGGGCGTCGCTGCCGCCGATGGCGAGGTAGCGGCCTGTTGGGGCGAGGGCGATGGAGAGGCATGCGGAGGTGTGGGCGTGCAGGGTGTAAAGGGTTTCAAAGGATGGGTAGGAGATTATCTTGACGGTGCCTTCGCCGGTTGTGGCGAAGAGGTGGCGCGTTGGGTTGGGATCGTCGGCGGATGGGATGTGGTTTGAGAAGGTGGTTGCGTTGGTTTGGATGGATTGCGGGTGCGGGTCGAGGGTTTTGTAGATGGCGGGTTTGGGGGGGTTGATTGTGCCTGTGATTGTTGGGGAAGAGGGTGATTCGACGGATATGGGTATGAGGGTGTCGTCCTAGTACTGGTAAGCTATGGCCTGGGGTTTCCGCACGCATGGATGATGGCTTACCTTTCTCCCGGCGACTAGGACCTTCCCATCGGCGGACCAGGATAAGGTAAATGCGTCAGGCCCGACGTCTAGTCGGCTGACGCATGTTTTAGAGCGTACGTCCCAGATCCGTACGGTGCCATCTCCGGAACAGCTAGCTAGCTCTGAGTCCCTGGCCGGGTTGAAGAGGACCTTTTCGATTCCTGCGTTATGGCCGCGCAGTTCCGTAGAATATCGCGCCTGCGAGCGTTCCGGGTTCCAGATTCGAAGGGTGCGGTCTTGGGACCCCGTAGCGATCAGCTGGCCTGTTGGGTTCCATGCAATTGAGCGTATCCTGCGGCATTCCTATAAGCATGAGCTTCTGTTTGCAAGGATGCGTTGGTCCAGAGTCGCGCGGCGCTTCTCCGGGAGACGTACGTATGCGTCCCAGGTCCCTTGGCAGCGGGATCATGATAGCTTTGTGTTCGGAGTGAGCCGAAGGCGAAACTGAAGCGCTCTTTGGCCAGTAGATTTCGCCGCGGAGGTGCCATTTTTGTATTTCGTCGGCGTACGGAGTAGCTAGCGGAGTTGATGCCCCGAGGGGCTGGCGATATGCGACAGCGAATAAATGCGGGTGAACGCGAGAGTTGCGACAGCGGTAGATAGGAGACACGGGCGAAGAGTCACCGGGTTGACGACGAAGGGCTGAGCTCAGTTGCAGCTTGAAGCTCCAGCAGATCACACCCAAGCCAATGCTCTGGTTTGCGGTGTTTCGACGGTGGTGTTGCTGCCTGAATGCCTGAGGCGTCAATCATTTTCAACATCGGGATCCCGTTACCTGAGCTTGAGCTGCGCTTGCATAGATATATCATTCTCCAGCACTCTGTTGACTCTGCTACCATGTTTGGCCTAGAGGAAGATGGCGCCTCAGGGCGCGAGAAATGCTACACCACCATAGCCAGCCTGCCTCAGTTCATTGACCCCAAGCAACCTCCCACCAAGCAGTCCCCATTCTCTACGATTCTGAGCAATCACTTCGTGCATACGGTAAGTTCCCAGCTTCTCTAGAGGTATCAGAAGCTTGCTGACTGCGTAGTAGGTTGAAGTTACCATGCCCAAAGAAATTTACTCTTCCATTGAGAGCCAATTAAATTCCAAGCTGCAAAAGCTTCAATATGCTCGCCTTTCTATGACACTTTCGTTATTGATTGACGGAGACTTCTTCAACACCTATATCAAAACAGGTACAAGACCCGTAACTAGAAATCTATCCACATGGCCAGTCTGCCCCGGGTCGGACGAAATCACATCCTATCCATATCTCAACGTTACTAATCATAACGACCGCAGGAAACATTCTTATGATATCTGAAGGCCGGTCAGGGCTGGACAGTGTCTACACCCTTATAGACGGTAAGAGATACAGGCGTGTCCTTGCTTGGGCTTAGTTGACTCTTCTCAGGAGTTCTAAAGCTAGAACTCGGCAAAGAGGACTACGAAAAGACAGGGTTGACGGGTAAACCTGTCCGCACTGGTGCAAAGAAGCATGCAAAGGAGAGGTTCGGTATGCGGTCTTGTTACATCACGAATTACTGCTATCACTAGCTAATGGATTTTGCAGTCGTCGAGCTCAACTTACGGCTGCCATCAATGCTGCATGGCAAGAAGGGCTTCCAAAGGATAGAATGGGCTTTCAAGAACGTCCTGAACAAGCCCACACAATGGCTATTCTTTGATCTGGGCACGGACTCCACAGGTGTAGCAGAAGGTACACGGCACAATCCCAATTAACTGATATGTAGGCTTGCCTACCCAACAAGGACATGCTGATAGGGAAAATAGATGACCAATCACTAAAGGGCACCAACCCCGAACTCATCCCCTGCTCACCAGTCCTCACAACCCACCAAAACATCACAACACCCTCCTTCTCAGATTTTAACATCGCAGCGCAGTCCGAGTTAGACATGAGGGATATCTGCGGCGAGATCTCCGAATGGCTAGCCTTGGTGTCTCTGCGATCTGGCCGTGTTTCCGCATACGACGATATAGATCCGTACCTGTGCCGATATGATGCGCCAGAGATAGGGACGAACAGTGCCACTGATCTCGTCAGCCTGAAGTGGCGCGGGTTCATTCCTCCCAACTGGATTCTGCAGTTGTTTATTACATTTTTGTATGTGCTACTCTACCTAAATGCACCTGGACCCACAAGGGAAGAACATGCTGACCATGAAATAGCCGAGAAACTGCACCTCGGATTACCGGGACGCCGGCCTGGTTTGCTCTCTCTGCAAGTACCCTTGGAAGAGACGCAGTCGAGAGTAAAGATGGGTATACAATCATGGCGTTGCCCGCGGTAAGTTCCGCTAGTGCTGGGAATAGTGCCCATGAAGACGAAAATGCGAAGGCAATGGACGCTCGCCACTTCATTTCCTGGGAATATATAGGTGCGTCGATATTATGAGTGAAACAGATTATATTTGACCGTAAGCTATCACGCGTCGCTATGCATTGTACCAAATAAGACCATCCAGTCATCGAGTACAATTCCCAACTAATGAATCATAAACCCAACCCAAACCAACCTACCAAGCCTATGGATATCCAGACGCAACCTGATAAACAAATGCCAAAAGAAACGCCAAATCAAGTAATGCAAAACCAGACAAAAATATTATTCATCATCCCACAACGTCATTAACCACATCCTGCAGCACAGGTCGATTCCCCAGGATCTTCTGGCCACTCAATATATTCATGCCCTTCTTTGCGGGCTTCCTGAGGCCCGATAGAGATAATCGCTGTTGAACAGGACTTAATGGATTGCGAGCTGCCTTTCTCACCACATTGGGGCTCTTGTTCGGACTGCTCTTCTTCTTCACGGGACTAGGTGTGAACCGATCAAATGTCGAAAGCGGCACGTCGTCGAAGATATGGTTTTCAACAGCGTTCTTCGGAAGGTCATAGACCCAGCCGCGCTGCTCGACCAAGTTGACGTATTTACCGAGGAGCTCGTTTCCGTTGCGGAGGGTATTCTTGCTGCCCAGGACGAGGAGCTTGGTGCGGGCTCGGGTGAAGGCGACGTTGACGCGGCGCCAGTCGCTCAGTAAGTCGCCGACGTAGTTGTCTTGATTGCTGCGGACGCAGCTGAGGATGATGATTTCCTTATCTCGGCCCTGAAATTTGTCTGCAGTGTGCATTTCCAGGGCGGGAAGGTGGTGGCGAAGGTTTTGTTTCAAGAGACTGAGTTGGCTGCGGTAGAAAGTGATGACGCCGATGCTGCGGGCTGAGATGCCGCAAGAGATGAACGCCTCCACGAGCTGTGTGCATAGGGTTGCTTCAGTGGCATTTACAATTCGCGCGCCGTTGGTGACGTCGCGAGCAGGTGTTCCAAGTGTGTCTGTGTTGACGAGGTACGTCTTGGTCGAGGGGTCCACGAGATCACGGAGCCAGCAGCTGCCTTGGCTTGTTCCCAAGCACAGCTGGCGGCTTTTGCTTGCTTGAGAAAAATCACTAAGGTGGTGTTGCTTGAGACCGCTGATATTGGGAACTTCCAGGGAGCGCGCAGCGACCTCGGGGGTGCCGCATTTTAGACGACCGGAGTAAATCAGCGTTTTGGAAAGAAGCTGGATGTCTTCACACATCCGGTACTGATGCTCGAGATTGACCACCGAGGACGGGTGAGCATCGGAAAGCAGCTTGAATAGACTAACATCAAGACCACCGGCTTGCGCTTCCTTGTTTTGCACCAATGGAGGAAGCTGATAATGGTCTCCGACAAGGATAAACGTCTTCGCCATCCTGATAGGTCCTAGACAGACTGGAAGTGTAATTTGAGACGCCTCATCGACGATACAGTAATCGAAGACGCGCGTGTTGAATATGTGGTGACCAACTCCAAGGCAAGTAGTCGCAACCACCTGTGAGTCTTCGTAAGCAGCCTTCAGCTCCTCAATTGTCTTCTTGGGGGTAGCGGCAAGTTCTGCGAACTGATGAACATCAGGATGTACTTTGGTGGCTGCTCCAATGCGGAGGATACGCATGTTGTCGTCGCGAATCTTTAAGAGAATGTTATCCACAGCGGTGTGCGTATAGGAGGTTAACAGGACACTCTTTCCTTGAGCTACAAGAGCTCGAAGGATATGAGCGATAGTCGTGGTTTTTCCTGTTCCAGGCATGCCTAGAACAAGTGCATAATCCTGTGCGCTCATGACCTTGTTGATCGCTTGTTTCTGGTCGACGTTCAGGCCTGCCTCTTCTAAGCCAGGTAGCTTGGGAACATTGGATTTGAACGCAGGCGGTTTCCCTTCGATGATCAATTTCCTCAGCTGCCCGGCTTGAAACAAATCTTTTTCCATCATTGCAACAAGGTTGCTTCGGACTATAGCCATTCCGTTGCTAAACTCGTCTTTATCCAGTCGATACAGCATCTCTTCATCCAGTTCCATTGGAGACGCGGTCGAAGTGCTGCCCTCGATCTCCATTATACCTCTAAATGACTGGTTCATCTTAGCATCAAACCCGCCTGTTCTTGTTCTGGCATTGTGAAGCCTCCGGTCGACCGCGACAGTGACACGTCTAGGGCTGATTTGCACAACGTATCCGTTGGCCAAGGCAAAGTGACCATTCTCATCCGAGATGACAATTGGCTCTCCAACAGTTATCTGGGACTCGGTGAACGAGAACGTGGGCGATTGTTGTTTTTTGATGAAGGTATAGCGATACCGATTGATTTTTGTTCCATCTTTGTCTTCGCAAGCTGTTCCGGGTTCGATAACGATGTTGCCAAAGCACCGCCCAAGAGCCTCTCGCTCGTGGCTGAGCAATGTCCAAAGTTCTCTCTTGAATCGTCTCATACTCGTTTCTTCTTTAGTCAGCAGATCGTCCCATTTCCGGAAGAAATCTCGATGTGACGGGTTTAGATGTTCCATTGCTTTATCAAAATCGTCACCAAGCCCGCTGGTCTCACCGTTGCCGTCGTCGGCAAGTTTGTGGTATATGAAACAGATTGTCTTCGTATAACAATTGTTACAGAACGTCGGCTTCTTAATCATTGGCGGCAGATATGCCCTTTCACGTACATATCCCGCCACGCGATTGCGCTCCTGTATCATATGCAAAAGTTCGTGACGTATACCTCGAATTCGAATTATCTTTGACGTCTCAAGATAATATAGGAGTCCGAACGTCACTTCGACGTCTGGTAAAAGCATGGTTAGCAAACCCCATCTAAGAAGGAAAGCTCGGTCTATGCCTACCATAACGGTCAGAGAGTAGCAGAGTGTATAGCGCGGTTTGTGCTCGATGAGCCTCGTTCGTCTCCTTATGACCGGTTTTAAGCTCAAGGGGTACTATCAGGTTTTTATCCCCAGTACCGTCATTGCAGGCAACTTGAACCGTTGCATCAACGTTGCCTTTGAGGCCGTACATCGGTGACCAGACGTGCTCCTCTACTTCCAACAGCTTGTTGACGCTTAATTTCAGCTTCGAACTATTCCTGTCCTCGACAAAGGATTGTGGCTTCCGCAAGTCAGCCAGAGGAATGGATATCGATTGAGTTTGCACTTACGCCTGGTTCTTTTCGAAGAAAGAGCTCTGCCCAACGCTGTATACCTGGAATTCTGCTCATCACATGGTCAACAGCCTCGTTGATACTCATGTGGATCAGGTAGAGCTCTTCCACATGCTTAACTGCCACATCTTCGATCAACGCCCTCAGGGACGCGGTATCCCACTGATTCAAAGTTATGGCTTCCTGGAAAACCTCATGAAATATGTTGCCGAATACTTGCGGCTTTCCGAGATCTGAAGTTCGCTTGATACGGTCCTGAAGCACGGCCCGCCGTTGGCAACTGATCGAGTCCGCAACAACTGTCGCAGATATAAGGTGGTCGGGATGGATTATGATCATATTCTGAGCGTCGCTGACGATGCAGTGACCGTTCATATCGAATTCGCCGATCAAGTGTATATAATGGTCCTTGTCGCAAGGGCTATCATACCAAGATTCTCTGAGCACGACGACCTTTTCAAGCTTTGTAGCCTCGTCTTGGACCAACAAAACCTTTTACAGAGTTAGTTTGGGTCAAAGGACTATAAAGGCAGGCAACGGCAAACCTTCTCTGGCTGTATGCGTCCTCTCTTCGTGGCATAAGTAGATTCGGCAATATCAACGATCAAGTAACGTTTGATAGTTTTGCGGCCTCTATAGGTCTATTTATATAGTACTTAGCGAAACTCTCGATAAATATATCCATAAGAAGGACGAACATCATCTGGACTGTCTTCACCTTGTGCAATGGGCTGATCCAAGCAATCAATGTCAAAGTCATCGTCATCAAACTCATCGCTGGAAGCTATAGGCTGTTGTTTTGCTTCATTTTGCAACTCAGTTCCAAATTTCGGCGGCTTTTCCGGCTGAAGTTCTGATATTGAAGGCTCTTGCTGAACGACACTGGAAAACTTGGTGCTTGCGGTCTGGTCGCAACCCGCAAGGAGTTCATCGATATTATCTGAGAGCCCCTCGAAATCGTCGTCAAATTCGTCAATGTCAATTATATCAGTGTCATTATTAGAGACGGCTTTCACGTCCGTATTCGCTTCTGCGCGTATATTGCTGTTTCCATAGTTGAAAGAATGTTGGACTGCGTTCAGTGCAGGTAACGCGTGCTCGTTTCCGGTGTTTGATGGCCTCAAGTTGTTCACCTGGGTATGCTCAACGAAGGGGTCCGAAGTATCTGCTAATCCGAGGAACTCATCATCGAGGTCATCATCGCCAAAATCAGACGATGAATCTTCCAAGGGTTTTCTATTAGTAGGTGCAGGAGCAGCAACTTTCATTTCATTACCCGTGTTTGCCTGCCGAGTAGGAGGTTTAGCGACTTTGGTTTCTAATGGAGAGGGCGATCGATCTTGTCGCGTCGCATTGTGTACTATCACCGGTACAGTTTTGGATGGGTCGGATTGCTTTGGAGCCGCCTTTTTAAGGCTTCTCTCCATCTCTTGAACGAGAGAGCTAAAGTTCGCCGCCTTGAGGTCTTTCGGTACCGTAATGTTGCTTCTCGTTCGTGAGAATATAGCACGGCCTTTGTGGTAGCTTTCTCCATCCACCTTCCTCCGCTTCGCTTTGGTGCTAGGCCACTCGGCATTGCAGCTAATTGATCGCCTTAAACCTGAAGAGTCCTGACCGGTTCTGGCCGACCCGGGTGTATGTGGGGAGGATGACAGGAGATTCGCAAAGCGTGGCTGCTGAAGGTCGGGTACATTCGCGGCAGTCTTGGCCACATAGTTATTCCATAGGTCGGTGGCGAGATCGTTCTGAGGAGTTTTAAGCAAGCTTTGAAAATTTTGGAGGTCAAAAGACTCTTTTCGTTTCCCTTTAGAACCGGCTAAAGGAGAACTACTCGGAGACGAGCTGTGACGGCGCTTCTTGCTCTGTGTTGCGGGCGTTTGTGTACTCGGGTTTGAACTAGGAGGGGCATGTTGCCATATAACATAGTCCTCTGGCGTGAGCTCCTGCCCTACCGGGGCCCTGCTGAAAGCGTCCTCTGCGTTCCCAATAAGATCTGCCAGAGGGAGCCTATTACCCGGAGTCTGTGGGCAATCCTTGATCCCCTTGGGTTCCGACGTTTCGTGCGGATTTTGCTGATTATCCGATTTCGACTCACCTTGTTCCACCACACCATTTAGCCATGAAGTTTGGTTTTCTTTGTTTGTATGTCCTTTCTGCGGGGATGTTTTCTTGGGCGACGTCTTCTTCGGGGACATTGCAGTACCAGCCTGGTTATTGTTCCTGTATCGGAACGCGTCTAGTTTCGAGCGCGAAGCCGCGGAGGCTGGAATTGGGCGCGGGTCTTTATAGACGGAATTCATGTTGGGATTCATGTTGGTGTTTTGTCCCCGCAAGCTGAGCGGCAGGGCATTTCGAGGTCTTGCTTCCGGAAAGTGAGTAAAAGCGCGTGTAGGAAGAGAACCGAACAGTATGGACACTTTACCAGTCAATGTCTGGTTTAACCCCTTGAGAAGGAAAGAAGTGAGAATAAGACTATATTGTTCGTGCAAGCCGATGGTCTAAGCCGTACCCCGTACGGAGCACAATCTGGAATCCAGGGCAGAGCACGGTCATTGAAGCGTGTGTCTAGGCGCGTCGACGCGTTTAGTCCCATGTTGCCTTGTTAGTTAGAAACTGATGCCTGTAAAGTAAGGCATAAAGGCGGCATACCAGCTGGCCCGATTGGGGCTAGCCGCTTGGCTCCATCGGCCTTTTGCGGCTTCTGAATATCGTACACCGGCTCATCTCGTCACCCCTCTACCAGTCATATCCTGCGATCCCAGCGAACGAGTTTCCCTCGGGGCTTATCAATTGGGCCATCTCCTCTCATCCTCCGTCGAAAATAACGAACCCCAAGCTCGACCCATCCTCCGCGAGCTCGCCGCACTCTGTCCGACAGGGGTCCATACGCCACCGCCTGTATCAATCGGTTATCAAGTACAAAGCGCAATTCACATATTCACGATGACTGCCCGTCCTCTGTCACACTGCCTCCGCACCCGCTGCGTCCGTCGCAACCCCCAGAACATCCAGGGCTTTTCTACGCGAAGCAACCTCCGCGGCGGCGCCGACCATGGCGACCACTACGACCCTCCGACCGGTTACCTCTTCGGTGTCAAGCCCGGCCAGAAGTACGTGAAGGAAGGCTGGGAGAACGCTTGGTACTACGGATTCATCGGCAGCCTGCTCGTTGCCGGTGTCGCATACGTCTTCAAGCCTGACACCTCGTATGTCCCGCGCACTGGCATTTACCGAATGCCCGCCTTCTCAAGCTACGGGATAATAGACTAACTTGATATCTAGGATACAAACATGGGCTCTGGAGGAAGCCCGACGGAGGCTGGAAGCCGAAGGTATCCTCGAGGATCCTCAGCGCAAGTGAATTGTGATATCGCCCGATTTTCGTTGTACTGTGTACATAGCGTGGCACAACAAGACAATCCCGGTCGGATCCTAGCATCTAATCTCGGTCAAGATGCGTCGCCCCTTAGGTGTTGGCTGTCTTATATCATTCCACCTTCTTTTTCTTTGCTTGTTCTCCGCGCGCATTCTCCCATACTGTATCATGAACTGTCCATTCCCACGCTTTGATTTAGAAAGCTACGAAAAAGGAAGAGAAAATCTACCAATAGACGTCTTCTGGCTGTTGAGAGGTTGCTAGCATTGAACTGACTCTGGCTTTATGGCGTGTCTTCATCTATGTATGAGTAGCAGCCCGCTCTACTTGTGACAAGGAAATAGGCCTTCTATATCTCTGGGTATATATCTGTTCTTCTAAGCAGCGGCATCTCTCTTCTGACCTTGGCCAGAAGATCCAAATCAATATCCCCGATAGCAATCTGCGGCTCTTCATACTCGTCACCAAGCTTAGCCACGATCTCACCCCATGGGTTTACAATCATTGAGTGACCATAGCTTCGTCGCTTCTCATTATGGGGACCTGCCTGGGCAGCAGCTATCACATAGGATTGTGTTTCAATTGCTCTGGAACGCAGAAGCGTTTCCCAATGCGCTCTGCCTGTGGGGACTGTAAACGCTGATGGATAGGTGATAATCTGAGCATTCTGGCGCTTTAATGCTAAGCTGATCTCGGGGAAGCGTAGCTGTAGTATCAAGCCATCAGTATCCCCTTCTCTGCCGTAGATATAGCATACTGGAAGGGAACTTACATCAAAGCAGATCGCTAGACCAACACGGCCGAGTACTGTGTCGAATGGCGGAAGTATCTCGTTCCCCTTCTCCACACTCCTTTATACACCGATCAGCTTATGAATCGTGGGAGATAGTAGAGATACAACTCACGAGCTTTCCTTCAGCACTGGCCCTCCTTTGATATCTACATCAAATAGATGGATTTTCTGATAGCGCTGTGTAATGTCACCTTTATTATCGATCCAGATAAGAGTGTTCTTCACTCTCTCATCGGATGCAGGCTCATGAATGCCAACATTGATATGCAAGTTGTTATTACGAGCCTCATCCTGCAAACCTAGGACAAATTCACTCTGCTGGACTGGGCGAGCGAGTGATATGGACTCTACCGGAGATGACGCTATATAGTCCGCAGCCTCTGGCAGGAATAAGGCCTGGTATATGGCACGTCTTGGTCAGGCGATAAATCTCTGGCAATAGGGCTATCTAGGCAATACCTTCGCGCCTGCCTCAGCTGCCTTTTGCACAAGGACTCGACACTGAGCCAAGTTGGCTGAGACGCTTGCTGTTGAACATAGTTGCCCAACGGCCTATCAGCGGTTAACGAGATGCGCAAGTAAATACCTGACCTTGAGAAAAGTCGCAGTGGCTATACTTACTGCGATAGTCATTTTGATCCTCAAGATAGTGAATTATCAAGTACTACGAGGTATGCGAAGTACAAGATCACGTCGACGAGTTGGAGCCTGAGGTGATCTACAATCGGCGCCCCGGGAGACTTTCCCGATTCGGGACGGCCTCCAAACTACGGAATTATCAGATAATCGCCGCCCGCACTTGTAGCGATTGCAACAACCAGCTCTGCTCCAAGACAACTACATTCGTGAAGTGGGATATTGAATTGGGCCAAGATGAAGAGTCTCAGGCGCGATTTCTCTGGAGACCCTTCCACTGCAAATGTGACCAGCAAAGTCTTCGTCCGGTCCACAAAAAGTGGAAAGGTGCAAAAGATTGTTCGCGAGCTTTACCTCAGACAGGATATTCCTTGCTCATCGAGGTTATGTACGATATGTCCGTCGGTCGCACCGACAGATGCAAATGGAAACAGTGAGGAAGACCTTCACTCTGTGCCGTTGAAGTTCATTGCTAATTCAAAATGCTGCAGTTGTACCATTCGTTCTCTCCGAGCAACCCGCCGGCACAACCGCTTTCCCTCGCGGGCACTACATCGTCCCCGATACGAATGCGCTTTTGAATGGCATGGACCTGTTCGAGCATACCGGAGCTTTCTACGATGTGATAATCCTTCAGACTGTTCTCGAAGAGCTTAAGAACCAGTCTCTTCCACTGTACAACCGCTTGCTTGCGCTGATCAAAACGGACGAGAAACGATTTTACCTCTTCTTCAACGAGTTCCGCCTTGAAACACATGTTAGGAGGGAGCAGGATGAGTCAATAAATGACCGAAATGACCGAGCCGTGAGAACCGTCGCAAAATGGTACATGGACCACCTGCGCGCAGTCACGAAGAGCAAGAAGGAGAAGTCTGTGCCGGCTATCGTGGTTATTACGGATGACAAGGAGAACCTGCGCAAAGCAAAGGAGGAGAATGTGACCGCTTTGTCATTGGAAAACTACGTCAGTGGACTGGAGGAAGCGGATCGATTGCTCGATATGATCAACGAGTCTAGAGAAGCAAGAGAAGCGAAGGAGGCTCGCGGAGAACTCTTTTACCCAGAGTATTACTCAATGTCGAAGATGATGACAGGCCTACGGGCCGGAAACCTCCACCAAGGAGTTTTTAATGTCTCGCCATACAACTATCTCGAAGGGCAAATCAAGGTAGCGGCATTCGATAAGCCACTCATCATCATGGGCCGTCACAACAGTAACCGAGCCATTTCCGGAGATGTCGTTGTGGTTGAAGTTCTACCCAAGGACCAATGGAAGTCACCCTCGACAAAGATTGTGGACGAAGAAGTCGTAACGAAGAATGACAACCCCGAGGGCGAGGACAACGAAGCTGTCGTCACTGAGAGGGAGCGGAGAGCTTTACAAGAGGAGGTTAGGCAAGCGCATGGGAAGAATCTGGAGGGTCGGCCGCAACCGACGGCGAAGGTTGTGGGCGTCGTGAAGCGAAATTGGCGCCAATACGTCGGAACCGTTGATTCAACCTCTACAGGCTCTCAAACCTCTGGGCGCAGACAGCAAAATGTTTTCGTTCTCCCGATGGAGAAAAAGGTCCCGAAGATTCGAGTCCGAACGCGGCAGGCTGCGGATCTGTTGGGTCAAAGGATTCTTGTCACAATCGATGCTTGGAACCGCGACTCACGATACCCGACCGGACACTTCATTCGGTCACTGGGAGAGTTGGAGACAAAATCTGCCGAAACAGAAGCTCTGCTCCTCGAGTGGGATGTGCAGTACAAGCCGTTCCCGAAGTCTGTATTGGACTGCCTGCCCTCAGAGGGCCACGATTGGCGTGTTCCCCAAAGCACAGACGACATTGGTTGGAGAGGGCGAAGGGATCTCCGAGATCTTCTCATTTGCAGTATTGATCCTCCAGGTTGTCAAGATATTGACGATGCGCTTCATGCGCGGAAGTTGCCGAACGGCAACTTTGAAGTGGGTGTTCACATCGCAGATGTCTCTCATTTCGTGAAGCCGAACAATGCCATGGATCTCGAGGCTAGCGTTCGTGGAACAACAGTTTACTTGGTGGACAAGCGTATCGACATGCTTCCGCACCTTCTCGGTACAGATCTTTGCTCCCTTAAACCATATGTAGAGCGCTATGCCTTTTCAGTTCTGTGGGAAATGACGCCGGATGCAGAAGTTGTTTCCGCTGACTTCACGAAATCTGTGATTCGATCGCGTGAAGCCTTCAGCTACGAACAAGCCCAGCTACGGATCGACGACCCTTCAAAGACAGACGAACTGACACAAAGCATGCGTACTCTCCTGCATCTCTCTAAGATCCTGCGCCAAAAGCGTATGGATGCTGGTGCCCTGAACCTTGCATCGCCAGAAGTCCGCATCGAAGCAGACAACGACGAGGTCGGCGACCCCCTCGCAGACGTCAAGACCAAAGCGATGCTCGCAACAAACAGCCTCGTCGAAGAATTCATGCTTCACGCCAACATCACCGTCGCCGCCAAGATCTACAGCACATTCCCACAAACCGCCATGCTCAGACGACACGCTACACCCCCACCCCAAAACTTCGAAGAACTCATCAACCAGCTCACCAAGAAGCGTGACATGCGCCTCGAAGTCTCCAGCTCTGGTGCTCTTGCCGACTCACTTGACCGTTGCACCGACGCCGAAAACCCCTTCTTCAACACCCTCGTTCGCATCCTCGCAACCCGCTGCATGACATCCGCAGAGTACTTCGGCGCCGGTGCGCACGCAGAGTCCGAGTTCCGCCACTACGGTCTTGCCTCGCCCATCTACACACACTTCACATCCCCAATCCGCCGATACGCCGATCTCCTCGTCCACCGCCAACTCGCAGCTGCAATCAACTACGAGGGCGAAGACGGTCGCGCCACAATTGAGGGCTCCATTACGCGGAACCGCCTCGAGGACATCTGCCGCAACATCAACTACCGCCACCGCAACGCGCAGCACGCCGGCCGCGCCAGCATCGAGTACTACGTCGGCCAGGCCCTCAAGGCCCGCAGTGAGAAACTTGCCGCCGACGGCGTCGACAGCGGTATCGAGGAAGACGCGTATGTCATGCGCGTCTTCGAGAATGGTGTTGTGGTCTTTGTGCCGCGCTTTGGTATTGAGGGCGTCGTCAGACTCGAGGATTTTGTTCTACCCAGTGACGAGGCGCTACGCGCTGTTGAGGAGCGCAGGGAGCTTGTTACGCGGCGCGAGAGTGACTTTGACCCGGAGGAGTATACCCTCAAGGTCTCTGATAAGGGACAACAGGAGCGATCAGTGTGTGTGGAGCTCTTCCAGAGGGTTAAGGTTAATGTTAGTTCTGTGAAGGAGGAGACTGGACGCGGCGTTGGCAAGAGGAGAGTCAGAATCCTGATCCTCAACAAAAAGAAATAAGCGTTAGATAGAAGAATTACTGCTTGTCCATTTGTGTTCTAGATGGGTTGATCACGGCGCTTGATGGATATTCCTGAAAAATATGTCTTGACAATACGATTTGAGAAAATATATGTTTATTTCCCGATTCAGGGCCACTCAAGCTGGTGATTTTCATTACTTGTTATTAATTGGTATAATCTCCGCGGTACGAGATCTAGACCTTCTTGCTCGACACCATCCTGCGCATGAGGGTATGCGGATACCAAAGCGCAATCCCTGTAGGCAGCTGTGGTCGACTCGCAACAGACCCAGATTCGCCACTCTGCTGGACGATATCCTCGCCCTTCCCATCCGTGACCACGGCATTTGCTGATTTCTCCTGCTTCACCCGAAGGTTGTCTCCCACTTTCCAGCCTCGCACAACCCAGAGACACACTGCGGCCGCAATATACATCAGGCCAGTGAAGATCTGAACATGCAGATAGACGCGTTTGACTGAGTCGTTATCCCGCAGTAAAAGTGCGATGGGCTCAGCAACGGTGGTCGGTCCCACCAGGACAAGCCATGTGATGCTAAGTCCTCCAGGTAGGTCTTTTAGATCGATGATCTCAGCCAACACTGGCGCCACCGTGGCCCAGTAAGTACCTGCAACTGTGCCAACTAGTACCGCAAAGAAAGACACAAGGCCCATGCTGCGGGCAAATGTCCAGATCAGCAGACAGAAGACCCCGCAGAGGAAGGTAAGAAAGGCTGCAATGTTGATACGGCCAAGCTTATCACTGAACATACCCACGAAGGGCCGGCCAAGCCCTTGGCCGAGGTTGAGCAGGGCACCGACGATACTAGCTTGGTGAGCAGAGAGGTCGACAGAGAGGGCGAAGCTGGACATGCTGAACAAGATAGCAACATAGCCGAGCATGGAGAAAACACCCCATCCAAGGAAAAGAAGAAACTCGGGGCGCTTGAACAGCGGGAACTGAAACGCTTTGAACCGGCTGCCAACAGCTGCATTGCGATCCTTCAGCAGGTTCGCGCACACCAGGTTCACAACGCAGGAGACAATTCCTAGTATCCGGAATGCCCAACTAAGCCCCAGCCGTGGGATGATTGCCCCCACCGCCAGAGAGTAGATCAAGCCTCCCAGGCCAGACCCAGCTGCGTTGATTCCCATAGCGAGGCCTCGACGACGGTGAAACCACTGAGGCGTGATCCCAACGCTGCCAACGAATAGGAATCCCATGCCGATACCAAAGCAAACACCTTGACTAAGGAACAATTGCCATCGTTGCTTGACGAAGGAAGATGCCATCAGACTCAGCGTTTCGAAAAAGACGCCCAGATTCAGGACCGCGCGGGTTCCTAAGACATGAATGAGGTAGGTGGCCAAAGGCGCAACTAGGAGAGCGCAGGATATACTCAAGCCACCAGTGAAGGCATACATAAGTGCCGAGGTGTTGGGGAATACATCGTGGGAAAGATAGTAGGAAAGAAACACGCCGTAACTCTATAACGCACGTTAGCACCTCCATCTACTGCATGGACCGGTGATACCGACGCTGTTGATCCCCCATGTGTGGGCGTTTATCCAGAAGACACTGGCCACACAAACCCAGCCATATCCGCCATCTGGCGGCAGGTCATCTCCGGACTTCCCTTCCACCGCAAGCCCTCGGTTATGCTCTAGGCTTTCGGGGTGCTTTTTTTTGAAAGACTCCCGCAGACCTAGACCACGGTCATCGTCGTGAGAGTGGATTATGTCGATAGGGGTATTGTCTGCCATGGACAAGGCCCAGAGCGTGTACAGAGGATACGGAGATGACGCCTTAGCCTAGCGTCATATATGGCAGGGGACCGTGAACTGCGCAGGGAAACACACTCTAATGACTCAGACAAGAAGTTGAACCGCACATAGGAGCAGATAGATAAGTCAATTCCATATAAAGATCTCGACCTCAAACAAAAGAGGAGAAAGACAGAGGAAAGATCCGAGGTGAAGAGTCATGGATTTCGAGAAAAAATGTAGAAGCTAAACCCCAAGGCTAACTAGACCCAAAGGCATAAGGCCGGCCACAAGTCCGAGGGCCGTGCTGGCTATCATTGGCGCCCATATTGGAGGTGGGCTTGGGGTTTGGGGTAGGGCCATGGCATCCATGGATCCATGCGGCCGGCAACGGTGCCGATCAAGAGTGAAGTCAGAACGAGAAGATACGCCAAGTGCTCGGTCTCATAGCTTAGAGCATCTGCTAATAGCCTGATTCTGTGGAGGCTTGCTACAGGATAGTACTATCAGAAGCTGTACGGAGTAGCTGGCTGGAGGTGGGAGCGAACATCCCGAATAGGAAGGTACGACCGTTCAGCTGCGCTAAGCCCTTTCTGGCCGAGGCAGGGCTGACTGACTCAGCGGCTCGAGAGACCCCTCACTGGGTTTGCATTGTTTGGCTGGAATGTGGCCATAGCTCCTTGTCTCCCGAGGCACCGCAATGGAGCCCAATCCCGGTCCTTGTTTACAGTCGTCATTGATAACAGCCTTCAGCTTCATTGTCCTTCGCTTCCATTCCTTTCCAACTTCATTTCCTGAAAGTATCTGAAACACCCTCACCAACTGAGACCGACCCACGTTCTTTTGCGCCCGACATCAGCTCTCGCCTTCCACTCCCTTCTTTTCCCAGCCACCTCCTCGACGCTCATTGGCCCTACTTGCGTACCTCATCGCCAACTGTATCCAGATTGACACGACACGATCGGTCACGTCCCACTGATACATTTCCCGTTTCGCGCTTTCTCCTTTGTTGATATGGTACTTAAAGACCTTAATCCTCGTTCAAGATGATCCACCGATCTCCTCTTCAGCACAACAAGGGCAAAGATCCTCAGAGGAAGGTTACTCCGCCTGGCCCCTCATACATGTCCAACGATCAGATCGGTGAGTGCAGCGTGGCCGAGTCTTGGCGATCTTCGTCCATTTAGATAGCCTACTGAGCTTTGTCAATGTTGCTTTTGCACTTGTTCTTGCTCTCTTTCCATCTCTTGCTAATCAATTGCCCTCAGCAAGCTATCTGAAAGACTTGCGGACCAATCGACCAACACGTCCAGGTGGCTCTCGACCGTTACCTACCAGGACAGACTCAGCTTCCAAACCTCGAGACGAACTTCCGCCACGGGCTACATCTGCAATGTCGATGTACGGGAACTCGAGAGCGCCTCCAGCAGCTGCGCCAGCTGAGATTGAACGACCCCGCGCCGCCAGTGCTCTTTCGAACCACCGACCAGTCTCATTCCGCAGCTCTTTCAGCAGCTCAAACGGCCGCCCATTAGTTCAGGAGCCGAGAGTTGTTCCCGTTCGACAGAATGTCTCGCCAACTCGGGCTTTCTCTCGGGTTTCAGCGAGTACTCCAACACCGAGCTACCAAGAAAGTCCCGAACGGCAAAAAGAGCGGGAGGAAGCAAGAGCTCTGCGTGACGCCTTGCAGGGAATGGGCATTGACGACGAAATGCGTATCCATGAAGATGCACAGAACGAAGCGACGGAACTGGTTTGGATGCACCAAAACCCAGGTCTCCAGTTCAAGAACCCTTATGCGCCATACCGTAACCCAGACATGAAGAGCCCACAGAAGTCCGAAGATCAGAAACAACCATACGAACCTCGAAGCCCATTTCGAAAGTCGTGGCGTGACAGTCACCGTATTTCCTTCCGAAGTCAATCTACCAAAACCATTCCAGAGACCGACTCTACTGAACCAGGAGAGGAAAGCTCTCCCAGAAAAAGCGGCATCCCAAGGAAAAACCATAAGGTTGACTTTGCGCTTGCGGGGGATCCGGAGCAAACTGATAGTAGCCGTGGACTGGCGCTTGCGGGGGCAAGTAAAGACTCGTCTAAAGGCATTTTCAGAAACCCGAAAGACCAGATTTACGAAGAGCCCCATAATCCTGACCAAAATGACGACAAACGTTCTGTATTCTCAAGGTCGGATTCGTCGGCCCTCCGAACGAAGCCGCGCAATGCACTTCCTCAAGGATCTCGACCTTTACCAGGCCGATTTGGTAGCATTCCGTTTGCTGATAAATTGTCTCGCTTTGAGCTACATAAACACCCGCCTACTCAGTCAAAAAATGCCGAGTACAAGACCAACGCACCGTCTCCGCCTATTGCTGGAGTATCGCAAGAGAATACTGAGCCGGTTCCAACAAAAGATGGACTTGAAATCCGCAGCGAAGATATCAGGGCAGCTACGAGCAAGAAGAGATCAGAGCGCAGCTCAAGGCTCCCCATGCCTACTGCAGTCAGTGATCGTGTCGGCCGACCAATTGTTAGCTTCGATTCGTCCTGGCAGCCAACAGTAGCGCAGAGCCCTCCCAAGAGAGAGATACCGGAAATTCAACTTCCTGAGTCTGCTCCGTCACCCCCATCTATCGAAGTATCCGAGGCGCCTTCTGTTCCTGTTATCAATCTACCGGATGAGAAGGAGCCCACTATAGCGGAAATGAGTCCTTCCAAGGACAACAAACCGATCCCTCGACCGCCATCAGAACTAAAGGACCGTCAGCGACCGGGATCCGGGCCCAGAAAGTTTGTGCCATCTCAAGATCGGTGGATGTCTCATTACTCCCGTGCCGGCGTACCTACTGCGTCATGCGAAGCTTGCTCACTTCCTATTGCCGGTAAGGTTGTCACCGCTGCCGGGACACGTTTTCACCCAGAGTGCTTCACCTGTCACCACTGCCACACCGCACTAGAATGCGTGGCGTTCTATCAGGAGCCGGATGCAAAGCGAAATGAACGACTTGCAGAATCTTCGGCAGATGAAGACGCTCACTCTCTGAGGTTCTACTGTCATCTTGACTTCCACGAAATGTTCAGTCCGAGATGCAAAAGCTGCAAGACACCTATCGAAGGAGAAGTGATTGTTGCCTGCGGAGCAGAGTGGCATGTCGGCCACTTCTTCTGTGCCGAATGTGGAGATGTACGTACCCATAACCCTATTCGAGATCTCCTGCTAATTCCGCACAGCCTTTCAACTCGCAAACTCCCTTTGTGGAGAAAGATGGCTATGCCTGGTGTTTGAACTGCCACTCTCGCAGAACTGCACCTACATGTGCAGGTTGTAAAAAGCCTGTCCTCGATGATGTCGTGATCACCGCGGTGGGCGGCAAATGGCATGAAAACTGCTTTGTCTGCCATGAATGCGGCGATGGGTTCGGCCCGGAAGGTCGCTATTTCGTCAAGGAGGGCGAGCCTAGACGGACCGCCAAAGGCCGAATCATTGGAGGGCCGGTCCAGCTGGCCGTGTGCGAGCGATGCGAGGGCATTCGACTGAAGTCTTCACCTAGAGCTTGACATCGTCCCGGTCGGCACCTAGGCAATCTCGGGCTTCAGGACTAACGCCATTCCAAGATCTCGTTTATGCCTTGGTTTAAAAATCTTTCTCATCTCTTTGTTTTTCTATATGACTGCATATGTGCATGGCGAGCGATATTCTTACGATTTGATGACATTAGCGGCCCTTCTTCTTCTGTTTCGATATCGAGTTCATGTTGGTGTTGGTAGGTAAGCATATATGGTCTATTTAAATATAAGCATAGTAAATTTAGAAACGTATAAGTAACCCTGGGAACTCCAGTAAAAAGCACTTCTCACAGTATGGATTCAAGTCAAACCCACTCCGGGTTTTCCTTCCTCCTGAACACAGCAACATACTTATTCCCCTTATTCCTCGCAACCTTCTTCCCCTCCTCCGTCGCATCCTTCATAACCCTAACACACTCATCCTTCTCAATCTCCTCCTCACTCACCCTCTCAAACAACTCCGCCGACCCCTCCCTCTTCACCTCTTCCAACCCCTCCTCTCCCCCTTCCGGCCCCTGCCCCTTCTCAACAGGCGTCCCATACCCAAAATGCCTCAAAATCCAATAATGATACTCCTCCACATCCGTAATCGTATAGAGCAACCCACCAGGCCGAAGCGCATACGCATACTCCGCATTCAGCGTCTCGCTCACAATGCGCGCCTTGTGCTTGCGCGCCTTGAAGTGCGGATCCGGGAAACAAATGAAGATCTTGGACAGCTGCCCGCGCGCAAAGAAGTTCGGCAGGAATTTCATCGTGTTGGCCCGGATCGCGGTGATGTTTTGGTAGCCGCCGGGGATTAGGGAGTTTGGGAAGACTTCGGAGTCGTCGACCGTGGGGTCGGGGGTTGCGGGTTTGGAGTTGGGGTTGGTTTCGGAGGCGGTAGCAGGGGCAGGGGAGGGTTCGGGGGCGGGCGTTGAGGGTGTAGATGTCGAGGTCATTTGGCGTTTTAGGGCTTGTTGGGCGCGTAGGGCTTTGATGCGGTTTGTGAGGTATTCGGTTACTTGGACGCGGATTTCCATTCCTGCCGGTTCTCGTTAGATTCCGACTCCTTTCGTTTCTGGGGGTTGTTTGATGGCTGATGCTGATACGTACCAACCATAAGCGAGTCGGGCAAAACGGGCGCGAGCCCAACGAGTAGGCCGCCGAAGCCGCATCCGATATCGACGACCTCCACGTCCCTGAGTAGCTTCCTTGTGCCGGCGAGGTTCGTCTGTGTGGGGTCGGGGTTCACGAAGGCCGGGAAGTGCTTGCTCCAGTCCATGTGTGCTGGGGAGAGGGGGCTTCATACATTGGTTAGTTTAACCTCTTTCCAAAACAATCAATCGGTCCCGCTATCAAATAGAGAGCTGTAATGAGAGAGGAGAACATACTACTTCAACAGATGATCCGAGAATGGATTCGCATGGGCGCGCTGGCGGTAGTACTTCTTCTGCGGCAGCTTTAGGTCCGCTAGGGCTACATCGCCGACCTCCGCAGAGGTCGCAGCAGCGACTTTATTGCGGTAGACCTCGCGCTTTTGTTTCTTTGCCGTGGCGCCCATGGTGATCGTTATTGGGAGTGGTGTTGGAGACGTTGACTGAGTTGAGGTTAAGACCGGGCGGAATTTTTTTCGCGGCGGGAGCGGACGTCACTTTGGCGGAGCGGAGCTGGCCCGATCATTTCCCCGCATCGCAGACCTCCATCCAAATCACCGACCCAGCTCGACACCTCTCAGCTTGATCACTGCTTTGACATATACCTAAAAATGACAACGGCTTTACGACAGCAGCCGGCTCCCTTCCCCTTCCCAGCGCGGTACTCCTTCCCACCCTTCTTCAGCATCCAACCAAATGACAACACGCGCGATGTCCAGTTCAAGCACTGGTCGTCGCTAATTCAATCCTGGTGCCGACACCACCGGGCCTACAAGCTCAACCTCGTGGAAGCTATCGATTCGCCGCTATTCCGGAACACGACGATTAAGAAGCAGCTGAGCTTGAGCGATGCGCAGGCGGTGCTGGAGTGGATGAGCAAGCCAGAGGAGGAGCGGGGTGGCGGGCGACGGGCGGAGTGGGTTGATGCGAATACCAGAACCTCGGCGTGGATCTGGTGGGTTTGGTGGAGGAGGCCGGAGGAGTGGGCGGAGATTATTGGGGACTGGGTATGTTGCTTTCCTTCATGGTTGGGGTTAGGTTAACGACATTTGGGTGTAGATCGACGGTACAGGGCAGAAGAATGTCGTGCTTACGGTTTATGAGTTGCTCGAAGGGGAAGCCACTGTTTCGCAAGGTAAGATGATTGGTACTGGTAGACTTCCAAGCAATTACTGACAGTGTAGAATGGCATGGGATGGACCCCGAAGTGATGATGAAATCATTGAACGTTCTTGTCAAACAGGGAAAAGCCCAGATATTTGGCAGTGAAGGGCAAGAGGGAGTGAAATTCTTTTAAACTCGCTCAAACAAGCCTTCCTTCATATGCTAATGTCGCCAATACACAAATCGCCAACTATTATGCAAACGTTATGGGATATACGCCGTACAAAAACTCCAGACAAGACATGCAGGTATCATAAGTGAGATGTCAAACACCAAGCCACCAGCTTCATCACTCTGACTGCTCAATCATCTCCTCGTTGAGCTCATAGTCCTCAGCGCCACGCAGCTCCTGAGACATCGCCATATCCAGGAGCCAATCGACTCGCACGATACGCGGGGTCTTGCCCATATTGTTCACCAGCTGCCTGAATCGTGGCCACAATTTCTGGTGGTCGGGAGATGCACTACTGAGGAGGTAAACCTCGCCGTTTTCGCGCTCATTCTCTCCGCGTGGTGCTTGCTGGGAAACACGGCCTCGGAACAAATTGCACTCTCCCCCATTCGCGTTGACGATGGACTGGAAAGCTGCAAATCCTCCACGAATATTCTCGTCACAGTAGAAGTGGTATCCGTGAAGAAGTTTGTTTTTGTTCGCCTTCGCGTTGGCCTTGGCCTGTTCCAACGAGAACCCAAACTTCTTTTCCGCCTCCTTGTCGTCAAGAAGAAAATCGCTGGGATCTTGAAGTTTGTTCTTCTTCAGGCACTGGTCGATAAACTCGATCTGAATAATCATCGGGCCATATGCGAGCCCATTGACGAATTTTGGAGTGCGCAGGACAGACGGTGCAGCGAGATGGGAGCATTTGCGTGCATCTTGAACGACCATGACCCCGAGCTCCCGGAGTTGACGCTAATATTGGTTAGCTATTTGCTTTTGTCTAGATTAGAAGAGTGACAGACCTTGTCGGCATCCTCCTTTTTGATGTTGTTCACCCAGCGTTGATAGCCGGTTATGAGCAGATGCATTGTGATAGGGGGCTTTGACTTCTTTTGCCGCTTAGATTCCGCATTGTCCTCTCCCTCACTCTCGGACTGAGCCTCAATTGATGCTCGTTTCTTGCTGTTGTTCAAAATCACTCGATCTTCGTCCGTCTTCTTCCGGCCACCGTAGATCACACCACCGACACGCTTCTTCTCCTTCTCGTACAGCGCGATGTCTGGTGCAATCTCATGTAGCCTAGCTGTTGCCGCCTCCTTGGATTTGCGGCTGCTGGTAGAGGACGGGGTATCGTTTTCCTTGCCATCAGGAGCAAGACGTAGATGGGAAGGTGTCTGTAGGTTCGTTTTCTTCTTTGACTTGCCCACTGGTGTGGCGTTTGCGGTGTCGGACACAGTTGTCTCATCGATATCCATGGAGGAGCTCAAGTCTTTCTTGGATGCGATGTTTTGGTCTCTCTTATGCATTGCCTTTCGTGGAGGTGCCGATGGCGTCTCTGCTGACGCGAAGAACATACTCTCGAGAACAGACCGATCCAATCTGGTCTGGCCTACAACCTCGCCCAAGTTCGTTCGTCGGGGAAAATGGTGGTATCGGTTGTCAGAAATAGGAAGTATCCTCCATTGCGCGTAACATTCTTCTAGCCAAAGGTGATTGACAACCTCCAACCCCCATTCTCTTGCTGCAGCACACTTTTCACTGTTATCATGAGCAGTCACCAAGTGCGTGTTTTCCTGCCTCAGGGTCTTGGTGCATTCCGCACCCGTGGCTGTGATCAAATGCTCCAGATATGACCGTGCTTCGCCAACGTAATTAGACAAGCTGATCTTGAACTTCTCAAATCCCGGTATAGGGGTTTTTGGCACCGGATAGTGTAATAGGCGTCGAAAGGGAGAAGTCCAAGTATCGTAGGTCATCAGATGATAAAGCCATGACAGATTTCCGACATCCTTGTTCAACCTGGAAGCGACACGGTAGTTAAATCCATCTCTGTAGCGGCAGATGAAGGTAGTTGCCTTGGAAACTTCACTGGTTATCTTGCCTCCATTTTCTTCGATTATCCCTGATATCGTGTTTTGAAGGCGCGAGCCGATTTCCAGGTCCGATGAGAGCATAACAACTCTTCCTTGAAAGACGCTCAACTTGGGCCTAGAAGGAGAAGCAAGTGGCGCGGGCAGCTTAGGCTCTGGGGTAGATGCCCCGATAATGTCGCGGCTCTCTGCAGATCGGATAGGCGCGTCTGGTGCTGAGCGAAGAATTTCAGGGTCAGGGAGCGTATAAGGTCGTTCATCAATTCGCCGTCCAAGCTTCAAGCAGTCGTCGAACCAGTGAGGAAGAACAATCTTGACGTTGAGCTTTCGTTGCTTGATCTGCTTGGCTTTGTCCGAATCAATGGTCAAATCAACAAGGTGAGTACACAGCCCAGTGACTCTAGGGTTATAGAGACCACCCTTCGCTAAAACCCCGCCAATGATGGCATCCTTATCACCTTCTGGGATATCACCGCATGTGACAACAACGTCGTTCAAAAAGAGTCTGGGATCGGGGCTGTATTGCCGGACGTTATTGAGCTTTCCCTTTGCCAGCGATGCGTGCATCCACTGGGGTTTGACGACCGGAATCAAGGCGTCTTTCGCAGCGTCGAACTGAGGAAAATCGATTGTAGTTGACATGATATGACTGAAAGTCCCAAGGTCTGGGAAGTCGGCCGGAGGCTCGTAAACGACCGGTTCGCCGCCATGGGCTTCTAAGGTAGACGCGAGCTAATGTAGATGGACGTTAGAATCTAGAAAGAGAAACGAGGATAACATACTCACCTGGTGGGCGACATCTGGGCTAAGGTCCTTGGAGCAGACTATGCAGACCCTCAACTGGTCGAACAGCTGCAGGTTCTCGTCCTGGTGTTCCGCCATGGGAAAACACCTGCTATTGAGCTAACGAGATGAATGTCCAGTTCGTTGGAATGTTTGGGAGGTGGGATGAGATTAGACGTAGATGAGCAACCCCGCGATCAAGAAGGGGTGTTGCCTGCAGTGTCTTGAAAAGTCGGGTGGGATGTGTTCCTTCCCGATGCGATGCGACGCGCTCGAACGCGCCAGGCCAAACGCCAGGTCACGTGCGCGCCGCTCCTTCTCCGAGACCACTCACTTTGTCATCGTCACCCAGTCCAAGACTTGTTTGGGTTTATTTTCAGATTAGTTATCAAGACAACTACTGGTCTCTGCGGAGCATACCACGAGAGGGTCACTTCGTCCGACTGGCCCCTGTCTTGCTCCTGAAGTCGTGATCGGGCAGCTTGGAGAGCCTCGGCTCAAGATGTCAAGGCGCCCCTCGGCAACAGTCAACTCGGATGCTCCCGATACCCCAGGCCGGCGGGTCAGCCCCCATCCTTCTTAAACCCGGGGTCCCAGCCTGAAATGGTCTCGATTCTACAGTATTCCGCCTCGGAGCGCTGATACAACTGCCATGTCGACGTCCGGCCCCTTCCGCATCGTCGAGCATACGGTTGCCGGTCAGCACATTCGGGAGTATCCTGGGGCTACTGCGAATGAACAGGAGGATGTCCTAAACCTGGTTGTGAAACAATATATTCCTTTGGATAACCCCAATCCGCAGCCTGGAGATGCCACTATACTCGCGGCACATGCGAACGGCTTCCCAAAGGTACGACTGATGTTATACTGCTTACTCCTTAAAGAATGTATCGCATCTAACAATGGCTCGGATAGGAGCTCTATGAGCCTCTGTGGGAGGAGTTACATGCTCAATCAAAAGTCAATGGGTTCCGTATCCGAAGCATTTGGATGGCCGATGTTGCACACCAGGGAGAAAGTAGTGTGATCAACGAGGACCTACTAGGGAACGACCGTGGGTGACAGGCCTGGTTGACACGTTCATCATTACCCTCTTACTGATAGTGTGCGCCAATAGCCAGCTGGTTCGACCATCCTCGCGACCTCCTACACCTAGTTAATGTGAAGCGCAAAGAGATGCCACGCCCTATCATCGGCGTCGGACATAGTATGGGCGGTGCGCACCTGTTCGTCCCCATCTTTCCTCTAAGTAAAACGCGTGTCGATAACAGTCTCCTTCTTAGTACCCAGCTAGCGACTATTCATCCACGCCTCCTTCACAGTCTGATTCTACTCGATCCCGTTATTCAACGTCAAACCACACAGCTAGACCCTGGCGATCTAGGCAAGCAGAAACTCGTCATTGCCAAAACCACTCAGTCCTCTACATACAGACGCGACCGTTGGCCCTCCCGCAAGGCTGCATTGGACTCATACAAGAAGAACCCGTTCTATCAGTCCTGGGATCCTCGTGTTCTCGAACGCTGGGTCGAATACGGCCTCCGGGACCTCCCTACATCCATCCACCCGCTCGATGAAGCTTCAAACAACAGCGCCGACCGTCCCGTAACCCTACGAACAACCCTTCATCAAGAAGTATTCACCTTTTCCCGACCGAACTACGACGGACCGCCAGGATTTGCTGTTCCCGTGAACAAAGTAACGCATCCAGATCTTGACCCCGACCATTTGGGGTCGTGGCCTTTCTACCGACCAGAGCCGTCCCGGATATTCGCCCAGCTTCCCCATCTTCGCCCAAGCGTGCTTTACATCTTTGGCGAAACATCAGACATGTCCTCGCCTACGATGATAGCGGACAAGCTATCACACACAGGTACCGGACTGGGCGGTAGTGGCGGAGTCGTGGCCGGTCGTGTCCGAGACGTAGTTCTACAGGGTAAAGGGCATCTCGTGGCCCAAGAAGCGCCAGTACAATGCGCCGAAGAGACTAGCAAGTGGCTAGGAGCCGAACTCCAACGCTGGAGAGAAGAGGAGAAGCTGTTTCAGGATCAGTGGAGTCAAAAGTCCAAAGTTGAGAAGGTCACTATCGATCACCGGTGGAAGGCGCACGTACCGGCTCCTGTGCGACCCAAGAAGAACGAGGTGAAGTCGAAATTGTGAAGCTGTCTGTGCCACCCATATATACATCATAGACTACAACCAACTATTTTGCACATACGAAAGGAATCAATGTATAGTTCTAGGACCGCCCTTAGTCTTTCTATAACATCTACCAACCACAAGAGTCGACATGTCTATCAATGAGTCAACCATGCAACCGAGCCACAACCATAATGATGGAGAGTGAGGTATCCAATGCAAAAACGATCTAATGATAACCTCCTTTGCTGCCTGTCGTAAAGATATGTCGCCCACTGCCTTTCGTAAAGTAATGCCGGAGGAGGGTAGTCAATAGAAGCTGTAGCTAGTGCATCACTGCAGCTTCTTAGCGGAGCCGTTTGCCGTGCTTGACGTTCGCACAATCTCGGGGATGTTCCAGATACGCGGCCACCACAGGTGGTACTCTTCTTGCCGGTCGTTCAGGCAGTGGCGCAGCCAGATGCCCCAGACGATGTAAAGGTACGCGCCGGTACCGGTCATGATATGCCTGATCGAATATTAGCAGGTACCCAAGGATTATAGGGAATTCAGCCTACCACCAACCGTGCCCTTCCAGCAGAATCCCCCAAGGAAGGCCAATATCCCTTCGCCACCTTCGTACCGTACTGCAAAAGAAGTTGTCCAGATTCCAGATAGCAAACCCTCCAAGGAAGACACTCAGCCCATACCCAACCATAAGCCACATTGTCTTGAGTGTCTTTAAGTCGCGCACGTTCTCATAGTGTTGACGTTCCTTCGAGAGGACAGGGAGGCCCTTCCTCTGCCGCTCGAGTCTGTCTTCTTCAGTTGAATGGCGCCATGACGGCCTCAACTTCACTTCCATGGTGTACATGCTTTGGATGAGGACGATTGCTGTGAGGAGGGCGTAGGCGTTCTGGTGAAAGAGCGGATCTTGCAGGTAGTGATAGTATAGGGTTATGAAGATCGCTAGGGAGGTAAGGAACACGCCGAGGAGGACGCGGTAGGTTGTTGAGCGGGAGTAGGAGAAGGAGGCGTAGCACATTAGGCATGTGGTGTAGATCATAGAGAGTTCGTCGACGAGCTGCATTGGGTCTGTAATTGGACCGGTGTTTAGCTCCGTAGTCGCATCTCATGATATGCGGGGAAGAGAGGGGCAGGCCTACATTTGAGTGTCGAGTGGAAGAGAAAGCTGCCTGTTCCAACGATAATGTAGCCATAATATGCCACCTGGAATATTGTATCGTGCCCGTTGCGCCGACAGCTCTGGATGCCCTTTACTCCCAAGGCCATGAACAGTAGGTTTGTTAGGGTATTGACGATCTCGGCGGAGTAGATGGTAGCATAGTAATCCTATAAAACAAAATAATTAGTCCTGCACCCCCGAGACCTTTCTTCAGAATGGAAAGCTTACTTCCTCGCACCAGTTCAAGGTCGAGGTAACAGGGTCCCAATATCCAACGCCAGAGGGCGGATACGGAATGGAGGGAAGTAGAGGCATAGTGACGGAAAGGCAGCCACAGACTCCTAGGAAACCGGAACCTGGCTGTGCCTCGCAAAAGAGCAATAAGATATGGTTAGGTATGAGATCGTCAACAAAAGTACAATGGGATAGTGAGAGGAAGTAACAAACAGCCTCAAGAGGGTTTGGTTCGAATCAGCAGGAACCGATCTGGCGGCGCTCAGGGCCGGTGACGTAGTCAGCCCATGCTCGCTGTTCGCACCCCGATTGGCTGTGCTCGAGACGCTCCGCAGCTTCCGGACAATCTTAGCCACTTAATATGTTGCTTATATCGCGCACTCTGCACAGTATTACTCCGTATGTACCTGTCACAGAGGGACGGTATACATCTACTAATAAGCTGCAGTTCATCAGCTTGACTCCTGCCTGCGGGGATTACGGCCGATACCGACAATACACCGACATTCGAGCCCTTATCAGCAGCCAGCCAATCAGCGCCCACTCCGCAAAGCCGCGGATGGATGACTTCATCCAGGGCTGAAAAAACTACTTCTCTAAACCGTATATCAAAGACTTCGCTCACTCCGACTCTTCGCATCCTCCGCTTTTGGATAGTATGCGGGCAGGTCCTGCCGTCCTCTGACCGTGCTTATCAACGGTCCACTCCGATCAGAACTGCTTTCGCCCAACGTCGAGATCAATCGAGCTCGTTCTCAGGACATCGGAGGCGATATGGCAAACAATGCCAGTCCCGGCGCGAGCGCTACATACGCACCTCCGCCGGTAAAGACAGTATCTAAATGTACCTAACTATCCCCCTTCAACAGAACGAACCACCTCGCTAACCGATTGCCCGACTCCAGCCTCCAAAACAACCTTCCACTTCGGAGCCGGCCTTCTCTCAGGTCTCACATCCTCCATCCTCCTCCAACCCGCCGACCTACTCAAAACCCGCGTCCAGCAATCCGCCCATCCCTCCTCCCTTCTCTCAACCGTAAAAACAATACTCTCCTCTCCAAACCCGGTCCGGAACCTATGGCGCGGAACCCTCCCCTCCGCCCTCCGCACGGGCTTCGGCTCCGCGCTGTACTTTACCTCTCTCAACGCGTTACGAACGAGCCTTGCTTCAGCGGCTCTCAATCCAAACTTAAATAAGGGCGCAGGGGGCGGGTCATCATCCGCCCTCCCGAAACTCTCGCACACCGCAAACCTCACCACCGGAGCCGCGGCGCGGGTCGCCGCGGGCTTCGTCATGATGCCCGTTACAGTCCTCAAAGTCCGCTACGAGTCGGACTACTACGCCTACCGCAGTCTGTACAGCGCTGGTCGGGATATCGTGCGCACAGAGGGCGTACGCGGTCTCTTCTCGGGGTTCGGCGCAACAGCGGCCCGGGATGCACCATATGCGGGTCTCTACGTGCTCTTCTACGAGCAGTTAAAGCGGAATCTAGCCGCTACTACATCGGATACCTCGTCCTCCTCCTCATCTATAAACTTCATCTCGGGTGGTCTGGCCGCCGGTCTGGCCACGGCCATCACGAACCCGTTCGATGCCGTCAAGACGCGCCTGCAGCTCATGCCGGCGAAGTACGGGAACATGCTGCGTGCTGTACGGCTAATGGTGCGGGAGGACGGAGTGCGCAGTTTGTTTGGCGGGTTAGGGCTCCGGATCGGACGGAAGGCACTGAGTTCGGCGCTTGCGTGGACGGTGTATGAGGAGTTGATTCTGAGGGCGGAGACGAAGTGGGCGAAGGATGAGGCGGAAGCGAGACTGTAAGAGTACGGAGTATATGCAACGCTACGCGGCGGGATGGAATGCCATGGTGTAATGTACGGATGATATACTACTATTGTACCATATGTGAAATCTGCAATGCGACGGTTTAGACCAAGAATACGTATCAATCGTCAATTCGTTCAAATCATATCTGTATCGTAAACAGCAAGAAATAAATCACAACTCATGACATCCAACAGGGACAGACAAATTATCTCACAAGCAACTCCCGTTCGTGAAAAGGAGCCGAGCATCTCGATGGATATGTCCAAAAAAAAAGAAAGCAAATGGATATAAGCCGTAAAAGTGGAGAGAATAACCAAAACAACATAGGTAGACAGTCAAATGAACGAATGAGCACCAATCCGCTCAGTCTCACTCATCAAGTCCCAACTGAAGCAACCGTATATAGCCAAAGTAAGGCAGACGCAGACCCGGATGCGCCAATATTTTAAATCCCCGTGAAGAAAAGCCTTTTCCGGCCGGGACTCTTCTTGCGCACGAGGTACATGCGGTCCTTATCGCGGTCGTTGATGCGGAGCTCGGTCAGCGTGTTGGAGGTCTCGGTGATCATCTTGCGTTCGGAGCGCTCACGCTCGTGGGCGTGGCGCTCGCGGATGCGGCGTGTGTGCGCGAAGAGTTCGTCTTGCAGGTCTTCGTCGATCCAGGTCATGATCACGAGGAAGTTGCCGTCGTCCTGGGGTACATTGTTATTTATCAGGAAAGGTATGATGGGATTGATTGGCGACTTACCTCGTCCCACTTCCAGGGGAGGCGGAATGCGTCTAGAGTTTCGGGGAGGAGATATTTCCGATTGACCTGTTGGGCTCCCGGTTAGGATAAAAAGATATTGATGATAGATGGATGGCGGCTCGACATACCTTGATCCAAGCAGACCTGTGGTCGACTATTTCCTTGATCTCCTTCTTCTTCTCCTCCTTCTTCTCCTCCTTTTTCTCTTCCTTCTTTTCTTGCTTCTTCTCCTCTTTCTTTTCTTCCTTCTTCTCCTCCTGCTTGTCCTTTTTCTTCATGAAGTCTGCAAACTCCTCCGGCGTCATCCCGAACTCAAGACGCAGACGCTCCTTAAACTCCTTATCGCGCTTCTCTGCGGCCTCCCGTGCCGCAATGGCAGCACGCTCCTGCTGGAGCCTCCACTCCTCCACAGCAGCGGCCTTCATCCTCGCCTCCTTGGCTTTCTTCTCCTGCTCGGCAAGGGCAATGCGTGCCTCCTCATCACGGATCTCCTTCTTGATCCGCTCCTTCTCCTCCTCCTCTTCGATCTTCTTCTGCAGCTCAACAAGCTGCTCATGACGCAATTTCCGACGCACCTCTTCCTGCTCGGCGGCCTCGCGTTCGGCCTGTTCCAGCCGGTGCAGCCTGTACCGACGCTCGGCCTTGCGCTTCTCCTCCTCTAGGCGCTCCTGTTCCTCGTACCGCTGCAGCCGCCGTAGTCTATCAGTCATGTCATCTTCGTAGCGATCATGCTCCTCCTCTTTCACGATGCGGATCTCCGTCTGCTCGTTACGGTCACGATGGCGATGAAGCTTCCGCTCGAGCCGCTCGATCTCCTGCTGCTGACGTAGGAGCTCAAGGTCCTGGCGTTGGTCGTTCTTCTCCAGCAGCCGCTGGTCGATGACGAGGTCATAGTCGCGGGCAGGAGCGTGGAAGGGCGATGCATCGCGGGAGTGGGAGACGCTAGTCGTAGCAGCACGTGCCCTAGACCGTTGACGACGGCGGATGGCCGCCTCATCGATTTCTTCCTCGTAGGGGTCTATATAGTTCTCTTCGAGGTTATGGGAGGCCGACTCACGGTGCTGCTTGCGGTTCTTGTTGGAGCTTGTGTTGCGGGAGTCGTTCTTGATGTCGACGATGACGGTCGATGGCTGGGGCTGGATGCGGTCAATTCGCTCGCGATCTCGGTGGTCTCTGTCCCGCTCACGGTCTCTCTCTTTCTCCCGTTGACGCTCGCGGTCGCGGCGGGCACCGGTTGAAGCTGAACGTTTGATGTGGACGTCTTCGTAGAGATGCCCGTGGGGGCTTAGGTAGGTGGTTGAGCTGGGGCCGTAGCGGGTACGGGAGATAGATCGTCTCCTAACGTGTCTGCGGGCTCCCTCCATTATGGAGAGGTCGGTCTCTGAGTAATCGTCGCTTTCAGATTCCGAAGAGGAAGAACGGCGCCCGTGTCGACGACGAGGCATGTCTTAAGAGGATGAGATGAGATGAGATGACCACACGATATAAGGCTCGGCTCGGAAGATAAATATAAGATTGTGGGAAAAGGGAACACGAAGGCCAATGCAAGGTGGGCAGGAAGCGAAGAGCCAGGTCAGAGGGCACTGGGCAGATAGTATGGCCGTGAGTGGTGGGGGCCAAATGGGAAGACGAGGGGCAGTGCGGCTGAAGCGCCAGGCACCAACCGGAGAGAGTGAAGATGCAGCGGATGAAACAGCGATGAAAGCACAGCGACAAAGGAATAAGAAGAGAGGAAGAGATGACGAGAGGAGGGGAGGGCAGCGGTATAGCGGGCGGCTCAGCTGGAGTGGGGGAATCGGCGTCATTGGGTCGATTGGGCGGCGGCTGATCATCTGGAATGACATCGGCCGATGAAGCAGTGGCTGGCTTACAGAGTAGCTGCTAGCTACTAACTATCCTGGCGGTTGATGAAACTACTTGAAGTTCATGTTTACAGCTGACTCTATTCCTGTCTCCTACCAAGGACCACCACGGTCCATCCCGAGTGAATCCAAGGTTACTCACTACCAAGTACAGTCAGGCCCCTGCCTGTCTGCATCAGTAACTTGCAAGCGAACCGCCGCCCCACTGACCTCAGCGGCTCAGCCTTGTCAGTTCCCAATCCTGATTCCATCATTCCAAGATGCAAGGACAATCCGACAATGGCCCGCTGTTGTACAGACAATCTGGTTTCTGCAGAAAGTCCTCCGGAGTGCATATGCTCAGGCATGAAAGGAAACAGAAAATTTCCGTGCATGCCTGACCGCATTACCAGTCCACCTCGTGCCGGGGCCCATACGGTACTCCATACCCCGCTGTCAGATTCTAGAATCGATCGATCCAGACTCTGCATCTGCCAGTCTTGTCTATGCCCATCAAGTGCCGGGAGAAGATAAGCTCACGGTAGCCCAAATGCTATAAGTTCTGGCAAAGGTAAGAGCCTCATTGCGCACAGAAGTTCGTTCTGTGCCTCAAGATACTCCGAATATCCAAGTGTCAATGGCTAATGATAACAGCCCCTCAAACGGAAACCACAAATCAGGATATATCTACAACTACCTACTGCATGAACACATGCGATCCACGAATGCAACAGCGCTAACCAACCAAGAACCACCACAACCACCCAATAGTCATCACATCATGCCGCCGTCGTAAGAACATAACTGTATCCAGGTTAGCAAGCGCCCAGCTCAAAAAGCCGAGTCAGCGAAATACTCACGAAGTAATACTATCCATCCGTTCCGTCGTCAGCTTCAAGCTAACCGTCAACAGCTCGCGCGCAACATCCGGCTCCTTCTCCCTAAGCGCCCTCCAATTCTTCGCATCAAGGCTCCACGTCACGCAATCCTGCTCCGCCTTGACCGTCGCAGTCCGGCGCGTCTCGCTGAAGAATGGCAGCTCGCCGCATGGCCGTCCGGCAACAATCAGCTCAAAGTACCGTCCCTGCGGAAGTTCGTACTCTGCACGAAGCATTCCCGCCTCAAGAAGGTAGAACGCATCAGCGACTTCCCCTTCTTGAAACAGGATGCTGCCTGCTGCGTATGTTGTGCGGACGAAATAAGGGCATGCAGCGAACCAGAAGTCTTCGTTGCGCGAGGTTAAGCCTTGAAAGGTTTGGAGGAGCAGAGGGAGGGGTTGGCGCATAGCAGACCAAGCGGCCGGGACAAGAATCGCGCTTTCGTCTTCGCTGAGTGTTGTTGTGGCTGCGCGCTGGAGGTATTGGTGGCGTGGAGACCCAAAAATCTCATCGACAGTCTGCGGCCGCTGCTGCGTTGTTGGAACCTCTAGGTTCTGAGGGCTGGTCCTCCTCCTTAACAACGCTTCTCGGTGGGTGTAAAAAACATTAAGGTAATCATTCTCGCAGTACTCCAGCGCAGAATTCAAGTCCTCAAAAATCCGGACGCCCAACTCTGGCTCGAGCAGTCCCACATTCTGAAGGCTCTTCCCAACTTCTCCTTCCACATCAAGCCCAGATATCGTCATGCGCACGTTCCTCTTCTTCAAGATTCGGTTGATACGAGTGAACGCCTCGGCTGCCGAAAAGTCGATGCCATATACCCGGGACAGGTCCAAAATTATGAACCTGATTGGAAGCCGACTGAATGCTTCGTCTTCAATCAATCCTCGCATCGTGTTCTCCACATCTACAATCGTGCCGAAGAACAGATATCCACCGAGCTTGAGGATGAGGGTCTGCTGTCCAGCCTCTTTCAGGTACCGGTGTTGGATCGGAGGGCGACGGACGGTAGAGCCAGCAACTTTGCCCGAGTATGTGGCGCGGATGGCAGACTTTCGTGACGTTTGAACGACAAAGCTCATGCACGCCAGGATTATTCCAACCAAAATACCGGCAACAAAATCCCAAATACCCATGGTCGCGACAATGATGACAACCTAGAATATCAGCCGCTGCCCATCAACCGTGAACTAGAACTCACCGTCAAGTACTCGTGTCGGTGTAACTTCCCCCACGTATCGACAAGAGCCTCCTCCATCAACTCGATTCCCAGCAGGAATATCAGAGCGCCTACAACCATCACAGGGATATAACCCACAATCATGGGGCCTACCAGCATGATGCCCGTAGTAGCTCCTGCAAGCATAACACCGGCTAAGCGAGAATTGCCTCCACTGTCAATGAAGAGCAAGCTATTGGTATATACGAGGTAATTCTAAATCATGTTAGCACATACCTCCGAGCAATAGCATCAGTCTTACCTGGATACTACCAGCGAATCCCGAGAGGGCATTCGTCACACCGTGAGCTATCAACTCCCGATCAACATTCAAGTTATCTTCGCCAGTGGAGATTCCCAGTGCCGGCACATTGATGGGAACATGAAGAATTCCAAAGAAAGTGAGCGCAAACATTGCCGGGATGGTATCGACAAACGCGTACCAGTTGACGGCCGAAAAATCTAAAACCGTCAGACTGCGACAAATCATGCAGCGACAGGTGACTCACCATAGAGGGTATAAAAGTGGTACCACGGATTAGAAGACGAAGGGGCATCAAAGACCCAACCGCTATTCCGCAATGAAGCGATGGGTATATGCGCAATGAACTTGACAATATAGAACAACAAGGCAACCGCAATGAAATAAACACAGACTAGATAGTTAGATCTGAGGAAACGCTTCAAGACGAGAAGACCAATCGCGAGAGTCAACGGCGTTACCCAAAGGGGGATCGTGGCTAGATGGAAAAGTTTCTGCATGGTGGGTGAATTGAACTCAAATGATCCAGGCAGCCGAGCTGATACCTCGAGGCCGGTTAGAACGAGGAAGAAGCCTACTCCTCCAATACATCCAATGAGGATATGACGGGGAAAGAACCCAATGAGTGAACCGATCTTACACGTCCCCATCAGGAAGAACACCAACCCCGTGAGGATGGAACTGACCGAGAATGCTAGGATCGTTGTGGCTATAACTGATTTCGGATTGTCTTGCCCGACCCTGGCCAGAATCGTATACGCCATCTGATGAAAGAATGGGACGACCTCGATCATCTCACTTCCGATTCCCCCACGGAATATCGACCCTCCGCAGGAGAAGACCAGTTGGGAAATGATCGTACTCACATAAAACATGGATATACCATCCGATCCTAGGTGAGAGAATATCGGCTCGCCCAGTGGGAAAAGAATCATTCCGTATGAGAGTGCATCGAGGATATTCAACAGGAGACCCAGAAATACCGAAGGCAGCAGACTCAGCGGATGCACAACGCCTTGCTGCCAAACTGTCCGGCGGTCCCACGACTTCGGATGGCACAGTGTCTGAAAGCATGTTGATATCTGCAAAATAGCGATATGAACAGTTCCAGGCGTCTGTCTCGGAATATGCACTTGGCTCTCAACATCGCGGGTTCCCCCATAGCTTTTGAAGGGTCTCGAAGGAGTCTTGGCCAGCAAAGACGTCCGCTCCGTGCTCGCATCCCCTTCTCCGGCATCAACCGAAGCAGATGCCCCATTTGTATGGGCGTGCTCAACTAAAGCATTATCATCCCCGGTGCTTTCTCCCTGATCTTTATTGACGCTTGAAGACGGATCGCGAATCAAAGCTGTCAATACCGAGGAGCCCCCAGAATGGATGGTCTGCGATTGACCGACCTCATGCGTCCCATCTGGACCTGACAACGACAATGGCGCATCCGAATCAGTCGATCCCTCCGAAGACCGAAAGATATCCATAGCTGGTGGCAAAGCACTCCGTTCCCGGGATAAGGCGAGGGAAGCCAACTCCGCAGACTGTTCACGAAGGCCATGAGAGGAGTAGTGCGCCGGATCTGAAGCCCCAGTCAGTAAAAGTGAAGCTAGCCATCGCGCAAGCCATAAGGTCCTCACTAGTAGACATACCGGAAGCATTGTGGAATGAGCGGTGATAAAATGACCGGCTCGGCGTTCTATAACTTGCCCCCATCCCTCCAGGTACTAAAGGGTCTGACTCCGGCACGCGAGTAAAACACCCCGCCCCGGCGTGCACACTGACCGTTTCGGAAGCGGCATTGTCATTGGATATTGGTGGAGGTTGCGAGGCCTGCGAGTCGGCGCGGGTGCCGGCAACGCCCATAGCTGTCGAGGCACGTGCAGATAACAGGAAGAGTGTTGATTCGCAACGGATGCTCTAATCAAGCACGTAGGCAGGCGAGTCTCGAATCCGAGCTGTCGGCAGCTTGGGGATGACGCAAAGACTGTTCTAGGGCGACGGGAGCAATTCGCAACGCCCGAAACGTACAGATGACGACATGAGAGGGGAGAGAGAAGAGTGAAGAAGCTGGACTGACAGAGTCAGAGCAGCCTTGGATGATAATAATAAACGGCAGCAAGCTTTGCTTTGGTGGGTTACCAGGCTGTTGTCGGCGAATTGAGTAAAAAGTCTTTCTTATCTGGGGGGGTTCTGGATTCTGGACTCTGGCGGGCCCACTTGGTTCCTGCCCGTCCGTCGCCTGAGGTCGGTGCTAGTAGACTACTACTGGGGTCCATGAGGTTAGAGAGGGTCAATTGAGGTGCGCCGGTGTCTGTGTACGGTGTAGTAAAGCAGGTGAGATCAGGATGACAGCGGCTGCAGTGCTTTGTGTACAAGACCGAGTCGACCACAACTACAAGCTTGTCGGAGATCGGCCGAAACGAAGCTACGGTAGGGCGCCCGTGCGGGAAGAATAACGTCGCACCTGCTTGACGTGCAGCTGAAGCGTTTGGCACCTCCACTCCACTTCAGCAGCCAAGCTCTCCGCGCATTTAGTCATGGAATGTAGACACCGATATCCGGCACGGGCGCCGATTCCCGTGCTCATAGGAAAATTGGCTATCACACTAATGAGGGTGATGAAGATGGTCTGCAGTAGTCTACGGTCTACTGCAAATGGTGTATGCCTAGCGCATCAGAAACAACAAGGGTATCACGAAAATCAATCCCAACTCCAACTGGCGTCGTACGTAACCACCGCCGCTAAGCACACTGCATCAGACCATTACTGGGGTTCAACTCAGCCGTTCCAAGAAGCCCTGCGCAATCAGCCGTTCCACATCGCCATGTCGCACGTACAGCTGGCTATTCTTCGTCAAATTGATCACCCTGCAACAACACGTTAGCGGCGCATGACGCACAAACAGTCAACGAAGCAGACGCAAGGCACTATGCAGATCTGTAGATGCCGCTGAGTCGGTGAAGACATACCCATATTCCGTCTGTATCTCCCCTGCATCTCTCAAGACCCTGACGTCAATAAACAAATCCTTTGGCGGCTCCAGGCTCCCCGTAAGATCGATATCTGTCCACTGCCCCTTATACGTAGCCAGCATGTCGCTATACTGCCGAAAATACTCTTCCTCCTCGGGACTAAGTGAGCTCTCATTCCCGCTCCCGACCTGCGGACCTGCATTGTTCGGATTGTGCCCTCCCGGTTGTCCATCATCTCTTCCCGCCGCGGCCGCTTGTTGTTCCAGCACATCAATGCCCTTCCAACATAGCTCTTCTAGCTTTTCTGTGCGCACGCGGTGGTAGGCAAGGAGGCAGCGCTTGTTGCGCCGGATGCAGAGATGGTCGACTAGCAATGCGCACGCGACGGCCGGTTCTTGGGACGGGTTGAAGGAACCTTCGAAGGGGGCGAGGAGGTGTGCGAGGTCGCGGTCCAGGTCGCGGACTTCGCGGGCGACCGTGCGGACGAGCTCTGTTTGGTAGGGTGGGAGGTGGGCGAGAGATTGGGTGCGTTTGGCGTGTTGAACCTGAGGGTGAATTGGTTAGCACAATCTAGATCCTTCCCCGGGGTCTTCCCGGAGATGCTGAAGGGTGCTTGGAATCTGTTCTGTCATACAAGTTTATTCCCTAGTTCTCCGTACATTGTGTGTGGAATGGGTAATCGGTGATTCAGTGGTATTCAAGGCGTGGTGGTTATGGCGCTTCGTGGACGCGTTTCCGAGGAACTGAGGGGAGCGATCAATGGCCGAGGGGCTTTTTGAAGATGTGGCTAAACCTAGCTGTAGGCGTTCTGTGGTTCCGCTAGAGGGATTTGTTGGTCTCGTCAAGGTGCGTTCGTGTTGTTGATGGATCTCTTTGTCTCGACCTTATTGCGGTCCGTCGCGCTGCTTTAACGCGACCCACGTGACTTGAGGTAAGATTTTTGGTACGTAGCGCTCGGCATCGTGGTTTTGTTGATGCTCTTGGGATCCCCTCGATTCTTTGTTTCTGTACTCCATCAGCAAATCTGCAAGATACGCCTTTTCTTGGTGTTCTTGGCCAGTCTTGTCACCACGTGGATAGGCGTTGTTACCCAGGGGTACCAGCCGAACTACCGTCAATGTCTCAAGTCAGCCCAATCCATGTCTTCAACTTAGCAGACGACTGGTGTTGTCCTATCATTGACTAGGGATCTATATTTTCTTTCTGGAGAATAAGACAACATTGAGAATGGTTCTCTAGTCTAATTAAGGGTCAAAAGATGGATGAGTATCGTGCCCTAAACTGGTATACCTCTATGTGACAAATCCTGGAAATAACCACCCAAATGGCAAGAAGGAAAACAGACCACCGCCCGGATGCGCTCACGGGAAAGACAATAGCAAAACAGATAGTAGAAGAAGGTATATCACTCTGAAAAAGAAGGAAAACGCATCGTTCGTACGCAAGACAAAGACCACCCAAGCTGCCGTCATGCGAGTTTTCATTGCCGAGAAACTTTGATTACAAGTTTGTTCAGACAGAGAGAAGGGAAGGAGGGGAAGACAAGCTGATTCATGTACCAGAGTCCAGCAGGTTCATCCAGCTTGTCATTAGTTACATGATTCAGGAAGAAGGGTATCAGTACCCATTAGGGTGGTTGAGCCAGCTATCGAATTCACCGCCAGCGGGCTCGAGGGTTGCCGCTTGGCCTGATTCCCATGTCTCCTGGCCGTCCACACTTTGTTGCATGGGCTGAGCTCCAGAAAGGCCGTTAGGGCTGGGTGCCATGGAAGCCTCGAAAGGAGCATAAGCATTGGTGCCGGACTCCTGCCATACCGGGTAATGGGGGTGCCCGTAGGCATGGTTCCCACCCTCGGGGTGCAGTGAACTATTGGGATAGTCCAGCAGCGCAGGGTCGACTTGGCCGCCTGGTTGTCCCTGAGGTTGAAGGAGGTCGTGATGGGCTGCGCCGGGTAGGCCAGCCAGGGCTGTCGACGGAGCATAGTGTATTTCTTCTGGGTGTGGGGCGTGTTGTATGAAGTGCGAAGGGTCAGAGGTGAGCATCATTCCCGATGTTGGCCTGGCAGGATGGCTTGTAGGCCACGTAGGTGGGAAACCATAGTCTGTCGGCAAGCCATGGTCGCCCATGTCAGGAGGCGTCGGATGCCCGCTGTTCCACCCACTGCTAATCTCGGGGGTGCTGAAAGTGCTGAGCCGACTGATATGACGCGACGCTGGGCTGCCGTCAGAGGTCCCGCCGAACTCACTGTTGAAGGAACGGGTATCGTCGAGTGTCCCACGCTTTCTCTTGTCTTTTGTTGGAGTGAACTTATAGCCGGGGTGTGCCTTGAGGTGATTTCTCTTCTCAATTACCGCGAGTCGCTCGTATTTTGCCCGGATCTCTGGTGTTTCCTTATTCCAACTGACGCCCGACGCAGACGATACCACTTGGTGATTTTGCTGTCTGAAGAATTCTTTGACCCGCTCAGCGTACGCCGAGCGGTAGAGCATAAACGAGTTCATGGGCCTGGGGATCTTCCCGTCCTTCTTCTGTACTTCGATCAGGCGTTCCTCAATCGGTCGGTTAACATGTTTGTCCATGTCCTTGACCTCGATATGGGTCAGTTGTGCCGTCAAGATACTCAAAGGCTCCTTGAAAGCATATGTCGACTCCGTATTACTGCGGTTCTTTGCCCTGCGTCGCTGCTTGGGGGACCTCAATACTCTCGCTCGTGCAGCGCTCTGCCTCCGTCCGGGCGACGACCACCTGGTGGATGCCGTTGAGTCAAGACTCCCAGGAGCAAACGAGTCATCGGTCGGTGGCGTACTGACCCGAGCACCATTGTGCATCATCTATGGTTGCATTAGTCGTGGCCTAGTCACGAATCTCAACCGACAGGAAGGGTCTGACAACTTACCGAATGATGCAGAGACGCATTCTGAGGATAGTCGCTCGTGGGCGCATATCGGATGTTCTGCCAAATCGTGTTAGTTCTTGGTAGAGGATGCAAGGTGCTTAACCACTTACAATTCCCACCGAACTCTGCTCGCTGAAGCTCTCATCACCGCCTTGCCCGCCACCTGCATAGGGTTCCGGAGTGCCGTACATTGAGTATAGATCAGCGTCGGAGGCCAGGTCGCCGTCGTTGGAGTGAGGAGGAGAGGGTGGGGGGTTGCGGAGCAGTTGCTGCTGCATGATTCTATGTCGCGAGAGGGGATTGTTGACGTTGAAATCGCCACGGGAGAAAAGTTCTGCTTGTTAGTCGACTCTGAGAGCTAACTCTGCTCCGCGTCTTGGGATGGCGAAGCTGGGCGGCTGCGTCTGTCAATGACTAGACAGAGAAGAGGTTGGTGGGAGATGACGCTGTCAAAGCCCCTGACGTTGAATTGAAAAATAAGGATTCCGGCCAGAGCGGAAACCAGGTGAGACAGGCAACAGTCCTCTTATCGGTTGACAGCTAAGACAAACGACTCAGACCTCAGAGTGGATGAAATCAGGCACCTAGGATTGATTCTGTCTGAAAACAGCAGTGGAGGTAGTAGACAGGATAGAGGATGGATGATAGAGGAGGGCGATGAGATGGCAATGGACAGAGGACAGAGGCTTGTCGATGGAGAGTCTGAAAGGGGAGCGGGAGCAAGAGGCTCAGACAATAAGAGGCGGAGAGACAGGATTCAGAAGGGAGCTGGCTATTGGTGCCTTATGGAAAGGCAGGAGGAGGGAGTGTTGTTGTGCTGTTGGTTGTAGAAGCAAAGGAGGTGGATATCAAGCTGCTTAAGACTGCAGTGCAGATATGCGGCGTTCGTTTTTCTGGCAGCACAACCATGGACACGCTAATCTTGCTGCAGCACTTGCTCTAGTGAAAATCATCAGCCAGGATTAATTCTGTCTTCGCGATGGCTGGTCTTTGTCCCAGTCCAGTTAGGCTGTTACCAGACTGCTGGGAAAGCCTCTTTTCTTTTTCTTTGGGATTTTATTTTAATTCTTTTATCTCTTTTTATTTTTATCTTTCTCTCTTTTTTGCTATTTTATGATTGGGCCCATGAGACGTTTTCTGTCTGGAATCCATCCTTCTGCCCTCCCCTACTCGTGCCTCTACAATGGCCCTCAGTTTCACCGGTTGTTTCCAGTTCGGCCCTGAAGAGCTACTCTTTGTGCCAAATCTATTCAGCATCTGAAGAAGAATCCTGCCTGTGTTTCTAGAACTCTGGGGCGAAACTCTGCTTGCCAGATCCGGCTCTGCTGATTCCCCCAAACCGTACCCCGTAGTCCTCCAAGTCTTAAATTAGCGGATGACTCGCACCAGGGCACAGGAGCAGGGTCTATCAATTAGCACCTAATAATACCCCCCACAGAGGCTGTGACAGCTTAATTTGGCGAGATTCTGCCGCGGGGCTACATGGCCCTGTGGCTCGCTCGGTGGATCCTCTGCGCCAGGCCCTACTGTAGGTACGAACAGGAGGCACTAGACGGTCTGGCCATGACAGGTAGACCTATCACCATTCGCAGGCAAATTCATCGAGGATGCGGAATGATCGGGGCGGCCAAGAAAGTCAAATGCTGCCTCAAATTGCGAGGTTATAGAGGAGCTACTCTATGGTCGGGGTGGACTGTTGTCCGGATTCAGACAATTCCCCGCGTTGGGCATATCAGAACGGCAGAGCCTGGATAGGTGATCGGCCTCGTCTCAGCTGTCGGTTCTTATCGCATCAGTAATACAAGTTCCCCAGAGTCCCGAACTTACCGGATTGTACTACTGCCCGACTACTGAGTCCTGACTGACAGTGACAGACTGACAGTGAGTGGCGGGGCGTCCCAGAGTCCCAGATCGTCAGGTGGATGCAACCTTCGGACGTCAACCAAACTTCCCTCCCCGTCCACGTTCTTGATGAACATGAATCAACCATCAGTTCGCAAGATCTGGGCGGGGTTTGGTTTTCGCCCGTTCGTGACAGCTCGTAAGCCCGTACGGCGGAGGAAAATGAGGTGGAGCTCTGCGCGGATGGCGATCGCCCCAGGTCTAGGTACAGTTCTCCACCACCAACGCTCAGACTGGCAACGAGATTGGCACCTTGAGCCCTAAGCTGGTCAAACTCAGGAGGTCTGCTGCAGACTCAATTGCAACAACTTGTAACTAGACTGACTGAGTGCTGTGCCACGGCCATCGCGACGGCAGGTAGGGGCGAAATTGAGGGGGCCTCCCCACAAAAGTTGGTTCGGGAGCAGGCAGCTCATGTTTGATAGGAGAAACCAAACAGAAAGTTGTCCATGGAATTGACATCGCAGCCATGGCTACCGAGTTCGCGGCAGAAGTACATAGGAGGTCATGGCTGACTTCAGCCAGGGAACCAAGTATACAGAAGCCGCGGAGTGAGGCTTGTAGGTAGTGTGTGACTGTGCAGTGCTCGTTGTGCTAGCCTCCGTAGGTAGAAGTACTAACTAGGAAGGACTAATCCCAACTGGGCGACAGGTACGGTTCCGGACCCGCTGATTAAGAGCCCTGGAGCTCATCTCGATGACACCGTGCTAATCTGCCATGTGCTTCTCATTGGCTGCACATTGGCTGGGCTCCCTTTTCCGGTCGCGCTATCATTCGCAGACTGGCTAGCACCACTGCACCAGCAGATCATCATCGATCCAGCAGCGCCCATCTCTCTGCTAACAGTACTTTCCCCAGCATGGTAGTGCGAAGATAGTCGTGACAATTACTCTCGGCTTTAGCTTTCGGCTCTGCCTGTGGAAGCATCCGTGCATAATTGACTATCGGGCAATCGGGGACCAGTAGGGTATCCAGCCTGTCGGGCTTGCACTTCAGCTGGCGACTCCGCGGATGGCCATGATGCGTAGGTACATAGGTACATACGGTATCGGGGTACAAGCCAAGCCAACTCCGCAATCTGTATCACCGTGGAGAGTTTCCTCGCGGCCTTGCCTCTCTGCCTTGAGGCTCCGACAGACCCCTGTACTCCGTAGGTAGATACAGCTGAGAGGTCACCTGCGTCTGTATGTCTCCGTACCGACTACAAGATCGGGACCACGGAAGCAAGTAGTCCCGAGTACCTCGTATCTAAGTACCTGTACCTCTACCCTGACCTCGGGTGCTGGCCATATCGAACTGATCCCGTCTCTCCAGGCCCGTGGACTTCCGGGTTTTAACTCCGAGGCCAGTGACAAGTGTCAACAGGGCCAAAGTCAACTCGATGGCTCATCTCTGGGTCGCTTCACACCTTCCCGGCTAACTTTGCACTTTACTTTCCCAACGACGCCTCGACAACGTCGACATTTTATTCGTTTCTCAAGTCCTCGTCCTGACATTGACAGGCTGCATGACCCTGGCAGGATCTTGGCGACAAGAACTTTGTTTTCCCATCTTGGGGTGCTTATCTCCTCGTTATTCTCATGGCACCTGTCATCCTGGTCCAGTCTAACCCATCGCAGTATAGGCCGCGATCTTCAGTTCCTTCGCTCGACATGAGGACTATGTTCTGTTGGCGACCTGGGCTGTTTATCGAAAATGCAGGTGTTTTTGCCCTTCACGTCCGGAGCGAACTGTTGACTGCTGTTTTAGCTAGATAACCCGTCCTTGCATGCGTATGCTAACTGCTCATCTCCTGACCTGCAGCTCGTGGTGCACTACTTTCCAGCCGCTTCTTCCTAGAGCGACCACCATTGGACCCGACAGAAGGACCTCCGCATGTGGCAGCCACTGAAACTTTGGAGGTTCGCCAAGCTACCCAGAAGGCACCGGATCAGTGGAACGGGAAAGGAGTGGTTTAATCTTGGATGGATAACAGATCCTATGGGTGCGGTTGGATGATGGCGGACTGCTCCCGAGGAACGACTATGCACCAACATCACCACCCTGGTTTTCGAGCTGATACCGTGCTGTCGAAACTGTCTACAACATCCCCAGCTTCAATGCCATTGGTTCTCAATCCAGCCTCGTGGATAGTTCATTGTCTGTGAGGTTGCAGGTGAACCAGAGTGGTAATGTTGTGAGGGGCTTAGAGACTGTTAATGCATGGCGGCAGGTGCCCGATTCATGATCTACGGTTCTGCGGCTGCCATATGGAACAAATGGACGTCTTGAGAGGTTGGATTATTGGACGACTTACGCAGGAACGAGAGAGCCAAGCTAGTTCCGCGGCCATTTTCTTTGTCCTCTTTCCATCAACCGCACACGAACGGCGCTGGAACGCCAAAGGAAGAACTCTCTTTTCTTCTTTTTCATCTAACGGCCTGGGCCAGAAAGTGCATGAACTACATGCTACTAGGGAAAGTTTATTCTCCTGGCTTGTTGGTCTAGCGATTTATCCGGGGTTGGTGGTGCTGAGCCCCTATCGCCAGATTACTCCTTCATCCTCACACCAACCCTAGGCTCCCTAGATCCGATTTCGGCCCACTGGTCATAATGGAGCTTTCTAGGAGCCGACTGGATTTCTCTGTACCAGTAAAGCGTCGATGATCCCACCTGCTGAGCAGCTCTGCCTCACATGAATATGAATACAGAGCCACGCACACCATTACGAGTCATGGCGTTACGTACAGTAGCCTGCAGCTGGGAACATGGTTGATGCGATTGCCATTAGTACCCATAGCAACCGTGGACGCCAACTTACGGACCCCTTCATCCCTCGACAGGTCAACTCAACCGTGGCTGACTGGACCTTCTAAGGCGTTCTAGAAAAAGTTTAGAGCGCTCGACGCACGCCAGGCAGATGCACCTTTCCAGATCCGGTCCTTGGTCTGCTCACGGTCCCCTCTGATCATCAATCCGAGAAACTTCGTGGAAGGTCGGCGACTCGGCTGACAGCCTGACAGCGCCAGGGCGTCGAGTATTCGAATCCTGCCGTTCTCGACCCCTCTCAGGGCATCTGACCTTGGTTCCTTGAATCGTCTTGTCTGTCTCCAGATAGTTTGTTACTGAAACAGCAGTGTTGCTGTTTTAGAGAGGCTAAGAATACTTACAATTCCCACCTTCTTTTGTTCCGTCTAGAGCCATTCCCGTGGTTGAAAAGCTGCGCCTCACTGCGTCTCGAACTGTACGTTCGTTTTAGGGTGTTCAGGGGAGCGCTTTTTTTTAGCAGCTAGGGAAATTGCGTCTTCTTATCTTCAGGGTCACTATTTACGATGATCATGAAGTTGCGATAAAGCACGATACTGGGGCTTGGGGCTTCCAACTCCTCAAATTACAC